TTGTAGTATTACGGGAATGTTTTCCACACCTTTGGGACCCTCAGCCTTTTTTATACCTGTATTGTTGTACAGTATTTTATTACATTTGTGTGTTGTGCTTGCAAATGGACTTCTAACTAACGCTAGATATGATCTCATAGCCCATAAAGCATTAATGAAACCAGTCAACATCATAATGATTTCCATTGGTCGATTATTAAGAGTGGTGCCAAGATATGTACTTAAGACCAATTTATGTACTAAGAATTTTTTTGTCATTTTTAAAAATGTTACTTTGATAGAAAAGTGAGAATTTTGAATTTGTGAATGATGATCATTGGTGAAATGTAAAAAATGTCTCATTGTTACAATTTGATTGCTGTTACTTAAGATCGAGATAAAAGGCTAATGTTTGTCATTGATATCGAGTGTATGAATTATTACGAGCGACATGAAAAGTGCATTCAGAATATCACCAATCTCAGAACGTCACAAGGACCACATAGCAGTTGCTGCCTATGATAGCGATCTGATGTCACCAACGAACGAAATTGGTGAAGTGTAAATGAGTTGATAAGGTTCTCTGAACAATGAGATAAGGTAGATTGATACGGTGTTCAAGTATGCTTTCTGGGAAATCTCAAATCGCAAAACTCGATAGTTGTTTTCCTTGGATCAGAGTCAATGTCACTGTTGCTATCTGTATAAAATCATTGTCATTGCTCTAGCAACTTCATTCCCCACACTCATGAAACATCAGCGATCTTGGACAAACATGAGTTCCATTGTTGTTTGATCAAGGTCAAGTTCACCATTACTATTTTTAGAAAATCATTGTTAGTGTTCTAGCAACTTCATTCCCCGCACTCATGAAACGTCAGTAACATTGGACAAACCTGAGTTCCATTGTTGTTTGGTCAATGTCACCATTACTATTTTTAGAAAATCATTGTCAGTGTTCTAGTGACTTTATTCCCCACACCATGAAACATCAGTAATCTTGGACAAACCCGAGTTCCATTGTTGTTTGGTCAAGGTCAAGGTCACCATTACTATTTTTAGAAAATCATTGTCAGTGCCCTAGCGACTTCATTCCTTGAGGATTCTCATCAAATCTAATAGTTTTAAAACACTAAAATGACTTGACTTTCAGGGCTGTTGGGTCAAGGTCGTTAGAAAATAGCTTCCAGCGCTTTAGAGCCCCATTACTTACAGATTTTTAATCAAACCTCAAACACTTACATAACACACCATTACACACTGATGATGAAACTGTATTGTCAGATTGTCATATATACATTTGTTGCATTCTTTTGTTAAAATAAGTTACAAACTTGTTGCGTATTTTTTTTTTTTTTTTTTTTTTTTTTTTTCAAATTAACGCCAAACAGCTCTTTCCTCATAAAGCTTTACAGTCATTCATACATTGTGGGAGCAGATAGGGGACATCTATTGCTTTAGCAGTATTCAGTATGCTTGTTGAATTCGAATTTATTTTTACTCTGATTCTGTTGACAAATTGGTGTTTTCTGTGTGAGTGTGTGGTTATATATATCAGTAAAGCATAACCAAAAGCAATTACCATAGACCACATATCATCAGTGTCTACATCTATTTATAGATCTGTAAGCATATTTGACTACACAAAGCATGGATACTTTTTCGAATATACATGTAAACGATTGTGTTAGAGAAATCGTTTTGAGCTGGCTATAAGTCGACGAACTGTGGAAAACTTCTTGTTCATGATTTCATTATAATTTGAAATTCGTTTTTACAAACACGAAGTGTAGAAGGGTTTAATCACTTAAAAGTTTGTTTGAAAGCGGATGGTACATAGTTCGGCCAAAGCATAAATTGAATGACGGCTAAATTCCAAGGGTTGTGTTCTTCACTATTTTTCAATGATATGACAACTCCATATGAAGAACTGAAACGTATTAAAATATGAGGGGATACAGTAGAGATGGTGTTGCTAAATCGAACAAGGAAGCTTATAAGGTAATGGACACTATAGATCACAGAATCGTAAATAATTCTCTTACTTTTGTTAAGCTGTTTTCCTGGATGATACTGTACATGTTACTCCGTTTGTTATACTAATTAAAAATAGAAATATTTCTGGTACAATTTACCATATTTTCACAATATAAAAAAATTATTGTGTTTTAGAATATTTGGATTGGAAAAGGTTAGACATGCTTGGTGTCGGTCAGTATATTTATTCTACTTGTACTTTTCCATGCCTCTCCGTTTTTATCTTTCTTTTGTTCATATTTTAATCAGTTTCCTTAGCATGGCAGTTTGTATCAGGGTTCTGCTGATATTTTCTGTTTTCTTTTTACACAGAGAGCGCATTAAAATAATCGATATCGAAATTATTATTTGCTGCACTTAAATTATTTGCATTACATCATAATGTATTACTAAAGAAATCAGTTTGAATTGCGATAAGATCATATTAAAATTTTAAATATCTATATTTTATAACTTCTTTGGTAGCGATACAATGTACTTAATGGCCGACGAAATCGTGACAAGCACACCACCAATCTTCCGTTTTATGCTGTCTTTTCTAATAATCACTTAGAAAACCGTTCCTGAATATGAATTTAACAAAACACGCAGCATGCACAGTAAAGACTGTGTGAAAACTCCACTAATCTAATTCACGCTCCATTTCGCTCTAAATCCATCGAAATACTTCGCCAGCGTCTCCAATTTTGCCAAGAAAAGTTCCAAGGTGCAGAGAGAGAAATAGTGAGCCGCGTCATTCTTGGACTATAGATCGCGAGGATAAAATATGTGAAATTGTGCATCTGTAGAACAAATTTGTAAAAGTTGCATAATGATTCCCAGTGTTATCTCCGTTTCGTTTGTCAGTCATCCCCGTACTACAAATTTGAAAGGCCAACTTGATATTTGCTTATACAGCAATATTGAGCCATGTCTTTAACCAAATTATAGCGAGCGCTTTAGGGTGTGTGTGGTGATTCATCTCAACAAATTTTGATGTTGATAATGCAAGCTTGTTAAACATATAACCACCGCCGTTACAAGTCCGACTAAAACTATATTGTTTTTAATCCATATTTTGACTGCAAACTCCTTTCTTTTTTAAAGCAAAGACGATAGATAGTCCTTTCTGCAATATCTGTAACTCTGAATGGGAAACTCTTGTACATTTATTTTGAAGCCTTTTTTTTTTTATCAATTTCTGGGCCAATGCTCTGAAACCATTCAAGATAATTTCTCAAAACTTTTTTACACTTATTAAGCTAGTAGTATCTTTTGCTTTGCATTGTTCTCTAGAAGAAGATGATGACGACGACGTTGATGATGATGATGATGATGATGATGATGATGATGATGATGATGATGATGATGATGCATCGTTACACGTGTATGTTCCGATGTTCTGTTAAAATCTAACGAAATATCAAATAAATTTTAAAACCTGCTTCAGTACAGACATGGATCTGGCTGTTCAAACTGTGCATCTAGTTGACCAACATGCGTTCCCTTTTAGGCAGTGTCTATTTCATATTATACTGTAAGCCTGTAGCCCACTAGGAAATAACTTACCAATCATAATTATGTTGTCTGTTTAATCCATCTTTTGTACATAATGTATATGATATCTTACATCTCCTTTTATTTGATATTTTATATATATCGTCATGATAAATGTTATACTAAATCAGACTGATATCTTATATCACGGACTTAGATATAGATGTTTTATACTGAATAGAAAAGTATACACAACATTCACGCATTACATCCTACATAATTTATTCCGTAGTTATCTCCCCTACCCAACGTTTACTTCCGGCACGTGTTGTTAAAACTGCCGAAGTGACCAAGAAATGAAAAGCACCTAAGTTGACTGCTCTTTTCAGCAATGGCAAATCTGAAATCAAAGTAAGTTGGAAGTTAGAAATCAGAATGGCATTATCTCTGTTTGTGTCATCTGTATGTTATGAAGTAGACATTCATCTATCAAGTCATATGCGAGATTACGTATCAGACACATACACGCAGTAGTTGAGCTCGCTGATTAAAAAAATACGATTTCTTATACATGCATACGTACTATTTTAATTAATATTTCACTAATATTGTACACGCATAATATTAGATAGTATCAGATATTTATATATTTAGGTATACTGTTCAAATTTTACAACTGTAGTTTTAGTGTGATGTTGGAATTCAGTGGGGGTACCTATCAAATCCCAAGCCAAAGAACTGAAAGAAACTAGGAGGGGATTTTTTAATTAGTATTTTATTCTACTTCTTCTTGACAAACATGTACAAATCTGTAAATCAAGGATGACGAATATGAAAAGAACGATTTTATTAGCAGGACAACTATTGAATGACCGGCGATATAGTGCGTATATAGCGTCATTATCACTGATCAGCTGATGTCTAGTAAGTTGCAACTCCAAACCAATCATCTTCATGATCTAAACTAGGACATGTTTAGTTTTTGAGTTTTATTCAATAATTCAATGATACTGAAAATGCATTCATACATATATAAAACATGTGCTTTTATTGGCTGGGTATATTTGTAATGAGAAGAAGTCAATAGGTAATATTAATGCCTTTCCAAAGAGACACCTTTGTGTAGAAGTCAGAAACCATAATTTAGAAAATATTTGTTTTCAAAGTATTTTGTAACTAACATCCTGGTGTTCCAAATCAAATAAAAAAAGATTTGCCATTTTCTAATGTTGATTTTTAAAAAGAGCTTTGTCATATAGTATAAGACTTTTTAAGTTCCTGTTCACAAATGTATCTTAAGTTTAGATAGATTTGGATTTAGAAAACACAGTACAAAAAGGAATTGTGGATAGGAAGTTTTCAGTTTTTCAGTCCGCATTTCACTTACTGTGCATGCATTCATTTAAGATTTATTTTTTAAACATCCTTGATAAATTGTTATTAAAGTTGTACTGATTTGATATCAAATTTAGAAGGCACACATTAGGTGAGAATTTCTCCAAAATAACATGAATGTTTTTTATGATTTTAGCTTTGATGTGCTACGCAAATATGAAGCATTTTACACTGGAGGGAAAATACAGGTACAGTATCTACATGTTTATATGGAATGGGTAATTTAGTATCAATATATCTTTAATCAAAACATGAACACAGGAATAGGACCTCTTGTTTATTGTTTTCTTTATGCTCATTTAAAACTACTTCAGATACCATACGCAATAACCTGACTTAAATCACATATTTCTGATTACCTTATCTAATTTAGCTAATCATCAGAAAAACATGCATGTGATATAATGTGTCTTGATCACTTACTGTGTCATGAATGCATCACAACAACCACTACAGTCATACATAACCAAAATAGTCATGCATCTTTGTGCAGTTATGCTACCTAAATGTAAATCACATGTCTTTAGTCATTTTCCCATTCACACAATTCAGCATAATTTATGGGGAAATGTGCTTCTGATTATGATCAAGCAATCCCTTTTTTCCTTATCCAGATATCTAGTGATGGAGAGTTCATGTTCTGTGGCTGTGGTAACAAGGTACAGGTGATAGAGATTTCTTCAGGACAGACTAAATACTCCATTGGGGAGGTAAGAACATATCAGTGTCATTACCAGTTAATGTCATTTACTTTAAATTACCTGATTATATCATTTACTTTAAGTTCAAAATGCATATGTAAAAAAACTTACAACTGTGGTAGTATTTGATTGAAGAATGAAAAAATAAATTGTAGGTGTCATGCTTATCACTAGTTTTTATATATTGCAGAAAGAGGAAGAAGATATATGTGGATTTTGTGTGACACCAGATGACCAGGTATGTGTTTCAGTGTCACAACACAGTGTGGTTAAAGTATATATGTAAATGTGTGTATGTGACTTTCTACTTATCTGTATTGTAAACCCTGCCTGTATATAGTTGTTTACAAAAGAACATTAATAAAATGGGTGTGTTTTACTCTGATACATGTGTGAAACACCTGTGAAATGTGTGTGTGTTTACTCTGATACATTTGTGAAATACCTGTGAAATGTGTGTGTGTTTACTCTGATACATGTGTGAAACATCTGTGAAATGTGTGTGTGTTTTTCCTCTTAATACACATGTGAAATACCAGTGAAATGTGTGTTTTACTCACTGACTCATGAGTAAAACACCCGCTATAAATCCTTTTAATTTTCTTTCAATAACCATTGGACTTAATCCTGTCCATTTTTTTACTGTACAATATTTCAGGTTTAAATGAAAAAACATTAAGGAGTGCAAAACTTCTATTCCATTAAATATATATATATGCACTTTTGAAATGATATTATATTCATTTAAGTTTATGGTACAAAGAAAATTTCCCTTATCTTCTCCTGATATGTTATTTGTTTAACATTATTGATTAAATTCATTTTTACTTTCTGTAGCAAGAAATTTATTTGTGAAGTATGTTGGACAGTCCTTCTACACTTATCTACCAATTGGTAAAGATTACCATGACAAAGTCTGGCTGAGTTGATTGGCTTTAATCAAGGATGTTGATTAGATTCAACACTTTGGCATGTTGTCATCAGAACAAATTTGAAATATAAACATTCAGGTGTAATGTACAAGCTGTAGTGCCAAACTTAGCAACAGAAACCAAATAACTGAAGTATATGACGTGATACAAAGTACACGATCAAATGATGTCAATAATAAATAAATGGGTTGCAGCAAAATTAATTGAAATTGAATGTTCTGTATATTAGATGGTATTTCTAACATACATCATTGCACAGTCAAAAGCCAAATCAAAGTTGAAATACCTGTAGAAACTATTATATTCATATCTCACAACCAGTTCTATGTATGTTGAAAGTTATTAAATTGATAAGAGTTCAGTTAGTTGGTCTGTTTTCTGCTGACTCCACTCCACTAAATTGGCTTGGTTCCTTGTGTAGTATTCTTTAAAGTATTCCTGTTAAGTTTTGTAGCATTCTATATGCTTACATCCAGCTTACAGTGGACGTGGTCAGAGCTCGCTCATATACAGAAAATGTGTGGTGAGATATGAGTGTATTGGTTACTTCAAGTATATTAAAACTGATTGACCCATGGTCATCTTCAGCATTTAATATTTCTATTTCATGGTGGGACTCTTGTATTCTATGTGAAATCCATCAACTGGACATCACAGAACTTTACGCACAATTTTCATGGATGTTTGATGTCCCATTCCACCTATATAGTTTACATACCAATAGTGTAATCCAATGTACAGTATAGACAATATAAGGTTTTCCAAATTTTGAAACAATCAACTTTTGTAAGGAAAGATAAATTGAAAAATTCACAGGAGAGTTGGTGAGTTTAAACAATATTCTTATTTAATATTCAACAATATTACACATGTATCTTTTCCATATGGGACGGAAAAGGGAAATGGAAATGGAGCACAAGAATGATGGAATAAATGCTGCTGATAGCCTTTAAATGCACAAAACTATTTCTTCTTTCTGCAGAATTTGGTGCTTGCTACTCAAAATCTTCTGTTTAGACAATGGAATTGGAAGGAAGGCAATCTATTGAGAACATGGAAAGTATGTACTGAACATTTCTATAATTTCAGTTTGGTTTCTTTATTAAGTATGATTTTATTTTTCAAAGTTTTACCTCTTTTGCATTGGAAATATTTAACTTTATCTTATAGTGTTAGCTATTGAAAATAAAATAAAGTTTCTTGGTAATGAGAAAAAAAATAGTTTTTTGTTTTATAGTTAGATAGTATTTTTGAATAATAAAATGGCTTTTTTACCTTGTTACAATGTGAAAAAAATAGAGTGAAACTTAAAATGAAGAATTCTGTTGCATATAATTAAGATTTAAGCTAATAAGCTAATTCAACCTATCTAAAATTGAACTTGGTATTTCTTTGCTTTCTTTTGAACAAGCAAACAAAATACATTGGCTTTGTGTTTGTATCTGCAGGCTATCCATACATCTCCAGTATCAGTCATGGCTTTTGATAAATCTTCCACTCTGCTTGCATCAGGAAGTGCTGATTCTACTATAAAAATGTGGGACATAGAAAAACAATACTGTACACACAACCTCAAGGGTCATCAGGGAGTAGTCAGGTATGTTATACATATTAGGGGCCACCAAAAGGTTATGACAGATCACATCTGTTCTATAAGAGAGTTATCTCCTATAGTAATAATCATTAGGGGTTAATGTCATATTATAATAATATTAGGGGACATCGAAGGGAGAAATCATATGATGTTAATGTCAGGGAACATCAAGGGAGGATATATAATAATAATCTCAGGGACATCAAGGGGTGAAAAAACTGTATGATGTTAATCTCAGGGGGGCATCAAGGGGTGATATGGACGGGTAAGAAATTAAATGATAATTTCAGGGTACATCAAGGAGTGATATATAAGTAATAACCTCAATGGCCGTCAAGGGATGAAATTATATGATATTAAGCACAGGGGACATCAAGGGTTGTCAAATATGATAATAATTGTCGAGGACATCAAGGGGTAATCACATTGTAAGTCCTAATATTCATTCTTTATGATATTTACAATAATATGTACGAATGTAAAACCTGTTTCAATGTCTGTGTTTCTCTCACATGTCTGTGTTTCTCTCGAGGTTGTTGAATTTCTACCTTGTACAGGTAAAAACTGCACACTTGTGTTTCTCTCAGACGACTACATTGTGCGTGTATGGGACTTGAGAAGCAGTCAGTGCATTGCTGCTGTAGAGGCACATGTTAGTGTAGTCACATGTCTGTGTTTCTCTGAGGATGGATCTACCTTGTATAGGTAAGTCATGTTAGTAACATGTCTGTGTTTCTCTGAGGACAGATCTACCTTGTACAGGTAAGTCATGTTAGTCACATGTCTGTGTTTCTCTGAGGACTGATCTACCATGTCACATGTCTGTGTTTCTCTGAGGACTGATCTACCTTGTACAGGTAAGTCATGTTAGTCACATGTCTGTGTTTCTCTGAGGACAGATCTACCTTGTACAGGTAAGTCATGTTAGTCACATGTCTGTGTTTCTCTGAGGACAGATCTACCTTGTACAGGTAAGTCATGTTAGTAACATGTCTGTGTTTCTCTGAGGACTGATCTACCTTGTACAGGTAAGTCATGTTAGTAACATGTCTGTGTTTCTCTGAGGACTGATCTACCTTGTACAGGTAAGTCATGTTAGTCACATGTCTGTGTTTCTCTGAGGACTGATCTACCTTGTACAGGTAAGTCATGTTAGTCACATGTCTGTGTTTCTCTGAGGACTGATCTACCATGTCACATGTCTGTGTTTCTCTGAGGACAGATCTACCTTGTACAGGTAAGTCATGTTAGTCACATGTCTGTGTTTCTCTGAGGACTGATCTACCTTGTACAGGTAAGTCATGTTAGTCACATGTCTGTGTTTCTCTGAGGACAGATCTACCTTGTACAGGTGTCACATGTCTGTGTTTCTCTGAGGAGATCTACCTTGTACATGTCATGTGTAACATGTCTGTGTTTCTCTGAGGACTGATCTACCATGTCACATGTCTGTGTTTCTCTGAGGACAGATCTACCTTGTACAGGTAAGTCATGTTAGTCACATGTCTGTGTTTCTCTGAGGACAGATCTACCTTGTACAGGTAAGTCATGTTAGTCATACAGGTAAGTCATGTTAGTCACATGTCTGTGTTTCTCTGAGGACTGATCTACCTTGTACAGGTAAGTCATGTTAGTCACATGTCTGTGTTTCTCTGAGGACTGATCTACCTTGTACAGGTAAGTCATGTTAGTAACATGTCTGTGTTTCTCTGAGGACAGATCTACCTTGTACAGGTAAGTCATGTTTGTCACATGTCTGTGTTTCTCTGAGGACTGATCTACCTTGTACAGGTAAGTCATGTTAGTCACATGTCTGTGTTTCTCTGAGGACTGATCTACCTTGTACAGGTAAGTCATGTTAGTCACATGTCTGTGTTTCTCTGAGGACAGATCTACCTTGTACAGGTAAGTCATGTTAGTCACATGTCTGTGTTTCTCTGAGGACTGATCTACCTTGTACAGGTAAGTCATATTTGTCACATGTCTGTGTTTCTCTGAGGACAGATCTACCTTGTACAGGTAAGTCATGTTAGTCACATGTAAATTATGTTTTAGTGACATAGCCAGATGTCTGTATCTTTGTCAGAGTGGGCCCACCTTATGATCAGTTCTTTGAAAAGATTAGACAGTAAATGAAAAAAAAAACAATTTAAACTACACATGTATTTAAAGCAGCAATTATTTATTGCCTTTTCAGTGCAGGAAGAGATAGCACTGTGGCAGTGTGGGATGTTGATCAGCTGAAAGTGACCAAAACATTTCCTGTATTGGAGGTAACCTTTTTGATACTTTTTTAAATTCTAGATCAAGTACATATTGTTCTAGTCTTCACTCAGTCAAAAGGTCAGGATTTTACTATGAATTTCAAATTTTACTTCTTTAAACTTTTTGTATTCATCATATTTTTACTGAAAAATCTTGTCATTTTATCCAATTGTTTTTCTATTGCTCGCAGAGTTTAGAGTCAATTGTGCTTGTACCTGCTGGAAAGTGTTATCCAGAACTTAACATTAAAGAAGATACCCCACACATAATTACTGCAGGCAGTAAAGGTAAAATTATTATTGTTAATCATTTCTACATCCACTGGCAACAATAACTCAGAATTGAGACAATTAGCATGAACAACCTCAAATGAAGATTTGAGGTGTGTAGTTTGATGCTCTTTATGCATGGTTAAATATGTTAATCAGGAAGGTGAGAAACAGGCAGGTCTGTGCTGATATGATTGTGTCCTTGGGCTTCGACCATTTACTCTGGATAGCATGTGAAAGGGTTCCAGAGCAACTGGGTCGAGCCCAAGGACACAATCATATTGGGACAGACCAGTCTCAAAATGATTCTAGCTGTTGACAGGTCTCCCCTATGTTGTTCATTGAGGTAGCCACCAGCTACTACAAGGAGATTCTACCTCAAAATGATCCTAGGATGAGAAATCCAGCAAACAAACAGATCTTTTTTTTCGAATTTTTCAAATTATCAGCTATCAAGTAATGATTATTTAATGAATGGGAAATACTTATTAGAGGCATTCATCTCAATTATACAAATCTATTGGGTATACCTCTCAATATTTTAAGAAAGTATCTATGCAAGTTTTAATGCAATAGATAGACAAGGAGTGTTCAATAGATCTATTGGTTTCAAATCTTGAGTTCTGAAAACTTTTCATAGGTTGTAAAATTGTCTGAGGTCACAAACTCTCCTGTACATCCTTGGTCAGAATGCTTTATCTCATTTATTTAGATAGAATGTGGCAGGCCTCCAGCAAGATGTTCATTGAGGAAGTGTCCAACGACTACAAGGAGACCCTGCTTCTAAATAAGCAAACAAACAAAATATTTTTTAACTAATACTGATTATGATGATATTTGTTGAAGGAATAGGAGATATGCTTGTGTAAAATTTGATGACTTACATTTGATGTCTCCAGGTGTACTCAAAGTATGGAATGTGGAGAAGACCAAATTGAAGGTTATAAAGAATTTAAACACAGCACAGGAACAGACTATAATACAGGCATCTTACTGCCCGGCCCGACAGCAGGTGGCTGTTGTGACATTTGATCACAATATCTCTCTGATGGATATCGAGACACTAGAGCTGCATAAACAGGTATCACAAAAATCTGATATTATCAGGCGTCAAACATTCAAACAGCATGCAGTACCATTGTATCATATCCCTTTTCTCTGCTTTGTTTATGTCAGTTCATGAATATTTACTTTTTCCAAACGCCAGTAATGTGTTTCTTCTTCATGCTTGATCTTTTACTTCTTTTCTCTTGTTTATGAATTAATTCTTTTGCAATATTCAACATATATGAGATGTTTCCCCAAACTTCTATCTAACTTTAAAGAGAAAATAGGCTAGACTATCATTATGAGATTCATTTGTTCTAAAACAATTTTTGTTTGACTCCTTCATTAAGTCTTTATGATTTTAATTACCTAATCTAAATACATTGCATTATTAAACTAATTTGTATTTTATTGCAATACCAAATGGTGATACTTGATTAGTGTGAGACAGAATCCGTTTGTTTGTTTTTTCATGATAATGTTTTGTTTATATTTTACATATAATCAATACTTTGGAAAATGTTTTATCAAAATGAGATTAATACCTTGTAATGTAGTCTACAATGCTGATTAACTTTGTCCTTTACTCCAGTTCTGTGGCTACATAGATGAGGTATTGGACCTACAGTTAATGGGCGAGCAAGACAGTCACTTAGTGATGGCTACTAATAGCCAGCACCTCAAGGTGTTTGAACTGGAGACCTGGAACTGTCAAATCCTTCAGGGTCACTCTGATATTGTACTTAGTGTGTGTATCCACCACAAAGAAAACCTCATCGCTTCATCATCAAAGGTCAGTACTCATAAGGATCACATTAGGTACTTAATTTGGATCAGTGATACTCTTCATACATGCAAAGAATTGATCATGTTTTAATCAATATCTTTAAAGTTCAGACAAATATAGACAAACATCAGAGAAATGCAGGGAGTTGAACTTGGCTTTAATATTCAAGATAACAATTTGATGATACATATATTGAAACTATGTTTTATATTTGACCACATTTTTAGTCATTCACAGTTTTAGCTTTAAGTTGTAGACACTGTGTTTATATTAAGGCTGTGAAAACCTCAAAAAGAGCTAGATAATTTATAGCAATCTTTGGTTACAGGACAACAGCATACGACTATGGAAGATGGATGCAGTCACAGGCAGGGTCAAGTGTGTTGCTGTAGGTCAAGGTCACACTCATGCTGTCAACACAATGGCATTCTCATGGTAAATTACCACAAAAGAGTACTGATATTCAGAAATTTTTCATTTTTATTGTTTACAGCATATTTTGTTTATACTTGTTCAAAGTTATTTTCTGAACTAAGCAAAAAGGTCACATTTCCTTTCTGATAGATTTATATTGTTTTTTAACTGAATTTATTACAAGACATTGAAACAGCATTATTTTGTTGATGATTTTTTGTTGGTCAGCAAAATGCATAGATAGGCTTATTCACAAGCATTGGCTAATTGCCAGATCAATGATTGGATCACAAATTTGGTATGAAGTGCAGGTTTTCTGTAGAAATTGGAATTTCCCTTATCTTGTCATTGAAGTGTTTTGAACTATAATGCTTTATTTGAATGTCATATTCATCTCTTAAAATTGATTTCAGTTATTGATTAGTTGGGAGGCAGACACCAGGGTATTTTTCTTGCAATAAAATAAGTGAAATTTTGTCCATAAATCACACGCATTTAAGATATATAAAGTATATTGTAAGATCCAACAGTTACATATGAAGTATATTGTAAGATCCTACAGTTACAATGGTTTTAGATTTTATGTCTTTTACAGACAATTTATCAGGTGGGTTACAAATCCTTAGGTCACATCATAGTATCAAAATTTCTGACTACCGTTCCTAGAGATGTTTTCAGGGTAGATAGATTCCTTTCCGACTAATTATATCAATGTGAAGTCAATGTTTAAAGGTGTAAATTACTTATAAACTGATCATTCTAATCGAGACATCAATAGTTTATGGCTGTTAATATGAACACTGAAAAGTATTTTTAATCTAGACACTGATGTTGTCATGTCTCGGAAGCAATCTCCTGGGGTTCGTTGAGTGAAAGAAATGAAAAAAAATCTGGGTTTTCCTTTACTCTGAAACCGAGGAGCAGTATAAAGTAACAAGATGGCAAGGAAACTGAATTAATTCAATTAGAGATTTTAATAGAATCTGATTGAGTGATATTACCATAGTAGAGAAATTATAGAAATTACAAAATTTCTTGATAATGTTAGGCGTTAAGACTAAACTTCTGTGATTTGATTATCAGAATCAAGGTATTTGTCTGTATATTTGTGTATTATGTTTTAGGTTAAATGCTAGAACGATTGTAAGTGGTGGACAGGACAGCACGTTAAAGGTGTGGGACATTCCGGACAAACTAGACATACAAACTGTAGTTAATCTTCACTCCAAAATCACAGAGAAAGCACATGACAAGGACATCAACTCAATTGCCATGGCACCCAATGACAAGTTCATCGCATCAGGGTCTCAAGACAAAACAGTCAAGGTAGAGAATTTACATTCTGCTTTTTTTATTCCCCACCCCCGCCCCCGCCATCAATAAAATGGTGCTCTTACTGTCCTTTAGCATCATATCATTTGCATTTTATCTTGTCCTATTTAATCCCAATTCAATGTAAGCATCTAGCAATGTCATTCTTTGAATTCTTTCACAGGTTTTAGTCAAACTTTATCCAATGATCAGTTATGAGTGTACTTTGGACATCGTTGTGTTTCAGGGGGTCAAGGCCAAGAACACCCTTGCTATTTATACTGATTCAATTTAAACATTAAGCAACTTCATTCTTTCATGGAATTTGGTCAATCTTTATGCAATAATCAACTATGAGTGTACTTTAAATATTATTGTGGTTCAGGGGTCCAAGGTCAAGGCCTTGGTGATGAGAACATTTAGGTCTTAAAGACATTTTTTAGTTTCAGAGAAAAATGATAGAGAAATAATTAGAAATGATGTCACTGACAAATCATTATCTTACTGTTTTATTTTCAGATTTGGAACACAGATAATTTGTCTCTCCTAGGTGTTATGAGAGGACACAAACGAGGAATTTGGTGTCTAGAGTTCTCTCCCATCGATCAGGTAAGTAACAACTGTCACTAGTCTAAGGAAATTTTACTGAAAATTCTGTATACTGTAAACCTACTTAAATTGGCACAGTGAAATTTTACCACATTATCACTTTTTGAAAAATTAGCACAATGGTAAATTTGTGCATCCACAATCAGCAGAATATAGAACATGCAATTAGTGCAATCATATATAACCAAATTACCACTAAATTATGTACGTTTGCAGTCATTCAGTTCATTCTTGAAGTTTCTGTTAACACTGATTATATGTGTAGATCTTTTCTGGATTCCTGTTTGTGATATGTATATCATATCAGAAACAGTTTCATGTGGTATTGTGAGAGGTTAAATGTGAATATGACATTTTGTGTTTGCAGTGCTTAGCAACATCATCAGCAGATGGCACTATCAGGATTTGGTCATTGTCTGATTTCTCCTGTGTGAAGGTATGTTTGTATGGTCTATAAAACATCATTGTTAAGAGAAAGGCTATATGAAACTTGGTTTTTTTGGGAGATGAAAATCTGGTGAAACAAATTCCATTAGCAAAAATTAGAAAAAACTTTTTCTGTTTATTTCTGTTCAAATTTGGGTGAGAAAAGACAACACTGAAAATAGCATTATGTAAGAACGAGAAGCTGTCACTGATTATCAGCGATTCTTCAGTAGCAAATTATTTTATCCTTCCTCTGAATTTTACAACTCAATTCAAAATTAGATCGGAAATGAATCACAGTGTAACTTCTCCAAGCCAGCCATACATGGGACATGAATATTTGGCTGCTTTAGGGAGGGTTTGGTTTGTAGAAGTGAAGCAAGTTGACAGGTCTGTACTCGGATATTATAATATATATCTAAACAGAATCCATTCTGTACATATCATTAACATATCTGTTCGCTTTCTACATTTACACTTCAAATGTCTTAATGAATATAGAAAAAAAGCTGATACTTGTATACAAAAAGAAATCATTGCCTGGCGAAGTAACGTTACGTCTGATGTAGCCTCGATCAGATGGCCGGCTTGTCCAAAAATTTTACCTATCTATATATATAGATGCTTTTTATTACTATAATAAAGGGGACATCATTCTGTACATGGCCATTTTGTTCGGTGTTAAGAGGGAATCGGTTTTGATAGGGATCAGTCTGGGAAGTTGCACTCTACAACATGAAGCTATTCGTGTTTCTTAAAATTACTAAAGAAAATTTTGTATTGCATATAGCGGTTTAAATTTGCAGACATTTGAAGGACACGACAGCTCTGTATTGAGGGTGATGTTTCTGAACAGAGGGATGCAGCTAATGTCCTGGTAAGATGAGTACACTTTTGTTACTTAATTTTATAATTGTATAATGTCTACTTTTACATGATAAACAATCCAATCATTTGATAAATTACACTGAAAGATATTGTTGGATTATGAATATTTCTCAAAACGTAGCATCAAATTTGGGACCAGTGACTCTGTGGGTTGTCTCATTTCTGGTAACTTATCTGTTGGTCAGACCCTACATAGCCACATTTTCATTACATTAATGCCAGTAATAATAAGATTCCTATTGTAGCAAATAGCTGCATCATGTGAGGTTTTGGTAAACAGACAAGATGTACACTGATGTACACTATCACCAGACAAGCATTATTAGCAGTCAGGTTCATACACACAATGGTTATCTTGAAATCCCGGTGTTGTATTGTGAATTGCTTTTATTTAAAAAATTTGAAGAGGTATAAAATAATATTTTGTTTTTACAGTGGATCTGATGGTCTGCTAAAACTCTGGACAATTAAAAACAACGAATGTGTGAAGACATTTGACCAACATGAGGATAAAATCTGGGCACTTTGTAGTAACAAAAAAGAAAACCAAATCATCACAGGAGGTGCAGACTCTGCTGTCATTATATGGAAGGTAGGTCAACATCACAGAGGAAAAGACTCTTTTGTCATTATATGGAAGGTAGGTCAACATTCCAGGGGGAAAGTCTCTTTTGTCATTATATGGAAGGTAGGTCAACATCACAGAGGAAAAGACTCTTTTGTCATTATATGGAAGGTAGGTCAACATTCCAGGGTGAAAGTCTCTTTTGTCATTATATGGAAGATAGGTCAACATCACAAAGGAAAAGACTCTTTTGTCATTATATGGAAGGTAGGTCAACATCACAAAGGAAAAGACTCTTTTGTCATTATATGGAAGGTAGGTCAACATCACAGAGGAAAAGACTCTTTTGTCATTATATGGAAGGTAGGTCAACATTCCAGGGTGAAAGACTCTTTTGTCATTATATGGAATGTAGGTCTACATCACAAAGGAAAAGACTCTTTTGTCATTATATGGAAGTTATCTAAACATCACAGGGGAACAAACTCTACTGTTGTTACATGGAAGGTAGATTAACACTACAGGAGAGACAGGCTGTCATTAGATGGACAGCAAGTCAACAATTAGTTGGGAAGAAGAATGATATATAAACTTTTTAAGTAAACAAAGTAAAAAAAAATGAAAAACACTTTGCAAACTGAAAGCAGAGAAAAATATTTTGTAAAAAGTTGTCTATAAACAGAAAATAAAGTTCAGCACACCAAAATCCAACCTTATGTCAGAGGGCTTGATATTAGTAAACAGTGATAAAGTGAGACAGAAAGGCGAAGTAAAAGCTTTACATATTGTTAGGGGTATTGATTTACAAATATGGGAAAATTGTTTTAGGTGTGTGTGTAAAACAGTTACATTAGGAAAACAAATGCCTGGTTTGTAATTTTGTGTTATTCCTCCCCAGGATGTCACACAGGAGGAGAAGGATGGGGAGCGTGCTAAACAGGAGCAGTTCATATTACAGTAAGTATACACAGAGACCATCATCTTAATAGGGGTTAAAAACTACAGGTGCAACAAATGAGATTTCATGACTGTAAATGTTTCATTTTCCAGTTGTTGTCTAGTTTCAAATTTACAGAAAAGGCGTGAAAATGATTTACACTCAAACAATACTGTATTGCTAGTTATTTTCACGGGATGATTTTTTCACATTACATTGACATGATCAAGAAAATATAATTCAGGAAATAATGAGACATGAATGTATCACATGTCCTTTTACATCCAGATTTTGAAATTTTAATTTGTTGAAATAAACTTAGTTGATTTTAAATGTAAATCGGAAAATTTTGTCCCGTGAAAATTACCAGCTTCGCAGTACCTAGAAATATGAATGTGTTTGGTACTCTTCATGATAAATTGATAGATACTACACATTTATTAAAGGAAACTTTAGTCAGGCTTTGGCATGACAATGAAATGTTTGAGCTTTTGTACCTCTACAGGTTATTTTGATTTATATTCCTCTTTCAGGGAGCAAACTCTCTCCAACTTAATTCAGCAGAAAAAATTCCTAAAAGCCATCGTGTTGGCAATCAGATTGGAACAGCCATTTCGAGTTCTTAAAATTATGAAAGGTGCGTAAAGTAAATTGTCAGAAATCATGTGACTGTGGCCTAATCAATTATCTTGATGATACATTTTCTCATTCCATTTAAGTGTTAAAGTCTTGCACATGTACTGATTTAGTAGACGATAAAAAAAACCCATATTATTGTGAATTCTCTACAGTTGTTTTCTTTTAGTGGGGCTAATGTTTTGTCCCAGTTCAGGCTAGACCATGAGTATTAGATTCCATGCATGTCTTTAAACTGATGTTAATGTATTCAGGTATGACAGAAATTTGATTGAGATTTTCAATCACTATGAATAAAACCAACTTTTCAATATTCTTGTCATGTTTTGTAGAAATCCTGATGGAAAACAAAGGAGAGGAAGATCTCAAGACCACTCTGGAAAAGCTAAGAATGGACCAAATAGGTACTAATATAGGACCTTGTTTATACTGGTTATTGTAGTACAATACATGTAGTTTTAATAGGGTTATCTCGTCCTAGTCAATATCTTATAGTCTATACTCAAGACTTCTTGTAAAACTTGAGATGACCTCTTTATACAACATATTAACAAGCTGTGTAGCTTGTTTATTTATTAGCCCACCAGATAAAAGCAACAGAGAACTAATGCTGCTCAACACCTTGGGGAATTTCAACCAAATTTGATCTGAAACATCATTGGTGGTGGGGAATCATTTCATTTGTCCAGAAAGTTGATTTGACCACTAAGGACCTGAGGATGAGTAGTTAGACAATCCTTTGCTTCAAAACGCTACTCTTCCTCAATGCTTGAACAGATTTTATTCAAATTTTGCCTAATATCAAAAGGGGTTGGCAAATATTTCTTAGATTTAGAAAATTTATTCCATGCCAAGGGACTTGGGGGTGGGGGGCCCCAAAAGAGGAAATTTGACAATATTTTGCTTCAAAATGAACTCCTTCATAATGCCTTGTAGAATCCAGCCCAATTAGGTCAGAATCATCATTGAGAGTCGGAAATCATTTCTTAAATTCAGAAAGTTGATTTTGACCCCTAGAGACTTGGGGGCTGGGCCTGAAAACGGAAAGTTAGACAATATTTTGATTCAAAACACTACTTCTTTATACCTGGGTAGATTTCAACCAAATTTGGTTTGAAACATTATTGCAAGAGGGTCATCATTTAGAAAAAGATTTAGATGATGTTTGTGATTTTACAGATTCTGTGCTGAGATTTGCTGTCCAGTGGAACACCAACAGTCGCCATTGCCATGAGGCACAGCTGGTCGTGTCTTCTGTACTGGAGATCTACTCTCAGGAGGAATTAGCTGAATTTCCAAACATCATATCAACACTGGAAGGTCTTCTTCCCTACACAGGTAATTCTAGTGTCAGATTAACACTGGAGGGTCCTCTTCCCTACCCAGGGAATTCTAGTGTCAGATAAACACTGGAGGGTCCTCTTCCCTACTCAGGGAATTCTAGTGTCAGATAAACACTGGCAGGTCCTCTTCCCTACTCAGGGAATTCTAGTGTCAGATAAACACTGGCAGGTCCTCTTCCCTACTCAGGGAATTCTAGTGTCGGATAAACACTGGCAGGTCCTCTTCCCTACCCAGGGAATTCTAGTGTCGGATAAACACTGGAGGGTCCTCTTCCCTACTCAGGGAATTCTAGTGTCAGATAAACACTGGCAGGTCCTCTTCCCTACCCAGGGAATTCTAGTTTCGGATAAACACTGGAGGGTCCTCTTCCCTACCCAGGGAATTCTAGTGTCGGATAAACACTGGAGGGTCCTCTTCCCTACCCAGGGAATTCTAGTGTCGGATAAACACTGGAGGGTCCTCTTCCCTACCCAGGGAATTCTAGTGTCGGATAAACACTGGAGGGTCCTCTTCCCTACCCAGGGAATTCTAGTGTCAGATAAACACTGGCAGGTCCTCTTCCCTACCCAGGGAATTCTAGTGTCGGATAAACACTGGAGGGTCCTCTTCCCCACACAGGCAGTATTAGCATATGTATATCAAAATATTAGCATAAATAAGAGCGCCCATCAACTTTTGTTTAATACATTATTACCCAGATTTTACAACTTCTGTATGTTCATGGTTAAAATCTGATCCGTTTTGTAGATCAAATTTGATACTGGAATATTTTTGTCATTTAAGAGCGACACTTCCAGAGGATGAATCGTCTGCTACAACAGTCACGCTTTGTAGAGTATACCTGGCAGTGTATGAGGACTGTCCCTGATGAGGCAAAACCAAGGTATGTAGACCTGTAACTATGTACTACCAATATAGAGCTTACCTCATAGATAAGGTTCATGTAGCCAAGGTTATCTCATAACTACATAACGGTGTATTTTCACTTTCTTTGTTTCAGCCAATCAGGTACAATGGAATTTGAGGAGTATGGAAAAAGTGCTCTCAAAAGTTCAGGATCAATTGAAATGAAACCAATGAATGATTCTGATACAGACAGCAGTGATGCTGGTGTGGACAATGACAGTTACAAAAATGATATTCCAGCAGAAAGTGATGATGAGGATGATGTTAAGGATGATGAAAATAACAATGACTGTTCCAGTAGTAGTGAGAGCACTGAGGATTTAATACCTGTGAAACCAAAATCTAAGAAAGTCCAAATGAAGATTACAGAGGAATCTATCAAAACGACCAAGGTAGGCTTGATCATGTCACCAGTACTTAAATTTATGGAAACACAATTGCTTAGCACATACTGATCTCACAAAAAGCTTGTATTTTTTACATTTAGTTTCTGACTTACCATAGAATATAGAGAGGTAACGATACACCCAATACATTGTCATCCATAAAAAAGACATTTACAAGCAGCATATCAAGTCACCTACCCATCATCTTGGTAGTTGATTGAACTATAAATTACACCAGACATTAACATCATCAAATCGGGCACCATCTTCCAGTATTACTCAGACAAAACTGCCATTTATGCAGCATTTGAAGAAAAGATACAGAATTTCACTTATTTATTGTAACCTACATTTGCACTGCAAAAGAATGTGAACACTTAAAAGAAATGATGTTTGTGAACACATGTAGGTTATAATTTACTCTTACCATGTCATACAAATTTGAGGCAGGAGGGTACATTACATTCAATATTGCTTATCAAGGTGACCATCAAGGCTGCTAAGCCTCTTGTTATGTAATTGACCTAATCTATAAACACGAAGGAGTTACTTCCCCTTAACTTTATGACATTATATGTCTCTTTCTTACTTTCCTTTTCCTGTACCATCTGTTGTCACTATCAGGAGAGGACTAAGATGCCTGATGCTATTGTCATTTGTTTCTGTCAATAGATAAATTGAAACTGAACAATTTTACAAACAATAAATATGCCAGGTATTGGGATAGTGCATATTGTATATTGTCATGCAAATACTTTAGGATTCTTATGTACATAAACCTTTATACTGCTCATTGAATATTATCATTTAAATTTAAAAGTACATCTACTATAAAAAGTTATTTGAAAATATATGCAGTAAATTTAGCCAGATCACCAGCTGCCTCTTATGCCAGAACAAGTGTTCCATCCCTTGTGCAACCCATTAAAGAAGACGGTTTCCTGATCTTTCCTTGTAGTCAACTGCTGGAAATATATTTTAATTGGTACACTTATGCATTGTAACCAGTCTCGACTGTTGAGTAAAGGATCCAGGATACCATTGCTGCCAAATTATTGTATCTCTTTTTTTCAGTGAAATCTTAACCTACCGATATAAATGATAGAAATGGACAGCGAGTCAATAAATGTGGTGACAACAAATATGCCAGAGGGAAGTGAATCACTCAGAGGGCTATGATAGAGGATCTATTAACCTGGCTTAAGCTATGTCATCATATTTCTCCTGGGGTGTGTCAAAGCAGTTCATAAGCACTTTAAAACTTTTCAAACATAAAAAGGCATTGTTAAAACATTTTAGGCATAAATTGGGATTGATCTGTAAACATCAATACAGGCCTTGAAATTCTTAATCAAACTCATCAGAAAGCAAAACAAAATCTGTAGGTTCATCCTTATTTCTTGAACAACCCTGGTCCAATTGGTCAAAGAGATCAACAAAAACAGCACTGCGTTAAATCCGATGATAGTTAAGTTACCTTTTCGTCTGTGTCAGAGGGTGGGCTTATAGCAAATCTTTAATTATGGGTGATATACTAGAATTTAATCTAATTCTACTTCAATTTCTTTTCAGAAGAAAAAGAAGCATCCTGGGGAGACAAGAGTGAACAGTGACCAACAACCAAAGAAAAAGGCTAAAAAGATATCACAAAAAACGGAAATGACTTTAAGTGATAAGGAAAGTAACCGAAAGGGCAAAAGAAAAATATCAGGTACTTTTAAAAAGGTGAAAAGTAAAAAACAGAGGTAATAATCCTACAAACCTGATGTTCCTTTATAATTGTTGATATGTTCGCAGCAAGTTTTATGATGAAATAAAATTATCAGAATTGTTTTGATGTCTTTATTTATGACTTTGTTACGACAATATAATATATAAGGATACCAGGTAACTATAACACCAGATTTCATTTAAACTTTTTCTAACAACCGTCTCTTGTCCTTGTTCACTTTTGATACAGAAATGTACAGAACAAACATACGGTGTTGTTCCACATTTTGTTGCATATTGAAATGTGATCTTATATCCCTACTTTATTTAATTGAAGGGAGACAATCCTGTCTAAAACAATGCTTAAAATTGGTCAAATCAGAAAACTGCTAATTGACAACTGACAAAGTTGTATTTGAATCATTGCTAATAATCAACATTGTTATATTTATATAGAAACAACATGCTATATTCCTTTCAAAGTGAAAAAGAATAATACTGTTTATTTTTTACTATCTAGTTGCTTCAAAGTTGTGAACAATAATCAGGCAAAAGAAAATTGAAAAAGAAATATGTTGGTATCTCTTACAATTAAGACTGTTACAAAAATAACAACATCAGTGTAGAATGATTCATTTATACTATTCATCACAGGTAGCACAAGATGGTTTGAGTGATAGATTATTTTCCTTCAGGCACTTCCTTGTTGTAGCCGAGTGGTAGACATGTTTGGTAATGTATTGGCTTATAGACAATCCCAAATTTTTCACAGTCATATATATGATAATTTTATGACAAAAATTCTAATATAACCATGGCAAGTTTTAATGTGGATGAACTTTTTCCTGTCACTGAAAATGAGGATGAAATGGATGATACTCACTATCAGTACCTATTTTCACCATCAGAACTTTCTGGGCTTGAAACAGTTCCAGTTCACAATGGAGGTGTTTTTACTCAAGACGAGCATGAGGAAGCATTAGATTTAAGAAAATGTGGTAAATCTGATCATGTGATCATGGATTCTGCAAAAGATTTTGATAATAGCCCATCTGAAAATGAAACAGGATATCAGAAAAACAAGTCCAAAATATGTTCAGCTGTTGATGACAAAGATGATATAAAGATCTGCGAAGTCAATTCTGAATCAAGATTTTCAGCAACCACAGTAGGTCTGATGTGTGATTCTGTGTCAGGAACCATGTGCATTGATGAAATGTTTGAAAATTTGGATGGAAATATGAGAAACCAGCTATTTTTTAACAGTTTCCCATCACCACATGGTAAAGATAATGTTCAGTGTCCAATGTCAAATATTGTGACAAAGCAACAAGAAAAATTAGAGGGAAAATTGACTCAAACACAATCATCATCCTTCCGCAACCATCACAAGGAAAAGTTTTCACATCTTGAGAAAAAAAGAATCTGCAAGTGTGAAACAAATCATTCATGGAACAGAATCAGAAATGAAACAAGAAAAACAAATTTGAATCAAAACTACAACAAAGTTTCTCTCAATTTTGGTGGGACTTTTGAAAGTTATTTTGACAGAGGTGCAAAATTTTCAAAAAGTTTTACTGGAGTACATCATTCTGCAAGTAGTTATTCTGAAGGTAGATTTGAAAATTCTCCAGCAAGGAATTTTGCCCAAATTGCACACAATCAAACACAAAACACGCTGTCTTGGTACTTGGGCTGCAAAACATCAAAACCATCAACCTTGTCTATGAGTAGCCATCAACAAATCACGAAAATCAGCAAACAGCCATCAACAATTCAGCCGAAAAAGTCAAGAGGGACAAAACTCTCAACATTTGAAAGGTTCATTATTGACTACAATCAAAGGAAAATGCTGCTATTGGATGACATGTTGACAACCTGTACTAATGTTCTACCTAGTTTTAAAACATTACCATCGGATTGACAGATGGTATTTCACAATTTACAGAATTGTGTAACAGGTACATATTTTGTGATTTACATAATTATTTAATAACTTTGGTAGCAACTTCCACCAAGTAAGGAAGGGAAAGAATTTGGTGGCATGACTTTAAAAAGCATTGAAACAGAACCAATCAACCTTCTCCAGAAGCTAGTTTCTTGCAGAGTTGCACAGATCATAATCTGTGGTGCAATTGTAATACATGTACCATTTGATCTAATTAAAACATTGTGTTCTGGCAGCTAGAAATCTAGGAGGGATCTTGACACCCACCATGTTTTATCTTTATTTGTTCTTTAAAAGTTTGATCTTCCCTGTTCTCTAATTTTTGCTCTTAATTTCATCTGTATGAAATTGGAATATTCCTCTGTTCAAAATCTACAGTGGTCTGTAGGTCTAATGCAAGGTCCAATAACGGCACTTTTTTTTCGAATTATTGATTAAAAACTGTTGAAGATTTCTTAACCAAACTGTAAGAAAAGCCAAAAATTAAAAAAAAAAAAGAAAGATGTAAAATGCGATGTCATCACGACCATTACTTAAGGTCAAAAGTCAGTCTTGTCTGGGTTGTTCTCCATGCAATATCTAATAGCACAATTGAAAAAAAAGTACAAATGTGAAATGGTTGATTAAATAAGTTATTTATTTAGAGTAGATGAAATTCCCTACAAGAAAGGGTGATATCACTCTTGGTACAATGTAAGCTTCAATATGTGGAAGTGATATGATTGGAATTAAGTCAGTGAGCATGACTATCACAGCTAAGTCTGACAAATGTCAATGGGTGAGAGAAACTGACAAAACAGCAGGTTATTCATTACCAACAATAACATTTTGCCAAATACATGAAGCCTATCAAATAACAAGAGAAAGGTTTTTTGGTGAATATGGTTTTGACTACTGTGCAAATTTAGCTGAAATCTAGAAATCATCCAATATCACTAAATATTGTCTCTATCTGCAAGTATTTATGATAAAGGTGAGAAACACATAGTGGATATCCAATTTCATGTCTAAAATGGGAAAAATAGGTTTTTGCCCATCCTTTTTAAATAAAGCATGTATTTTAATCAATTTTAGGTTCTCCTTTTTAACAACCAGACAGACCACTACATATAATTATCTATCATTTATCAAAAACAAGTGATTATAAAAATCAATATATATCTTTGTGCACTAATATTTTCAATAATTCTGTAAACACAACATAATCAATTTTCACTGTATGTATTCAGCTAATGAGCATAAAACACCAAGTTCAAGTTTTAAATGTACTGGTATTTGCCATTCAGAATTATTTTTCTTCAGATCTGCAAATGTTTTTAACAGTAACAAAAATTGCAATTTATCCTTTCAAATAAAACATAAAATGAACATCATATACAGGTATTTTTCTTCATCAACATTACAAAAATACCATCAACTTTGTCAAATTATTCTTTGGGAACAATGAAATTAAAATGACATATTAGTATATGGTACAACAGAATCAAACATTCAAATAAATACACACATATAAAACATCATAAACAAACTGGGATTTCTCAACAAAGAAGTCTTCTAGAATCATTATGCTTAAAAGTAATTAAAAAAACATTATTATAACATGCTGATATCTTAATGAACAAATCAACATGTTTTTCAGAAGAAAGTCTCAGAGTGCCATCCAATCAGCACTACACTCTTACATCCAATTGTTAAAATTCCATTACTGACAAACAATTTAAAATCACTACAGTACATTTATATTTGTAAAATGACTTAAATACATCAAAACTTGGTCATATAATCAAGAAACACAACTGTCAGAAATGGTTTTTGCAATACAATAAGTGCTATTTTCACATTCATTTCAGTTCTCCTACATACAAAGAAACCATCACAAATGTCTTTTTCACAAAATAAAAATGACCCACGATTTCAATACTATTGTGCTTATCCTACAATAGGCCCATAGGGCCAACATATGGTTGGCTGCTTAAAGAACTAGAAAACCATAAGACAAGAATGACCCTGCTCCCATCTATATCTATATCATTGATTGATGAATTTTCAGGAGTTGTTTAATGTGAACTTTAACCCTTTCACCTTGACTGATGACCCCGCCAAACCTGATGTTAACATATGGTAAATATGCACTAAATTTTTTCAGAGATTCAAGATATGACATTTATTGGGAACAGGATACAACAGGGTGTATATTAGCAGCACTATATGCCACATTAAAATGGAGGAGGCATAGTACTTTAGAAACTGCAATAGATAAGGTTGGATTATTGTTCAATAATTATAATTCATGAAAAATACAGAGTACAACATCTTGTAATGCCATTATACTTTGTTGTATGTATGAATTACTCTCTGTACTTGTACAAGTGTACGATGATTTTTTTTATGAAAACTTCAAGCTGATAAGTTCTCCATTAATAAAAAACCCCACAAAAAGAGATAATTAATCATTAATAACATTTTGTTGCATATGGTTTTACCTGTCCATGTCTTTCAAATTCATATATTTATTTTGGTTGCACTTTGTGATCATTTTTCCTGATAATGAAGGAACTAATAAGAAAATCAATTAATACATATTGAACAACACCTCACTAATGTTATGTTTTTTAAGTGTCAAAACCCACTGATCAGCATTTAGTATTGGTCATTCTTGTGGTCATTTTTTGGTGGTAAGTCAGTTTTGATCATAATGCACTGAGTTCCTGTGCTTTTTCACAGAGTCTCCTCACTCGAGCTGACAGTTTCTGGTGCTGTGAGCAATTCAGGCCAACCACGCTTGCTAGGTCACACAACTGAAAAACATATATGGTAGGAAATATCCAATATAGTTTATATCAACTTTTGTGTAAATTAAGGTGTACATGTAAGTAATGGTAAATGCATAGGGAATGTTGAATGGATAACACTTACAAGTATATTCTTAATAGTTTCTTTAAAGTACTTTAAGAGAAGAAAATCATCCATCTAGTCATTCTAAAGATATTTATCTTGTGGTTATAATAATAAAAAACTGGTAATTTATGTGTGAGCGTGTGTTCATTGGCCAGTAGTGTGGATATGGTCTGAAAACAATTACTCAATATATGGTCGTGCATTGAATAGATGCTTTTTATATCACAACCAATAACAGGTTTTGTGTTAATTTTCAATAATTGCATTGTCACCTTCATTGGACAAATGACCCATGCGGAGTGTAGCAAAGTACACAGTGTATGGGCTGTAGTATAATTGGTACTAAATGGAAAATAGTGTGATGAGATGGTGATAAGATTATATTGAAAACAAGTCAAATGGTGATCTTCCATACATACATCAGGCGGTGATAATGTAATGTAGCATGCAAGTCAATTCAGCAACACTTCTTTTGAACCAGGTCATAGATGTACATTGCTAATATTTATATATACATGTATATAAATACTGGTGTTTCATTTGTCATGACAAGTCTGAAGCAGGTAATATTTCAGAAAGAGTATACTTATTAGGTTTATAAGGTAGATGGAGACTGATGAAAACATCTTAAAAAGGCGAACTGAAGCCTTTCCTATTGCAACTTTTCAGCATTTCACATTACTTCCTTTGCTCGTGGCATTCTAATTTGCATTGTGTTGTTTGACCCTCACTCCCCATGACATTTTGAGTTGATCAATAAGCTGAGAAATGGACCAGTCTGTGCTGGTGTAGTTGTCCTCGGGCAAGACACTTTACCATTATTGAATGGCAAGTGACAGACCTCCAGTATAATCTTTTCAGTGAGATAGCCACCAGTAACTAAATGGAGCCCCACCTCAAAATGACTGCCCAACAAACAAATCTCATGTTTATCAGAACTGAAATCAAGAAAAAGGTATATAGCTGATACATGTTGAGTCTATGTATATCTGGTAGGTTTGTCTGAAAAAGATTCTTACTATATTTCAATACTCACCTCTGTATTTTTGTTCATCATTTGCAGCAGACATTGCATCAGATTGTAAACTGGAAAAAAAATCAAAATCATCCTTTAAGCTATTAATGTTATTTATCTGTCTTACATTCACAACTAAGTCTAAGTGTAGTAATGTTGATATAAAATTCAGTAGTATGTTTTGACATTAAAATAGAATAGATCTTTTCTTCAACTTGTGGACATTTTCTTTGAAGAAGACATGCAATCCGATCATATGTAGTATGATTACAGCAGAATAATGTATCAAATATTTACATATATTATACTTCACAATGAATCAAGTGTACATGGTAGTGTACTTGTGTCTATAGTTACCTGTTTCCTCACTTAACTCTTTCTGTAAACATTCCAACACTGCACTGCCAATTTCTACTTGAGTGTCTTCAATCAACTGCAAGTAAAATTACTTAATTTTTTTTTTCTTGTAATTTTTAGAGCTTTTTAGATCTTTGATGTCTTAAACCAAATCATGCTACTCTACAGTCAGCCTTCATTATCATATAATTATGCTTGTGAAAACTCAGATTGAATAATGATAGAGAGATTTTGTTGAAGAAAAGCGACACAAAATGCTGGGAAAGCTTTATCAAACTATAATAACATCTCAAATAAAAAACAAATAAATGTGCAAATAATTAATTTAATTAGGATTTTGCAAATATTGATAAAATCTTATCTAAAAAATTGCAATAACAACTGTCAATTTGTGAAATTTTACACATCAATTTTACATAACAATGAGCAACAATATTTAGAATGTACATGCTTATAAATCACAATTATGGGAAAAGACTGTTTGGACATCATGCTAGTCTTGTTTAGTTTCAATATTGTGCTTTCTTGACTTTGTGTGCTGGGTTTAGGGTTTATTGCCCTGACAGGATAAAGTGTTGAAAGATGAAAAGGACAGAAAGAGGAAATATGGAAGGACATTTAAATTATAGAAGAAAATGACAGGGAGACACACCAAAATCCTGATGGAAGGACAGATGGGCACAACACACATTCTGCCCCTATTCCCAGTGGTAAAAAAACTAAAATATGTGAAAGAAATAACCTGCAGGTAAGTATTTGATGATTAGATGCAAAGTTTAATTTTATGTTCTCAATCTAACATTATTTTAGTCAACACACATCTCTCTGACTTTCATAACACACATCTCTTGGACTTTTATAATACTTGTACAATCTGAAAATTGATGTCACAAATTTGAACACCAATTTCAAAGTGTAAACCAAATGTTTTTTTGTTGAATGATATTTGAAGTTCTGGATAGATACACAAGTATATACGGTCAATAAATCGAGATTTAGTGTCAAATTACATACCTGGAACCTACTGAAATTAAGAATATGTGTACTTACCTGAAACCTTCTAAGATTACGTACACTTGTACTTACCTGAAACCTACTGAGATTAAGTGCTAGAGCCGAGGCTGCTGTATGCATTGCAGTTTTGTCTTTTAGCAAACATGAAACACAGATCTGGGTGGTCCACTTCAACATATTACACTCTGGGTCAGGGTTAGAGACTAGAAATGTATGACCTTTCCTTGTACTGCTACTGTTTGTAAGCTAAAATAAAACAATATACATTCTGTCACTCTTGCCAAGAGCAAACAAATTATATATTTCGTGATCAATATGTTTCTATGAATAAACACTCATACAACACTGAAATTTATCACAAATGGATTATCCTTAAAACTTGTATCAACATTCCATGGTATTTTTTGAAGAAAGCAAACAAATTTTCTAAAAAAACTTAAACATATGGATTTAATTTTCTTCATAAGATTTCAATTTTTTGTCACTGATATGCTAAACAATAGCCAATTCAAGTTAAAAGAAATAATTTCTAAATACAGCTTACAACCATTTCTGGAAAAATTCATGTAGTACTTATACCGGGTATTTTAGAATGAACAACAATTTAACAAAATGTGATCTGAAAAATGATAGCTGTTTGTTATCAACACATCTTTTTTTATTTTTGAAAAAAATAATGGCCGATTCTTTAAAAGCAACAGAAAACTTGGAAAAGGCTGGGGTAACATTATCTAGGAAGGTTCACTATGCAGTCTATCTTACCAATTTAACAAAAGCTTCCTGAACTGGTTCTGAGAGCTGGTCAAAATGTTGCATTATTTTCAATATCAGTTGTGTAGGTTCCCGCTCAAGGAGACTGATAAAATCATCCCTGAGCACTAGAGCTTGTAGGAGGGTACAAACACCTGCCCTTGACACTTCATGGATTTTTCCATTTCCTATAATAGTATGTAAAGTCTGAACATGCTCCTTGCCCAATGACCATGAGGGATTTTTACCCTCAGCAAGATAGTCATAAATGTCACTTATAAGTCCAAGATCATTCATCTGTAACTCCTCATAGGTATGATCCTTCAAATCTTTCCGGTCTGGTGGCAACTGAAAATATATGTTATTACAATCAGATCTTACTTAAACTAACACAAACATGTAAGCTTTCTTGCCTAAAAGTGGAATGTCAGAAGCATCAACCTATAAGCACAAATGAGGTCTGTTAAATGAACAATTCCCATTTACCAAAATATGTGTTATCTTTTTATAAATGAAAGTAAATAAGTCTGGAATTAGATGGTATTTTGTAATGTACAGCAATGAAGACATCCCTATTCTGGTATATTTATATATACATCTGTATATATTTGTCTAGACTGATGATCAGTTCAATTTAGAATTACAACTTTGGGAAATCAGAAGTGTATGGTCGTGGTCATACCTCGGTGAAAATAACTGCATCTTCAACAGCATCCTCTTCATCTTCTGGCTCCTTCCAATCGGCAGCCATTACATTTTCCCAAATAGCTGGCCCTTTTCTGCTGTTGCCAGCCGAATCTAAAGGGTCATCCCCAGCACTTTCAGCTCCTCCTGCACCTGCCCCAGAACTGAAGGACTCCGCCTCTTGTGATGGAAATATTGAATGACCACCGCTTGGTTGAACTGACATAGCATCAACCCAGGGCTTTATCATCTGTCCAAAGGGTCTGGAATCATTTAAACTAGTCATGTTACTTCCCCTTCTACTGATATTCAAGTATAAATGTTTGAAATCTATTATAGCAAATTTAAGGTTAGCTATTTAATAAACATGCAGCTCTCATATGTGCTGTATTTGGAGACAGTTTCTTTCAATTAGAGAGTATTTATATAATACATGTATGATTCAACATACTTTTGGATTTATTGTTTCAATGAAAAGGAAAATTTGATTCTACTTAGTATTCACAAATGATAATTGTTGTTACATTTACAGTATGGAAAGAACAGTGAAGCCAGGAGTCTATCAATACAACACTTGTACCTGTATTCACCATCTCAGTTATTGTTTAATACCTTCATGGCCAATGAAGACTAATCCACTGATATATCAATCCTAACATGTAAACTAAGTAAGTGAAAGTAAATGAAAATTACTGTTTTAACAAAAAATATGTTTATAATCTTATTTTAAAAAATCTGTTCAAAAATCTTAATCGACAACAAGGTTTCTTTCAACTAGAATCACTTACGTGCTGAGTACCTCTGCTGGGAGCCCTGTGATGTGTGAGGGTATGTCCTTTCCAGTCAGAAACTGAGCCACCTCAGAGCTAAAGGTGTTACAGTTGTGTTCAAGGAGATGGTAACAAGATGGTCTGTCAATGAAAACTTAATTAGCAATAGCTTACATTCAAAACAATACATCTTTTAATGTCAATACAAAAACACACCTTTGGACCTAGAAAGAGTTTAAACATTGTCCATCATGAAGGGGTCAAAATTTGAATCCCTATGACTCCAGTTTGTATTGATGTACAACATCATCTTTATTTCATGGCATAATTGACATTACATATTTTGTCGTACCTGAATGATGACTTGGCCTGTTCTGTAAGGTAACCAAGGAACACATCATATGGGATCTGTGTCATTCCCAATTCTTCTACCGTATCTGGCTGTCCAAGTATAGTCCCACACTGGTACAGAAAATAACATTATCATTGCTACATATTGCTTTTTCTTAGCATTTTTGCATTCTAGAAAAGGAACTACATTACATGTTCAATGAAATCAGAATAAATTCTAATATCAATATTTCATAAATATTTAATAAAAGTTAAAACTGTAGACAATACTGATAAACTGAATGCCCTGATAAACCTTCCCTGTTTTGGAACATTCTTCACCCCTGAAGACAATACTTTTCACAACTCAGGTTCAGGTATTCCAAGCCAAGCAACCACGCAATTAATCATACAATGAACCATAAAATTGAAAGCGACATGAAACAAAAAGACAAGGATAAATTTGAACATATGACCAAAACAAACAAAAAACAAAAAAAAAATTTGTAAAATAGGACAAGAGCATCTGACATTATCTGCCATCCAAATAGTCGATTAGAGAGCATGGACCTCAGCTAAACTTCAAATAGGAAAGGAAGTCAAAATTGAATAAATCAGTCAGTAAGTACTTATTTCTATCTGGTGATGTACACATGGCCAGGGATGATAAATAATTTGGGTTTGAGTACTATGTATACTTACAGGTGGACATGCTTCTATTCCTCCTGTGCCGCCATAGTAAAACTCCTGGCCATACACAACTATCCCAGTGTGCCATATCCCATCTATCTGCTTACCTTTGGAACAGATACATAAATACCCCTTATGAAACTTATTACAATTACCCAGTTCAGTAGGACCCAGTAATATTCTAAGCACAAGTATAAACAATACATGAAGTATGTATGTAGCAAAAAGGCTTAAAAGAATTACATTACATTCAGTTACAGGAAAGAGAAAGCCAAAGTACTTGTCAAACCAGGAAACAGAGTTTGATTAAAATGGTCACTGTTATGTGTATTATTTCAGACAAAATCTGAATCAATGGTTGAATGAAAGACATTGGAGCAATATCATATGGTCCTTTCTTCATCTCTTTATGGACTATATATTGTAACCAAAGGTCTCCTTGTGTGTGTGAGACTGGTTTTTTGGTTGTTTTTTTTTCAATGAAATGAAAAGGGATCCAAAATTGGACAATTAGAATACTGTAACAAGCATGAGTGAAACCAGATAACCTTCATACAACTTACAAAAGTGCTTTTGCATAATTTACCCTTACTCCAGGAAAAGACTTTAAAGTTATGACATTAAGACTGGATATTTCATTTTAGTGGACCTGTTCACCTGTGCAAATGTAGGGAGTACTGTTATATTGAAAATTACAATAGCGCTCAGCTCATTAACACAGATACGACTGACTAACCACATTAAGTCATCTCGACTTAAGTCAAGAAAGTTTTGCCTTAGACAAGCTGACACCTGAATGTTTGACATATAAAAGGAGATTTTGGTAGAATTTAGAAGGGATGGACCACAAAATATATTCCACACAAACATAGCATTCGATTCAACAGTGTTTGAATTATCTATTTTTAATCTACTAAGACAAAAAAAAAAAAAGAGAAAAAATCGGAAATCAAACAAAATATTTGACTTATCTGATGTATTGAATTCAAGTGTGTTTGACACAAGCAAATTTTACTATAAGAATTATTTTACAGTGATTTTATATTGTTTTGAACTAAGGAATCTAGACCCTATTTTACTATTACTCTTGACATTTTACTAAATGAGTTGAATGGGAAATTCTGACAGTTTCTTTTAACTCATTAACCGAAATTAAACATTGATGAAACTTGACATGGCTAATATAAATATACATGTAATTTCAACAATTGTGATGCGGTAGCAAGAACAAGTTATTAGTGATATTCCGGAATGAAACATTATGTATGATATTATAAATAAAAATATGGGTTATTGGAAAAAGACAACATTTAAGATAAAATCTTAATCTAGATTCAACTATTTTAGGCTTATACATACATTGAAATTTCGAATGGAGCAAACACATGATTTACACCATTGAAGTATAGAAATGCGTCTGTGATACCACTTATGGAATAATAAATCATGAAGAAGGAAATAAAACGATAGAAATGAGCGGGGGAAGCCGTTTATATAATCACTTGGCATTTATGTATGATATCTCATGGCATTCAGTATATTAAGTCTCAAGAAAGCAGCATCAAGAAAATAAACCATTGAATCAAAAGATTTAAAAAAATATCTATAAAGTGTACATATTTCATCAAAAAATACTATGCAACTTTACCAAGGAATGCAGCTGAAAGAGACCTCGCCATTCCTTTGCTGAGATCATAAACATGAAGTTTGACGGGCAATTCTCCTTCTTCTGTCATCCTGTCTGATGCAAAGTCATATATCCTTTGTTACGCCGAGGAAGGTTTTATATGAACGATGGATGAACTTTCCAGATGAAGTTAAGATTAACTATGATGCCATAAGCCTGTCTTATGCTCTGTCAATGTGAATCAACAAAACTTTCAGCTTGATCGGGTCTCCTCTCGTCGCGGTATCTCGGCTATGGTAAATCTCGAGGATCTCCGAAAAGAGCCGTAAACCGATTAAGGTGTAATGTCGTAAATACAAGGGGAAAAGACCTGAACAAGAGGTCCCATGGGCCCATTCAAGTCCGATTACGATTAAATCTTTCGAAAGAATTGAGATAGGCGCATATATGTTGATTGTTGGAAATTTCTGAAATTTCACATATTGGTTCTCCTTTTTGGGTTTATTTACCTCTTTAGTTTTGAGTCGAATGATAAAAAAATGGCCTAAAGACTGCCATTTTAGATTTTGAAAATGTTAAATACAGGCAATATGGATCTTCCTTTCATTCTATAAATAGGTTTCAATGGAACACTTTGTGTCCTTTCAATTTTGAAATTGATATAAAAAGTGGTTGACTGCTAGCAATCTTGAATTTGGCTATTTAAAATCTATTTTGCTTGTCACTTTCAGAAATATTAAGTATTTATCTTTCTAAAGTGTAACTTATAAGGTTTCCTTTAGTCGCTGATGAAGCATGTGATATTGGCAGACAAATTAGCATGGTTTGGATGCCTTGTTTGCACTTTGCCCTTTGCCATACAAAGATTTAGCATTATGACACTGCTAACTGTTGTTCGTTGACCTCATTATTCATTTATGAAGAACATATTTAAGTCCTGATCTGTGCATGCATGACCGATCAGAAAATGAGTACCCATCCATGACAGTTTTGTAGTATATTCTATTTCTTGAGAAGTACTAGAAGATTTGCATCAGGTTCTCAGTCAGCACCTCTTTAATTTTTTGACTGATACAGAAAAAAACAATGGATGACCTGCGGCGATCTTGGATTTTGGTTATTAGTTAAAATACATTACTTGTTTCTGTTCAGGTTTGAGGCTACGAGAAATGGATGAACATATTGGATTTGGAATGTGATAAATACTGAATCATCTACGATACTCCAAGGGTTAAAATCACTTTGGAGCATGTCAAGGCAAAAGGGAAGGTTCCATGTTTGATTTCCTGTCTGGTTGTATAGTGTTTTTCTAGTCTCTGGATCTCCTGTTTTCATGTTACTGTGTGGTTGTATAGTGTTTGTGTAGTCTCTGGATCTCCTGTGTTTATGTTACTGTCTGGTTGTATAGTGTTTGTCTAGTCTCTGGATCTCCGGTGTTTATGTTACTGTCTGGTTGTATAGTGTTGGTCTAGTCTCTGGATCTCCAGTGTTTATGTTACTGTCTGGTTGTATAGTGTTGGTCTAGTCTCTGGATCTCCGGTGTTTATATTGCTGTCTGATTGTATAGTGTTTGTGTAGTCTCTGGATCTCCGGTGTTTATATTACTGTCTGATTGTATAGTGTTTGTCTAGTCTCTGGATCTCCTGTTTTTATGTTACTGTCTGGTTGTATAGTGTTTGTGTAGTCTCTGGATCTCCTGTGTTTATGTTACTGTCTGGTTGTATAGTGTTTGTCTAGTCTCGGGGTCTCCTGTGTTTGATTTCCTGCCTCAGGTTGTTGTTCTTTGCCTAACTTGCCAGAATATGTCTATGGAAATCTCTGATCAGTATAATACCTCAGAAACAAGGTTGCACTAAAAGCTTTATAAATTGAACACAAACAATTAACAGAACAACCAATATAGCTTTTATTGGAAAAGCAATCACAGTAACTTGAATAAAAAAATCATCAAAATTTGCAAAACTTAGTCACAGCAATATCCTTAATATCTAATGTTAGATTATCATGATATTACACTTAGGATTACATTCCATTTACAAAACTGTTTCATACATGCTTCAAGTCTATTATTGGAAAACGGGAAACTTTCATGAAGTATATTTGTTTTACAGAAATATATTGGATAATTGTATGTTATCTTGTCAATAGTAACCGTATAGGCCCATGCAACCTTATGAAAACATCTGAGGTGTATGGTTTAGATGCTTCCTACACAAGGCTGTTTATGTTTCCAAGGAAGCTGCATAACCAACTACAATGATTATGTCCTTGGGTAAAACACTTCACCCCAATAGCTCAAAGTGGAATTTTCGTGACATTGAAAATGATATTGGATGATATTCTTTTTTTAGATGACGCCATTACAATGTAACACAATGTCACAAACCCATCTGAACTCATCAGTTAACCTGATATTGACCGTATAATGACCTGATGAGATCGTTAAAAAATGCTTAAATTACATGTATATCTTTACTTTTAATCATTCCATATATTTCAAAGTTTCAAATTAAACAATAGAATAGATTCTAAGGCCTTTTTACCTGATGATCCTTTAAATTTGTTTCCATTTTAAAACCTATTTTTTTATCTTGTCTATAAACAAATAATTCTCCTTGTCAGATTCTATTTTTTTCATGTGAGGAGGGTAATAGTGTCCTTTGTGATTTATTGAAATCATGTATGTTTTTTAAGTTTGAAACATGTGAGAAAAACAACTTCAATTATGATTGAGACCAAATAACTGGTATAGTAATCTGTTTCTGAATGAATCAGGGTAAGTTAAATTATAGATATTCTATAACAAAAAGCTTGAGAGGTGCACTCGACATATCAGTAACTTCTTTGTGATCCTTAATTCTTTTATGTTTCCTTTCTCATACACAAGTCCTTTTCTGTCCAACAATAAAATCACATTGAGAAAAATGTTCAGTCTGATAATTTCACTCAAAAACAAAAAGTTAATCCCTGATGGTCTGAATGAGAGCCATGAAATAAATGAGACAATGTATTTAAATGAACATATACTCTTAAGCCACAGTTTGTATATAAAATTCCACACAGGCCTAAGTAATGGCCGTATAACTCTCTGTTGTTTCCTTGCCATTACAGGTACTGGTTCTCTCCCTTTCTATATCCCTCTTAGCAAAATTGTCATTATCACCAGTCTTGACCTCTTGACCTTCAATATGGCCTTGAGTCTCCTGTTGACCTTCCTGGTTTAAAGAACCAACTGCCAGCCTGTGTTCCAAGAGATCAAGCTCCTTCCTCTTATTGTCACACTGCTCTTTTATCTCAAGCTTGCTTTTCAGGTAAATCCCATGTCCTATAATATACAACAGAGAAATACATGCACTATAGTGTGAATATGAACCTAGTATGTTAAAGGGTTTATAAAATATCATGTACAAAAGCACTTAATTTCAAAAATTTATCAAGGGTGACCTTGGACCTTTAACCAATGACCCAAAAATCTAGCAAAGCATAGAACTTAATGGCATAAATTCCTGTCCTTGAATGACCTCAGCTGTCAAAATAAACCAAACCACAGAATTCAAAGTACATGTATATTAGTAATCTTGCTTTTGCATTTATTGTTTGTTTATTTGTTTTCCTAATTTGTTTGTTTCTTTTTCAGAAAGATAAATAAGGTTCTTACATAATCAATGTGTTATTTGGACAAATTATGATACAATATTAGGTATTTCTTATGATTAGAATTACATACCAACACAATCCAATGTTTCTGTCTTAGTCTTATTTCTACAGCACTTCTTACATAGACCAAAGGCACACTTCTTTCCCTGAAGACCAAATGTTACAACCATATAAAATTCAATATCATACACATCTACAGCAAATCAATTTAAATGACAACAATTTTGTAGACTTGTACTAAGTTGAAAGTACATCAATAGAAACAAGAGGCCCATGGGCCTTAACGGTCATCTGACAAAAAGCAAGCCAAACCTAGAAAGTGGGTTGAGGTCATTCATTTGAACAAACTTGGTAGCCTCTCCTCCAAGCATCTTACAGGCCCAATATCAGCACTCATGGACTTTTGCTTGTTGAGAAGAAGTCGTTTGTATATTTTAACATATTTGACCCCTGTGACCTTGAAAGTGGGTTGAGGTCATTCATTTGAATAAACTTGATAGCCTTTCCTCCCAGCATGCTACAGACCCAATATCGGCACTCATAGACTTTTGCTTATTGAGATGAAGTCCTTTGTATATTTTAACATATTTGACCCCTGTGACCTTGAAAGTGGGCCAAGGTCATTCATTTGAACAAACTTTGTAGGGCTCCATGCCAGCATGCTATGGGCCAAGTATTAGCCCCCTAGGCCTTCTAGTATTTGAGAAGAAGTTATTTAAAGATTTTGACATATTTGACCCCTGTGACCTTGAAAGTTGTTCAAGGTCATTCATTTAAACAAACTTGATAGCCCTTCATCCCAGCATGCCACAGGCACAATATCAGCAATCTGAGCCTTTTGGTTATTGAGAAGAAGTTGTTTAAAGATTTTAACATAACCCCTGTGACCTTTAAAGTGGTTCAAGGTCATTCATTTGAACAAACTTGGTAGTCCTTCATCCCAGCATGTCACAGGCCCAATATCTACACTCTGAGCCTTTTGGTTAATGAGAAGAAGTTGTTTAAAGATTTTAACATATTTGACCCCTGTGACCTTTAAAGTGGGTCAAGGTCATTCATTTGAACAAACTTGGTAGAGCTCCATGCCAGTATCCTCTGTGCCAAGTATTAGCCCCCTAGACCTTCTAGTATTTGAGAAGAAGTCGTTTGAATGAAAAGTTTACGCACGGCGGACGGCGCACGGCGGACGACGACGGACGAAGCATGATGACTATAGGTCATCGGACCCTTCGGGTCCAGATGACCTAAAAAACCAGTGAAATTACATGAAATAACAGCATGTTAAACAAATGTGTTTAGATTAACTTGTTTCTTTTCCACATCGGTAGTAAATAAGTAGATCTTAACATCATTTCCCAACATAATCCTACCCTAGGATTCTGACAACTGCCACATTTTTCATAACTGGTCTTCTTTGATCCATCAAAACATTTATGTGGATTTTTTATCTTTTTCTTTATCTTGTTTTTTGACATCCCGACCATGTCTGCTGGAATATTCTGTAGATCAAGAGGACGCTTTGTAGCCTCACGCTTTTTCTGATTCTCTTCTGCTTCCTCTGGACTGCATGGAGAGAAAAAAGACAATGATCATATAAAGTTGTTTTCTTCCTCCCTTTGTCTTCATTACAATTGGGAGTTGTCGAATATTAGACAAACAGGTAGCCCTAATGACTAACATATGGGAGCTTTGCATCAAGATCGTCACTAGACATTCACGACAATAAAATATTAAAAATTACAAAAATCACTCAATTTTCCCTATATATTCCTGTTTCCGTCTTTGCAAAACCGGACAGCATTAATAATACTAATGTCACTTGGAAACTTATTTTGTCGTTGAAATAATATGCAACATGTATAGAATTTAATTTGATATTCTTTTTGTCAATTCTCTGAAAAATTCAAATGTGACACTATCGGAAAATTTCTGAAACTGAAATGGCCTCTTCAATTGACAAGCCAGAGAGAAAATAACAAAAGCTTCATAATTTATGTTTTGCCATTCCCAGTGAGACTTTAACAAAAACAGTTGATTTCTATATCATGCTAATATTCAATTTTCAATAAGGCTATAATGCTATTCATTTGAAACATCTATTTGACCCAAGCGTTCCCCCAAAAAACCAATTCCATCAATAATTTTTTCTGCTTTTTTCTTTTAACAAATTTTAAATCAAATTCTGTTGGAGGCACCATTAAACAAAACCTGGAGTCCTGGGTTGGAATGGATATTTTACTGGGACAGCTCTAACAAAATCTGCAGTCCTGGGATGGGATAGATGTTTTACTGGGACAGCTCTAACAAAATCTGCAGTCCTGGGATGGGATAGATGTTTTACTGGAACAGCTCTAACAAAATCTGCAGTCCTGGGATGGGATAGATGTTTTACTGGAACAGCTCTAACAAAATCTGCAGTCCTGGGATGGGATAGATGTTTTACTGGAACAGCTTAACAAAATCTGCAGTCCTGGGATGGGATAGATGTTTTACTGGAACAGCTCTAACAAAATCTGCAGTCCTGGGATGGGATAGATGTTTTACTGGGACAGCTCTAACAAAATCTGCAGTCCTGGGATGGGATAGATGTTTTACTGGGACAGCTCTAACAAAATCTGCAGTCCTGGGATGGGATAGATGTTTTACTGGGACAGCTCTAACAAAATCTGCAGTCCTGGGATGGGATAGATGTTTTACTGGGACAGCTCTAACAAAATCTGCAGTCCTGGGATGGGATAGATGTTTTACTGGGACAGCTCTAACAAAATCTGCAGTCCTGGGATGTTTTACTGGGACAGCTCTAACAAAATCTGCAGTCCTGGGATGGGATAGATGTTTTACTGGGACAGCTCTAACAAAATCTGCAGTCCTGGGATGGGATAGATGTTTTACTGGGACAGCTCTAACAAAATCTGCAGTCCTGGGATGGGATAGATGTTTTACTGGGACAGCTCTAACAAAATCTGCAGTCCTGGGATGGGATAGATGTTTTACTGGGACAGCTCTAACAAAATCTGCAGTCCTGGGATGGGATAGATGTTTTACTGGGACAGCTCTAACAAAATCTGCAGTCCTGGGATGGGATAGATGTTTTACTGGGACAGCTCTAACAAAATCTGCAGTCCTGGGATGGGATAGATGTTTTACTGGGACAGCTCTAACAAAATCTGCAGTCCTGGGATGGGATAGATGTTTTACTGGGACAGCTCTAACAAAATCTGCAGTCCTGGGATGGGATAGATGTTTTACTGGGACAGCTCTAACAAAATCTGCAGTCCTGGGATGGGATAGATGTTTTACTGGGACAGCTCTAACAAAATCTGCAGTCCTGGGATGGGATAGATGTTTTACTGGGACAGCTCTAACAAAATCTGCAGTCCTGGGATGGGATAGATGTTTTACTGGGACAGCTCTAACAAAATCTGCAGTCCTGGGATGGGATAGATGTTTTACTGGGACAGCTCTAACAAAATCTGCAGTCCTGGGATGGGATAGATGTTTTACTGGGACAGCTCTAACAAAATCTGCAGTCCTGGGATGGGATAGATGTTTTACTGGGACAGCTCTAACAAAATCTGCAGTCCTGGGATGGGATAGATGTTTTACTGGGACAGCTCTAACAAAATCTGCAGTCCTGGGATGGGATAGATGTTTTACTGGGACAGCTCTAACAAAATCTGCAGTCCTGGGATGGGATAGATGTTTTACTGGGACAGCTCTAACAAAATCTGCAGTCCTGGGATGGGATAGATGTTTTACTGGGACAGCTCTAACAAAATCTGCAGTCCTGGGATGGGATAGATGTTTTACTGGGACAGCTCTAACAAAATCTGCAGTCCTGGGATGGGATAGATGTTTTACTGGGACAGCTCTAACAAAATCTGCAGTCCTGGGATGGGATAGATGTTTTACTGGGACAGCTCTAACAAAATCTGCAGTCCTGGGATGGGATAGATGTTTTACTGGGACAGCTCTAACAAAATCTGCAGTCCTGGGATGGGATAGATGTTTTACTGGGACAGCTCTAACAAAATCTGCAGTCCTGGGATGGGATAGATGTTTTACTGGAACAGCTCTAACAAAATCTGCAGTCCTGGGATGGGATAGATGTTTTACTGGGACAGCTCTAACAAAATCTGCAGTCCTGGGATGGGATAGATGTTTTACTGGAACAGCTCTAACAAAATCTGCAGTCCTGGGATGGGATAGATGTTTTACTGGGACAGCTCTAACAAAATCTGCAGTCCTGGGATGGGATAGATGTTTTACTGGGACAGCTCTAACAAAATCTGCAGTCCTGGGATGGGATAGATGTTTTACTGGGACAGCTCTAACAAAATCTGCAGTCCTGGGATGGGATAGATGTTTTACTGGGACAGCTCTAACAAAATCTGCAGTCCTGGGATGGGATAGATGTTTTACTGGGACAGCTCTAACAAAATCTGCAGTCCTGGGATGGGATAGATGTTTTACTGGGACAGCTCTAACAAAATCTGCAGTCCTGGGATGGGATAGATGTTTTACTGGGACAGCTCTAACAAAATCTGCAGTCCTGGGATGGGATAGATGTTTTACTGGAATAACCCTTACCCTTCAAACAAAACCTGAAAGTCTTGGGTAGGAAAGATGAGGTATATGTACTGGAATTGCCCTAATCAATATTCATTCTTTTGTATTTTGTACATCTTGAGGATATATTAAGGTATTCCCAGTTTTGTTAGCCTTTGTAAAACTGCTTCTTAAACTACAACTGATTTCATTTAACTTAATTGAAAACAACCTCTAATAACATGCACCAAAAAATAGAACATTATTCAACAAGGCTTTCTACAAGAAAAAATGCTCTCTTCCACTGTATACACTGTGGAAATAATATGTTGTGAACATGTTACCTTGGTCTAACATATGGCTGGCAGATCCAGTAAGGATGGGGTAGTTTGGACTCAAATATTTCTGGACAAGTCTTGAACTTCTCCATGTCCATCTGAAAATCATGACACAACTTGACCACTAAAATGATTTAAACTTTAGTTAAGTTCTACCACAAAAGCAATAGTTTTGTTTATAGCATATAGAATTAAAAAAATATCTATTTCTTGAATGACTAAATAAAACCATTAGTATGTCAGGATGTCAAGTTAAATGATGAAACTTAAAACAGTAGCTACTGTTATCTATAGGGATTTTGTCTACAACAGTACTCTGACATATCCCTATACAATGCCTAAATAGCATCACACTGTGGCAGTATAGTTTTACTCTAAATAGAGGATCTTGCATGAGTTTCCATATCACATAACATTTAAAAAAAATTTCAGTTTTACTTGAAAAACCAAGCCCCTTTTTTAAAGTAAAATGAAAAAGTGTGATAAATTTAACAATTTTCATATCTCTTTACTGACATATCAAAGCATGTCCTTAAATCAACCTAATCAAATTATAACGCTGGGAACCTCAGACAATAACAGTCCTGCTTGGTGTATCTATACATGTGGTTTCAATACTCCTTATGTAATGGTTGCATACTGGAAAGTGATAACAGGGTAATTATGTGACAAATCATAAGTGGTAAATAAATTCATTGTCATGCAGAACCAGATTTTGTAACATGTGGTGTGAGGTTCCTTTTTGTAAAGCATTTCATTTCTGGGATCTTTTTCTTGCAATCAACAAGACAATATACACACAAATAAAGTCATTCTTACCAAACATCTCTCTTTCATTTTGAGGACGGCCAGTTTGAGACTATCCAATGACTTCCCTGTACCTACCATCATCCTGATGTCAGAGTGAATAACCAGACTGAAATACAATCAATACCTAACAATGTACTTCTTCTACATATTATAAAAAATCTAGCTTTAAAATATTTCTCTAAAGAAGAACATACCAGTCTTCTATGATTTATCAGGAGAAAGACAATTTCATACTTTTGGATTAAGGAAAATGCTTTATGCAATATCACCGAATAATCTCCCATTTTCCCATGCCTTAATTTTCCCAATGCTTTCACCCAGCAGATACTTCCAATTAAGTCATGATAATAGCAAAAGATTGTGACTTACCCATGATGAAAGAGTTTGAACAGATGTCCTCTTACATAGGATAAAGGACAGGGATATTTATCAACAAATTCTAGGTATTCCTCCGCCATCTTCCAGATAGGAGGGTCTATACCATGGAAGAGGGCTGGGTTGTGTAGGTTACCCTCTGAAACAAGACATTAGTTACAGATACTAGGAAAACTCCTGGGTACTGACAATAATTCTTTCATCATTTCTGACAACTTTATGTCACTAAAGTGTACTGAAAAGTGACACTATATATTATTACATGTAAAATTAAAATAAAAGGAAAATTGAGAAGACATTTTCAGTATTGACAGACACATTGATGTATAATGTAGCGCAGCACTTCTTTGGCTCATAAGTAGTAACTTTTTCAATAAAAAGTTGAAATATGACAGGACATAGATACAAACCTGCAGTCATAACGCCATCAACTCCAGTTTCCTCAAGACACCTTTTGACATCAGACAGGTACTGGATGTTACCATTACTGAAAACAGGAATCTTCACATTGTCCCTGAAAGCACATGTCATTGGTCTCAATCTTAAAGAAGACTTTCAAGGTTAACTGCAAATTGTTGACCAACAATTTGATGGTCTTTTCACCTATACATAACATCTACCTAAAGGTCAGTCATTTCCAAAAACATGAAAGCTAACCATTCAAGCAATTTATATATTACATATCTAGTCTACCGACTGTACAGCTTCAGATTATTGATTTGCGTTACCCCTACCTCCATCCCTCCCCCCCCCCAAAAAAAAAAAAAAATTCTACATATGACCCTTTCCTAAAACCAGGAGTTGACATTTGACACAATATCTTCTTAATAGTATCAATAACAATCAAATGCAATATGCAAATAGCCAAACACCATCACCCTGTACCTCTTAGCTACTGAAAAAGAAGCCATTTAAAGGTTTTAACAAAATTGACCCCTCTTACCTTAAAAGTATCTCAAGGTCATTCATAATATCAAAGCTGATAACTAACAACTGGGATATACTATGTGGGAAATATCAAGGCTGTAGACCTTGTGGATGTTAAGAGAAATTTTCAAAATTTGTTACCCAAAATAGGAATTTTCAACCTGACCCTTATTGGGGACTGGTAGTACAATTTTCAGACCAGGTTTTATTAATACATTTAATAGCAATTGATCATTGTATGCTACTGACAAAACTTCATCACAGTGTGCCTCTGGGTTATTGAAAAAATACTATTTAAAGATTTTGACATAATTGAATACTGTGGCCTTAAAAGTCAGCCAAGGTCATTTATATTAAAGATCATGATAGTCAATGACCAGAGGCTCCTAAATATGAAATATCAAGGATATAGACCTTCTGAAATTTGAGAAATTTTTTCAAAGTTTGTAACACAAAATATTATTTTTAACTTTGACCCCTATCGAGAACAGAAAGTTGAATTTTCAGACAAGATTTTGTAAATATATTCAATAGCAAGTGATAACAGTATGCAACTGTATGAATTTCATCATCATGTATCTTGGTTATTGAGAAATTGTTTTTATTTTACCACATCATGGCAGTCATATTGGATTTATGACATATTTAAAAATGTTACATGTATATCTTCAGATATGTACCAACAAAATTCTTTGAGAGGCAATGTTCATCTTGCCTTTAAAACTGAGAAATTTGAATTTCTAAATAATGCAGTTTTAAATACATCATGTATAACAATTGCTAAAGTTATCATTGAAAAATATGTATTTTCTATAATGAAGTCATTATACTGACGAAAATAATGAAATGATGTTGTACCTGACTGCTTTGATATATCTCCAGTCAGCCAATCCTGTCTTAGGGCCCTTCTGTTCCTTTGTTCTACCATGGACAGTTAATATCTAGGAAAAGATATAATCAATATCTTATTTACAATAATCTGTGGCATTGGCTGAATTTTTGATGTTTTCAATATGATAAGGAAAATTCCTTCTTGGAATTTTATAAGTCAGAACAATGCTTTGCATTAAGATCTCTACAGGATTATTTTGATCGAGTGACATAGTAAAACTTTTGTCAATGATAAACCTTCATTGCTTAAAGGCATATAAAAAAGTTGTTTTATATCTTTTTAGAACTCATTCTAATGACTTTTAAAACCATTGTCAGCATTAAAATATCTGTCCTCAGGTCAGTTTTAGTAGATATACCTCCAGACAATACAAAAATTTGGCTGTCTAAATATAGCACATTTGGAAATACAGAACTCAATAACTGACAGGATCATAGATTTTGTGTTAAGTATTAGGTCTTTGTGATGTTTACTTATTTCTGCTAGGATCTGGATTCCATTGTTTTGTTTGGCTTATTTCTTGTTGATTTTAAAATATATACAGATATTTCCTACTGTTCTGCAAGTAAAAACAAATCTATCCTGGCTCAATCATGGTCCAGCTAAGTTTGTAAATCAAACTAGCTAGATCTATATAGAATCCCCACAAATGAAATATTGAACTTGTGTTGAATATCCCTTTAAGGTACTGGAGAACTCCTATTGAAGTACCAGTCACTTTTATATTTGACTTTATGAGGCATCTGTCAGACGTTGTTTTTTCACTTTATAAAAGTAGCAAATTGGAGTATGTATATATGTCAACCATCTGCAATAGTTACCCCAATCCCAATCTGATAATGTTTTATGATTCAAACATTGCCACTTTTTATCCAAAAAACACCTACCACAATATGTATCATAATGTCAAGTTCCATATTGCAGCAATGAGACTAAATCACAAGTCTAACGAAGGTGTTGCAAAGAAAGAAAAAATGCTGACCCTGAATATCATACCCTTTAATTGTCAATTGGCAGTAAAACAATACAGAAAATGATGTTTCTTTGGGTTTCTTAATATATCTTTAATGCTGAAAACCTAGCCAAATGTAGTGAAAAGAAATGTAGTATCCTGGGGTAGGGACATCTCAAATATCTTTTATTTTTGGATCAAGTAGTTCCATTAAATACCTCAAGGAATACATCACATGTTTTTCCGAATTATCAACGAGTCATACCTGACATCCAGCCTTTTCTAACATCTGAGCATACTTCACAGTCTTTTCCATGCTCTCAAAGATTCTCACTTTACAGGTGATGGGCACTTTAAGCCTCTCATGACAAAGTTTCACTGAAGAAACAGATACCAAGTAGAGAGGTTAAAAAATCAATATCATTTAACAGAAGAAATACAAGTTGTATTACCATAAATTATGCCACAATCATAATAGTTTTGTTCTATCTGATCAGGAACCTATGGTATAGGTAAAGTATAGATGACTTGTGATCAGGTTCAAGTGACATAGCTCACTTGAAACTTTGACATGGTATAGAACATGTGTGATGATTGAGCTCAGTTGAACTTTCAACTCAAGATGTTTGCTAATAAAGCAAAAGAAATCTACAATATACTATCACACAAACCCATTTTCTCCAAGAGTTCCCATTCGTCCTGTAGAAAAGCACCATAGTGTCCACGCTTTGCAATGACTTGTGGACAGCCAAGGTTGAGATCAATGGCATCACAGTGATCCTCTGCCAACAGGGCTGCCTTAAGGAAAGTGTCTGGATCATTTGCACAAAACTGGTGAAGACAAATTACATGAACGATTTTAGTTTAAAAAAATGGGCTTTTCAGTTTTTTTTCTGAAATCAATGAATATCTAGAATTGAAAAAAGTCAATTTCTAAAAGACAAATTTAGCAAGCAGATTGTCTGAACCATTTAGTGTACCTGAACTATGAGTGGTCTGTCTTCTGAACAGGACTGCAAAGCTTCTGTTCTGTAGTGCTGATCCCTATTAAAAACTGAAGCATGCAACATCGGTGTGTAGCAGAGTTCAGCACCATAGCGACGACTAAGCATTCTCCATGCCAATTCACTCTGGTCTACCATTGGGGCCACAACATACTTTGCAGAATTCAATGTCTTTCTCCAAAATTCATAGCCACCAATTTTGTCTGCCATCTGAAAACAACAGGAATTTGGAATACGTCAATTGCTGACAAAAGTATTTTTTTAGTATTTAAAGACCAACATGTTATCAGCATTAAATCTATCTTCTTTTTATTGTACAACATCCTCGATACTCAAGGGGTTACGATCACTTTCACTCTCTGTACCCCTGGAACATGTCCTGATAAAATTGAGGTTCCATGTACGACGCCTTGTGGATATGACAAAAAGACCAGTTTGATTCTTTGATGTACACCAAACGAATCTCAAGGTCACATAACGGTATAGGCTTTGAAGTTGGGTGTCACTCCAATGTGATCTTCAAAAGGAGCAGATCAGCCTGTGAATGGAAATATTTTCCCCTTGAACCAACCAAATTACTTGAGTGTGCATTCAAATTCCCATGATATGTTCCAGGGGTGCAGAGAGCGAAAGTGATCATAACCCCTGAGTAACGAGGATAATTCTACGAAAGATCCTTAAGAAAATTATATTTCTGTTCTTAAACGTTGTCCAACCATTGGTATTCACGCTTGTTTGTCAAAGATAAATTATCTCATTAAATTCTTCTTTTATTCACATCATGAAATCAAAGTGTGTGAAAACTATTATTTCCATATGTAATGTTTTTGAATGTAATATATTGAGATTTACATAATAGTGTAGTACATATCATAATCTTAATAATAAGCATCATAATAATGCTTATCTGTGATCAACAAACAGCATGCTAGACACATATCTTGTGGTCCAACATGTACACTCAGTCTCGAACACTTGAAACAGGAAACCAAGGGGGATTTTTTCTGAGACTGTTGAAAAAATAAATACCTTTCAAAATAAAAATCCTGTAAACGTTATATCATATCATACACTTGTCTATTGATTCGGTAGAATATGTCTCAAATCTTTGATCGCTCATTCACGCGTTCTATTTGTACAGAGACTTAACATGACGAAAAAGTTTTAACACATGGCGAAATGTAAACAGGAACAGGTTGTCTAAAGGGAAGTCACTCCAATTCAAAAACTAACATGGACTGTTTCATTTGAACAAACGGGGTGTATATAATTAACAGATTTAGTAGTTTCATAATTTTTAAATGTAGGACTGATATGAAAGTTGAAAAAAAACGGTCATAGATATTCAGTGATTAAAATTTTATGAACTAAAATAGTTCTTTATATACAAATATCAGACAACACATCCTTCCCTCCCCCACAAAATAATGTTGCGTCATGTGATCGATAGGCGGAAGTCAGCTGAGATCCATCAGTGAAAGTAGAAGTCGGGAGGAGCACAGAAATTACTATTGGTGAGTGATTCCATTGTAAACGATCGACTTCTTCTTTTTAGAATATTTTTTTAATGTATCTTAAGAACCGATGTTTATATGACTTTGAGTATGGCATATAGGTTTTCTTATTAATGTGATTGGCTGTGCTAGATCCTGTTGGCTGACTTGACAGATGGATTTCAGTACTTTGATTAATCTGATAACAGACTCATGATCAGTACATCAGATGGAAAAGTGATCATTTTCCTGGTTGTTTATCTGTTTATCCATGGTCACCGCTGTCGATATTAGAATCCGTCCTCACCAAATCTACAAATATATTCAGTTATTCACAGCATTGTCTATACATAGTATGATTGTATATTGAATTCCTTTATTATTTAAGTAATTTTGATTAGAAACCAGTAACAGAAATTACACATTTAGTTAAGCTTACCTACTAACTTTCATAATGCAAGATTTGTTATAATAATTACTTAGAATTAAGTGTGTAAATATATAAACAAATACAAGTTGATTTGAAATGAAAGTACATAAAGTGGATTTTCCCATATCATTCATATTGTTATTCTGAGGTGGACTCAATCTTTGTATATTTATGGTATCAAAATGTCATTCATGTAAAACAAATGTTTTCTTCCTTACCTAATGATGACTGATCTATTGAGCGTTCAAATTTTTCTTTATGTGAGTTAATATTAAACAGCTGACTAACTTAATTTCTTTACTGTAATCTAAGACCTCTTGATTAGATGACTAATATAGAGTGTGCCAGTAGTCATACATCAGAGAATCTCCAAGCCAAGGTCTGTAAAAGAAGGTATCTATATCTGTTACAGGGAGGCTTTCGAAGCATTAAACATGTAAATTTATCTCCATATCCATATTAGGCCTGAAATATTAACATCGATCCAATCTCAAGGACCAGACATTCCATTGAAAAAACCTAGTTATACCAGATCATCCTTAGAACCATCAAAAGATAGAAAGAACTTGTGGTTGTTAAAAATGTTCTTCTTTTTATGTATCTATAAAACTTAGATTTGAGACAAAAAGACGAAAAACAAAAACAATACAGTTCAAATTTGCCCAGAAACCAAAACATTGATGTTTTTTCTTATATGATTACAATAGGAAAAGTATTATATCATCATAAATATCTGTCATGTATACCCGGTAGTGAATTTGAATGACACATTTTGCCAGTGGCTATTACACAATGTACTAAGGCAAAACTGTTGACATTCAGTATGATGTATGTGACCATTTTTAATATTGTTAAATCACAGTGTAGTTGTTGATTCACTTTTTCTTTACCTAAATGTGAAAGTGTGATTTGGTAATAATGATAATACAATGAATTAATAATGATAAAAATATTTCTTTTATGACATATTTGAATATATGATATAGTCAGTATTATATAAAACATAAACATCAACTTATAATGAGTTTACTGTATGTGAATGTTGCCTATAATTCTGCTACTTTTACATAAAAGATGTGTAATGATATAATTTACCTAAGGTTGGCTTGGTGGAAAGTGTCTGCAGAGTTAATTTTCTAATAAAGTAATATCTTACTATATAAGACCAACTTATGCATAACATGAACAAAAATGGCTATAGGGGATTATGAGTGGTTGTTTAACACTCTATTCAGACTGCACATCTATTAAGACTATCTGTCCAGTCACCAATGTGGTCTTGTTAATATGGTTTTGCTATAATTGACAATGCCAAGGGGATTTTTGTATCAAGAAATAATATGTTCTATTGATTCAAAGAATACAGCAAGCTTTGAAGTCAATGACTTTATTTCAGACTTGCATTTGTCAATATATATTCAGGTCTTTTTGGGGTTGATAATGATTCCCTGTTGAAATTATTCCATATCTAAGTCAAATCCCAGAAATAGCAATTTATTCCTGAAAATTTCTGTCCCAATTCACCTATTTTCTTCCCAAAATGAGGCGAAGATACCCCAAAGCAAGAAAAAAGCCTGATCATAAATATGTGTAACTGTCTTTTATTTGCTGATAATGGTAGTATATACATGCATAATATTGCTGAAACATACATATGAATTAAACATACTTGATCAATAGTAATGTATAATTCCTATTTAAATGAGGAAGGGCTATGTGCATTTGGTAATACATAAATCTAAGATCATATCATAACTGTTTACCTTAAATATACCTTGTTGCTATACTAGTATACAGGTGTGCTGACTGTTATCAGTTATTTACGTGTAGATTTCCAGTCCCTGTAGGGGCTTGTATCACTGTACCATGTATATTAACCGACACAGGTATGGTGACATAGTTAGTTTGGAATACCAGTGTTGTGTAGGACCAAAAGCGGATCTAGTTGTGATAGGTAGGGCGTATACATTTAGTTAGAGGTCAGGTGCAGCTACAGACCAGGATATTACAGGTATACCGGTAATAAAGATTCAATTTTAATCTGAAACAAAATTTTACTTGAAATTTTGAACAGTATGTGTAATACCTGAATTGTAAATGAATAGTTTATGAAAAAATGGTATTTAATAGAGAAATTGATTCTATTGTTAAAATTCAGACACTGATATTATCCAGCAAAATTCAGGTTAATTATATCAGATAAAAGACAATACTGGCAGCATTTTTTATTTATATTTGTAAATAATCTTAATTTATAGAGCGTATTTGATAACTAATTTAATGAGAAGTTCATGCACGTTACTGATATATGTCATGGAGTGTATGCAAAAATTGAGTTCACACTTTAATGGTAAATGAAAATTTATTTCCATCATTCCTCCTGTACTTGCTTATACACATTGTATTTTGAAAATTGGAGTTTCAGAATGTATTTCTCTCTGCAGTATCTAAAGTCAAGTTTTCCTTTAAATTCTTACTGCTGGAGAAGGAATATGTTTAATGTGAAATGTTTTGTTCTGTTGATAGTGAAATCTTTAGAAGGAACTACCATATTCAACCTAGAAAGTGTACATTTTGCATACAAAACCCCAAAACTGATTGTCAGAAAACAATTTTTGCTTGAATTGTATTTTAAGAGTTGGAACTTAACTGTTAGAAAACATGATTAGAATTTAAGAAAAAAACCCACAAAAATTCAGTCATATTACTTGCATTACAGTATGTGCTTTAACGTTGGAGTCAAAGAGTTAATTGATCTCTAAGTATACAGTTTTGATTAAGCACACTTGTTATCTTGCCTTGAAGAAAAGGATGGGGTGTTCATATATGAGCTGATGGGTTGAATATGGTACTAGTAAATAAAATACTGTTTTCTAGTGTATGTGCTTGATTTTCAGACTCTATAATGGTTAAAATACAGTATAAGAGTAGATTGTCTTTATATTCATAAGTCAACATCTAATTATTGTAAGTTGTACCATTTTCAGTTAAAAAAAAAGACAGAAGTTATGTAATGCAATATTTCATTTATTAGGTACCAGGGTACTTGATGGTTTTGACTGTTTTATCGAAGGAGTCAAACATACCATATTCTTTCTGTGTCTGTTAAGTAAATTTTGCAAAAGTATTATTCATGATGTGCATTTTTACAGATGCAGATTTGTAATCAATAATAACGAATTTGTGATCAAAGCAACATTAAAAGTGAAGGTCTAATCTCATAAATCACTTTATGCAGGACCCACACCTACAGCAACACAGAACACCAGTGATATATTTTTATCTGTGCTGTATATCTATATATAGATCTCTTTAAGTATATAATGTACTGTACATGTAGTAACACATGGCACCAGGTGGCTGTGTCTGTTGAATCAATATGTTGTTGATTTATATGATAATAGACTCCATATTTTGTAACAATTTGATAGATATATCTGAATGTGGCAATAAATGCTGAACACTTGACAACAATTGTTTTGATATCAATTGTCCTATTTGTTTTTAAGTTAAAGATTTTTTTAATGTTTCTGATGGGTTATAATAGCCACATTATCTTGTTCTCTGCACTTTATTTCATTCTCTAGAATACAAAATTGAATCATTGATCCTTTACACTCTACAATGGTAAAACTTAATTGCAAACAAACTTACACACCAATATAGTTCAGATCCAGATGTATGATGTTTACTTGTATATTGTATAATAAGGTTTTTTCAGGGTCGTACAGACATGTATATGTATAAACTACATATGAATCATCCTCCTTACAATTGATAAGATAGTCATTCCTCATGTATTACCTCTGTGATACAATAAAATCCCTGCAGCTAATGCATGTATAGAAACTGAAATTTGTTGGAATCAGCTTAGAGAAAAGAATTGCTTTGTTATCCTAAACTATTTTGTTATTTTTACCCCATGCACTTGCATTTATAGAATAAACAGCATTCATTCTGATAAATATCTAGAAAAACCTATCAGCATAAGATTTTAAATGTAATGACATTCAGAACACGAGGGTCCCAGACATTTATATGGTTATGGTTGCTTTCTCATATTGTAAATTTACGGTCTGTGTACATGTAAGCCATGTACAAGTATACTCTTTGAAGCAACACATTTAAAAAGGACCTCAATAATTTTAAGGATTTTATTAAATTTTTGAAGGAAGGACTGCCTTTTATCTGATATGCTGTATACAATGTTAACATCAAAATGTGCACATGTTTGTAATTGTATTACTTATGTGATTAAGTTTAAAATAATTTATGCAAGTACAATATGGTATTGGATTCTATAACAACAGACTGTTTTGGATATTTCAGAGTTGGTACAAGCAAAATATTTGTGAAAGTGTGTTGACACCAATTTTTCAAGATGGGGGCACTTTTTCGAAGTGAGGAAATGAACTTGTGCCAGATTTTTCTGCAGTCTGAGGCATCATATGCTTGTGTGTCAGAACTGGGAGAGTTAGGCCTTGTTCAGTTCAAAGATGTAAGTTTTAAATCAATTAAACCAGTCCACATGGGCAATCACTTTTATAATCCAACATTAAATACATGTCTGCTAATAAGCCCACTGTTATCTCATTCAGTTCTGTGTCAACAGATGCTAATAATATAAAGTCCTGTATTAAGCCTGATATGTAATATAATCAAATTAAGATAGGACTATAACTAATTGTATGTGGCCTATTGATGAGTGGAGAAATGTAATATGTATTCACTCTTGCTGAAGATTTACTTCAAGTTTGCTGTTTATTTTGTATTTTACAAAACTGAACATTTGAAATTTTTCATTGTTTAAAAGCTTAATCCTGATGTGAATGCTTTCCAAAGGAAGTTTGTCAATGAGATCATGCGATGTGATGAAATGGAAAGAAAGTTGAGTAAGTATCAAAATAATGTTTGTTTATGATTAAATCTTCAGTTTATTAATCAGTTCATATCCTTTAAGTAAATGATTTATCAGTAAAAGAGTTTTATAAGGAGACAAAATATCCATTTTTTTAAATAAAAAAAGTCTTTGGTAATACTTTATTGTTTGTTTTTATTTTCTTTTTAAATTTTATGGATAAACTTTTTCATTGTCAGGATACATTGAGAAAGAGCTTAAGAAAGATGAAATGAAAATTCCGGACACAAATGAAAACCCAAAGGCTCCTGCTCCCAAAGAAATGATAGACCTGGAGGCGACATTTGAGAAAATTGAATCAGAGCTTCGTGAAGTCAACACTAATGCTGAAGCTTTGAGGAGAAACTTTCTGGAGCTATCAGAGCTGAGAGAGGTGTTGAAGAAGACACAAGTATTTTTTGAAGAAGTATGTAATTTTACATTCACCTTATGGTTTTAAAAATTTAACAATGATTCAGTTATTTTTGGAAAGATATAAATTTTTCTGTATTTGAATGGTGTTGCTGAACTTTTGTTTAGGGAATCTAAATACCTGGGTGTGTTTTGTTGAACTGTTTTCAGTTTTTGAAAAGTAAACTGCTTTTATGATTATGATTAAGCTTACCCAAAGCTTCTTATTGAATTTCTGAGGGGTCCTGAAATGAAGGTTAAGTACTTAGTATTTAAAAACCATTTATCTTCATTTTTCCTAGCATGGTGGACACCACAGTATGATCGACGATGCCCAGATGGCACTGGTCCATGATGAAGCTGGTATGCCTTCAACTACAGTCCAACTTGGGTAAGGCTTTTAATCTGTACATCCATTTGATTCGGTGGCACATTATTTCACTAATGTGTGTATTAATTTGGAATTAAAAGAAAATTAACTAAGGAAAGGTGCTTATGTTTGGACCATTTTTCATACATAAATTGATAAGTCTTACTTTATGTTGGAAATACAGCTAAATATTTTATACTACTGGAGGGGTTGGGGAGGTTATAAAATGAAAAGTTTGTTTGTTAAAGCTCTTACAAACTCAGTGTTTGAGTGAAGATAGTGTTTTTTTTTTCTTGCTTCATAAATATCATTCTTTAAGAATTAATTTCAAGGAAATTGTCGGAAAACTGATAAAGCAGAAAGAAGACCAACACCACATAGTCTTTATTCTCTTGATCTTGGTAATGTTGTACATCAATTTCCCATCCAGATTTGTAGCAGGTGTGGTACCTAGAGAGAAAATCCCAGTGTTTGAGAGGATGATGTGGTTTGCATGTCGTGGTAATGTGTTCCTGAGGTATGAAGACATCAACCAGGTGATGAAGGATCCTGTCACAGTAAGTTTAGATATTCAATTGTATAGTCAGACCTGTCTTTATCAGTCACTTTAGAGAGAAATGGGATCTTTCTGCCAATCACAGCTCTGCTGGGTCATATTTAATGTATATCACAACAAACATTTATATTATGAATGTTATTTCATTGATAACATTGTTGTTATATACTAAGTGATAATGAAATATTCTGGGTTCTTGGTAAATGACTTTTACAATTGTTTTCTATCCAATATTAAGGGAGATGAAATCCACAAGTCTGTCTTCATAGTATTCTACCAAGGGGAACAACTCAAAGCAAGAGTGAGAAAAATCTGTGAGGGGTAAGTGAAATATCAAAAACCAGTCATTTTCATGTTGAGAAGAAAGTAACTTTTTTAATTCAAAAGATGAGAATATAAGTGATATCAGGACTATGAAATGAATACAGTTTAACTTGGTAGGTCAGTCATATCTGTTATCAGTTTTGTGCATTATATCTTGTAAATATGAAAGTAGCATAGATCAATTTGAAGTTCTTTTTTTTAACACAAATTCATCTAGAAGTTAAAGTAAATTTCAAGTAATATTCTTCATTGTCTGTTTTAGATTGAAAAGACATATTTAGACAGAACAAAAAATGAACTTGTCTTTTTTTTATAATATCATTTTGTATTTGTTAAATGCATTTAGATTTCAGATGCAAGTTAGTACCTTATGTGTTTTGTATAAACATTGCAGATTTAAAGCTGTTCTATACCCATGTCCAGAGAATGCTCAGGAGAGGTTTGAGATGTCAAATGGTGTAGCTACTAGATTGGAGGATCTCAAAACTGTATGAACCACTGAATAAAATTATTTTACTTTCAATATTAAATTTTTATAACATAATTGCTAGATTCAGTATTAAATATGCTTCAAAGCAAATTTAAAAAAAAAAATGTCAATGAGAGAATCGTCCTGTGAAAGTTTAACTGAGAAAACAAAGTTTGAAAATTTACATTTCATTCTTCTTCAAACAGAATACATCTAAACAAATTCTCTAATAAGTATATAAATGTTTGCCTTGAACAGGTGTTATACCAGACTGAAGAACACAGGAGGCGTGTGCTTGCAAGCGCCCAGAAGGAGATTAGACAGTGGGTGATCAAAGTTAAGAAAATCAAGGCAATTTACCATACCCTGAACTTGTGTAACTTTGATCTGTCTCACAACAGTCTCATTGCTGAGTGCTGGTGTCCTGTTGTGGCTCTGGAGGATGTGCAGAGGGCCCTCAGACACGGAACGGTCAGTGCTCTTTTAAAATGTGGCCAAACTGGTACATTTATGATCTGTTGAATAAGATAAAAGGAAAATAAGGTTTGAGTAAATCTGTACAATCAAGAGTATAAATGTTAAATATGTTGTCAGGAGTCAGATGTTAATTTATGTAGACACTATTCAATAGAAATTTGTGTTTAGGTGTGAAGCCTAAATAATCAGTAAAATCTATATATGGGGACAATATCAATGCAAGTAGAACCTATAAATAGACACCAGGCCCCACTTGTATAAAACATCTCAACTAGAGATTTCCTCAAGTCGAGATTTTCCTCAGCTGATATCTCCTCAAAAACGGCTTGTATAAAATTTTCTCAAGGAACAGGAGGAAGTCATCGGCTTGGATGTCCTGAAATTCCTTGAGGAATTTTCATACAAGATATTTTCAAGGAGACATAAGCTGAGGAAAATCTCGACTTGAGGAAATCTCAAGTTGAGATGTTTTATACAAGTGGGGCCAGATCTTAAAGTTGAGTCTATATGTAATGACTAGATTTAAGTAAGATCTTTAGATTCATTGATTCACTGGGGAGAGATATCAGTTAGACTTGTCACCCGATTTACTGCCTCTATACTTAACACTGATGTACAATTAAAACCAATATGTGACCTCTGTATTCTTAATAGATTAAATAGAAAGGAGTTCAATTTTTTATAATGCTCTGTCGTTTTAAGCCTTTTAAACTTCAACAATGCTTTCATTCTAGTTGAAAAATGCAAAATTAGAATTTGTGGTTTTTTTTTGTTTTTTTTTCTTCGAAATGTCAGTTTGGAATATCCCTGAAACAAGTTGGAGAGTTATTGTCCATTTGCCATTGCTACTTCACCATTTGATTGATTTAGAAATAGTTATTCAGTATTTTCTTCTGTGTGTGTCAACAGGAGTTGAGTGGAAGCACAGTACCAAGTATCTTGCATAGGATGAGTACAAAGGAAACACCACCTACTTATTTCCGTATCAACAAGTTCACTTCAGTGTTCCAAAGTATTATACATGCCTATGGTGTGGCTGATTATCAAGAGGTCAACCCAGGTAAGATTGTACACAGAGACTGATCACTATAGTCCATTTCTGGTCTTTTAACATTAATATTGTGTAGTATGAATGTGACCGAATAAACTTAAATAAACAAAATGCTTGAAATATTACCAGGTATATAAAACATTCTTCTTTTGCAACTTGGAATACATGTTTATTTAGAATATACATATATACGTATGAAGATATTTTCAAACTGACTTACTTGTGGTCAATTTTCCATTTTACAAATGAGAAATTTCCTATAATGCTTTTCATTTGAAAAGCAGGATTTAAGATAATAATACCAAATATATTTCTCGTTTTAGCACCATACACTATCATATCTTTCCCTTTCCTGTTCGCTGTGATGTTTGGAGATGTCGGCCATGGCTTCATCATGTTTTTGTTTGGACTTTGGATGGTTGCTTCTGAGAAGAAACTACTTGCTCAGAAGTCTGACAATGAGGTAAACAAATTTTGAAAATCAGTGATCCATTCAAAACATTCTATACTATTTACATTTTACTTCATTTGAAATGAAAGAAAATGAAATGAATTTATTTGAAATTGTAACATTTCAGAAGTATTGTGTTATTTCTTTTTTAAGGTGTGGAACATTTTCTTTGGCGGTCGTTACATCATTTTAATGATGGGACTGTTTTCTGTATACACTGGACTCATCTATAATGAAGTGTTTGCCAAGTCAGTCAACATATTTGGTTCTTCATGGAAACCAAATTATGAGTAAGTAACGATATCCTTTATCCTTTTCCAAGAAATCTCATTTACCCTCAACTGATTAAGTTAATACTTATGTTATACTATTGTACCATAAAAATTTGCACCTGATTTGCTTATGGTGGTCATTGGTCAAAGATCATACTTTCAAATCTTCAAGGAATTTTCACTGGTATTAAAGCATACATAATTTCCTGAAGGTGTTTGTTCTCAGTAAGTCTCTATTTAATTGGATTTTTTTCTGATACAATGTGTTTTTTCAGTAATTCAACGCTTGAAGCCAATAAAGACCTGACCCTTAACCCAGCAACGATGTTTGATAACGTCACTGGGCCGTATCCTCTGGGGTTAGATCCTGTGAGTATTCCTATTCTTCTGACTATCAACCATTAGATTTCTCATTTTCAACTTTGAAAAAAGACAAGATGTTTTTGTAGATTTTGAAACAAGACTTCTTTCAATTATTTTTCAATTGACTTCATTGAACAACCACGAAAAGAAAATAATGGGTTTTTTTTAATTTTTGTTTTGTGGGTTTTTTTTTTTCTTTTTTATTATTATTATTTTTTTTTTTTTTTTTTCATAATTTGGTTTTTGTTTAAATTTGATATAGCTTGAAACTGGACCTTCTTTTTGAAACATTGTATATACAGCAAAGTCATAACATCATTTTTTTTTCCTATTAAATCATGCTGTTTTGATTAGGTGAATGGTAGTGATATTAAGTAATTTGCTTCTGATTAGGCAGAGTTATTCCCCCTTCACTGATCTATTTCTATATCTGGTGTTATTTGCTGTTTGTTTTCAGATATGGCTGTCCAGTCTTAACAAGATCACATTCACTAACTCATTTAAGATGAAGATGTCCATCACCATTGGCATCAGTCAAATGATTTTGGGTGTCCTGCTTAGTGTTGTCAACCACATGTAAGTCAAAGTTCATATAAAAATTGTAAGGTCAAAGGTCAAAAAGTTAGTAGAATAGCGTTAAAGATCAAGTAGAGAAAAATGAAGCAAATCTCACACTATTATTTCATAAAAAAATGAGATAGAAAACTAAGGTCAAATTTCAAATAGCAAACCTGAAGCCAACAAATCAGATAGCAATGTAAGGTCAAAGTACATATTGTAAATGTCATGCCATCAAAGGTCCAAGATGAAAATGTTTGATATGATGTCAACAAAAAAGGTATGAACGAAAGGTCAAGGTGAAGGGTCACATGTATGTCTAATGCCATTCAATGTTTAAAACAATAAGGTGAAATGTCACATGTTTGTCAAGCACCATTCAACAGTTAAAAGGTCAAGATGAAGGATCATGTTTGTCAACAATGCTATTCATTGGTTAAAAAGTCAAGGTGAAGGGTCACATGTTTGTCAAATGCTATTCATTGGTTAAGAAATCTGAGATGTCAAGGTTTACAGCTTAAAATGTAACCAATCTGTCTAAAATGTCCTCAGAATAAGTGTACACTTTGTATATATAGAATTTAAAAAAAAGAGGATTGCATGGATATTCCTTAACTATGTATTGAAATATTTGTTTGAATCTCGATAACTTTTCTTTCAGATACTACCGTAACTGGCTCAACATCTTTTGCCAGTTTATACCAGAGTTACTTTTCCTGTTGTGTCTGTTTGGATATCTGGTAGGACTCATCTTCTTCAAATGGGTCTCCTACACAAATGAGTGTACACAGTGTGCCCCCTCGCTTCTCATTCGTAAGTTAGCAGACACTTCCTATTCATCAGTCACTTATGTATTAGCAGCAATTATTGTTGTTTCAATTCAACTCATCAGTTATGAGCTGGCTTAACATTTATGTGTTCCTTGCCTTATTCTGCTGGAAATATTGAAATGGTTTCTGTCCAGTAAAAAAGCTTTGCACAGTCAAGGTCTGAAAACTCCATGTGCTTCAAGTCTTGTGCCTTTCTACAGAGTAAATGGTAAAGATGATGATACCATTACTTGCTGGATTTGTAAATCTTTCAAGTATGCTGCTTTGTAATTTGATGTCTGTTTAGTTCCGTAAGGAGAATGTTGATGTCAGTATAGGCTTGTTACTGTTTGTCATGTAGAAACATCCAATGTTTTTCCAATACATGTACATACTGCTAGCATATATGGAAATACCAGGATATCAGGATATTTTTCAGCAGTGCAATTCTTGCAAAAATTCCCAAAATTATTTTTTTGCGATTTCATTCTCTGAGAAGTTTGGAAGGCCTCTCTTCAAGACTTTAAATTGGCATAGCTTATATATACATGTACTGATGTAGGTTCTAACTTGAGATCTAACTGATCAGTCACACTTGATAAGAGATTTACATACCGACTAGTATTTATTTGTCAAAGAAAGATCCATGACTAGAAAGTATTCTGGTACATGTAGGTACCTAACTCCACTGATGTATTATTCTTTTTATTACAATAAAAAAAAGGAAAACATGCAAATTTATGATTTCAAATTTTTGTGATTTCTAATGGAAAAAATAGGAATGCAAAAGATATTTCCGATACAAGATATTTGGATTCTTTTGTCATTGCAGATTTTATCAACATGTTCCTTGTGAAATACCAGCATGCAAATGATGGATATGAGGAACAAGCTTATAAATGTGAAACAGCTGATCCAGACATAACAGGATGTACCTCCCAGACAATATTCTATCCCAATCAGGTAAGTCCTGTATTCCCTGTCTTACCTTGATAGACTCATCCAGACATAACAGGATGTATCATCCATACAATATTCTATCCCAATCAGGTAAGTCCTGTATTCCTTGTCTTACCTTGATAGACTCATCCAGACATAACAGGATGTATCTCCCATACAATATTCTATCCCAATCAGGTAAGTCCTGTATTCCCTGTCTTACCTTGATAGACTCATCCAGACATAACAGGATGTATCTCCCATACAATATTCTATCCCAATCAGGTAAGTCCTGTATTCCCTGCCTTACCTTGGTAAACTACTTTTTTTTTAAAATTAATTTGAGAGTTATTGCTTATTGTATGATGAGTCATATGATAAATAGAATTTTACATTAATTTCACACATATGCATACTCTATACAAATATAACATGCTGTCCATTTAATATGAGCACCAAACAGAAGTTGTTGGTCGTCATACTTGTTCTAGTGATTACATTGTGTATAGTGACCCTCTGTCTGTTACAACCATTTTTAACCACACAGTCATTGTATTCTAGAAATGACAATACGCTTCCTCAGCAATAATTTGAAAGTAAATACAAATTCAAAACCAGTGTTAACATTATACGGTAAGTAGTGATTTCATTACAAACTGATTTATCAATCAATCAAACATTATGTAATAAAGTATATCAGTGTACCATTGTTATTTTCTACTTTGTTTCTAGATGGTTATCCAACTTACTCTTGTGGTCGTGGCCTTGTTGTGTGTTCCTACCATGCTGTTTATCAAGCCATTTGTACTCCGGTCCAGGCATAACAGCATGTTGAGGGTAAATATATATTTCTTATTCCCATCACCACAAAAAATAAAGGTTATCAAGTTCTCTCCTTTCTCAAAGGCTTGGTAGAGATGACTTGGCAAATTTAGCAAGTTGTGGTGATCAAGTCCATTTCAGTTCAAATATTCATGACAAAATGGTGAACAGGAAGCTGAGAAACAGACCAGTCTCTTCTTACATGATTTTGTCCATGGAAAATATATATTTTTTTGCAATTGCTGTGGTTAGTATGTGATGAGCCTCCTGTATGTTGTTCAGTGAGGTAGCCATTATCTACTACAAGGATACCCTGCCTCAGAATTATAAACATAACAAACAAACATGTACAATTCATGCACTATCTGTCCCTTCAAAATGCCTGTAACAACCAGTCCTGTTGTGAATGGTAATTAAATTTGTATTCTTTGCCTGTTGTTTAGAAAATGGAAGGCGTAAGTATATATATATGACTTGTATCCATGGAAACCAAAGTCATAACCCAGCACATGTACCATCACAGACACTGCTAAAAATGCAATAAAGACTTTCGTAAAATCCAATTTTCTAAGATGGAGCTACATTAGAACATATTGAGAATTCCTTATCTTAAATTGTATTTCAAATCATGAACAATATATGAAAGTGTTTAAAGCTATTTAAATCTTGTTGTTTACCTTTAAATCGTTATTGTTGTATATTTGATTGAATTAAACAAGTGTTTATTTTAATGTTATGTTGATGTTACTAACAAAGTTGATGCAGAGTATTCCATTGTTCTTACATTTAAGATAATGGCTCTGTAGAATTTTGCCATAGTTTGATAGAAGTGATTAAATGATTTGTACAATATTTAAAAGTAGGTCAATTTGTGATGCTTCATATATCTATTTAGATAGTAAATTAAGCTAGATCATAGTACATTTGTTTAGTTAAGCATTGTGGTGGTGGTGTAATAATAAGATAAAAATTGAAAGTTGACATGTTTGTAAATCCTGTTTGAAATGTTCTGCTTAGTTTTGTGCCTTTGATTTACTATTCTTTTCCAATTAATGTGGAGAAGAGTTAGTGTTATATTTATATAAGCTGCAACTCCTATGCCTTAACAGAACTTTATATACCTTATACATTTTGAACACTTTTGAGCTATTATGTAGTTTAGTAAATAGGATTTAATAGCAGGTTTCAGTAATTGAGCAAATAAGGACCTAGTATAGGTTTTAGTTGTTTGGTAAGTAAATACCTAGTATAGGTTTCAGTATTTTGGTAAGTAAATACCTAGTATAGGATTCAGTGTTTTGGTAAGTAAATACCTAGTATAGGTTTTAGTTGTTTGGTAAGTAAATACCTAGTATAGGTTTTAGTATTTTGGTAAGTAAATACCTAGTATAGGTTTCAGTATTTTGGTAAGTAAATACCTAGTATAGGATTCAGTGTTTTGGTAAGTAAATACCTAGTTTAGGTTTCAGTATTTTGGTAAGTAAATACCTAGCATAGGTTTTAGTTGTTTGGTAAGTAAATACCTAGTATAGGTTTCAGTATTTTGGTAAGTAAATACCTAGAATAGGATTCAGTGTTTTGGTAAGTAAATACCTAGTATAGGTTTCAGTATTTTGGTAAGTAAATACCTAGAATAGGATTCAGTGTTTTGGTAAGTAAATACCTAGTATAGGTTTCAGTATTTTGGTAAGTAAATACCTAGTATAAGTTTTAGTTGTTTGGTAAGTAAATACCTAGTATAGGTTTTTGTTGTTTGGTAAGTACTTACCTAGTATAGGTTTTAGTTGTTTGGTAAGTAAATACCTAGTATAGGTTTTAGTTGTTTGGTAAATAAATACCTAGTATAGGTTTAGTTGTTTGGTAAGTAAATACCCAGTATAGATTTCAGAGATACATTTTAACAGAAGTACAAATATGTGTTGTACATAGTATGTATACTGTTCATCACAAGCCATTGTGCTAGTCAAGATTGATTTTAATTGTTTGCAGTGCATAGCAAGAGCTGCTTAAATGAATGTCAATTTAATCAATTTCTAAAACTTAAACAAAACAAATTTTAGATTGGACGTTTATTCCTCATGTTTTGCATAGAGACTTTATATTAGCCATGCTACATGACTCTACAGAACAGGTATATCTATTGGTGGTGGTGTGTTACAGTGAAAAGCTAGACAAAGTGTGCACTCATAGATTTACATGGTTGTAAGATTTATTACATAAAATACATACCTACTTAGTGTATCTTTAGTGTAGTCATTCAAGGGTCTGAATTTTATGTTGTGACAATGAAATGAAAATGAAATGTAACTATAATCGTTCCTGTTGAATATTTCAGTAAGTTGTAAGTATGAAATGGCAAGAACTGATACCAATTCTTACAAAATAAGTGAGATAGAAAAAAATCTTGCTAGGCTAAAACCAATGGTACATGAATAAAAGTAGAAAGGATTAACAAAAGTACCTACCATTACTCGCATTAAAAGAACATTTCTTGAGGGATGAAATGTTGTAAACAGCATTAATGGTATAAGGCCTTGAAATTATAGTCTTAATTAAGTTAGGTCTATAAAGTTATACAGAGTTTCCTCTAGCTTCTATAAAAGACATTTGCATATCAAAATGTCTTACAAATGGTTTAGGAGCCATAGAAACCTTGGGCTAAGTTACTGATAACACTGACAATTTCATTTTCCATTTTCAGAGGAGGGAAGGTCTTTCTGCTATTTCTCAGAGTGCTCTTATACATAATGAAGAGCTCAATGAGCAGGTAAGAAAACTTAAATGTTATTCTTCTCTACATATTCTATTCTCTTGTCATCTTTGGCATATTCTTAAAATCTAAGAAATGGTAGCTGTATTAGTGGAATTAAAACTACTGGAATCTGTACATAGAAATATGTTGTAGTTCTGGTGAAAAAAAGTGACTTTAGTTATCTCCCCTTTTTAGTGTCTATGTGTTGCCTTACAACTGTTGTGTAATTCAGAATCTCTTACTATAATGGGAAATATGTACTTATATATATCAACATGAATGTGATGGTATGACTCCAAATATTATTTGTGTTAGCATGGCAGCTGCGAGCATGTCTCTAGCTATTATTCTGGTATATATAAATATTGATTAGGAATATTTCTGAAAACATGATTATTAACATGATTTAGTCTATTCTTATTTATCTGAAAAATGTGACATTAGAGGAAAAAAAGAACTTTGTCTCCAATGTTCTTTCCTGTTAAGATGAATCTGATTATTTTCAGTTTCTGATATCAAAATGATGAGTTTTCAATTAGCATGGTGGAAAGTTTGTCCATTATGTTGAGTTCAAATTTCAAATAATGCATGAAAGAATTTCACTTTCTGTGTGGGAATCTTCTACATTCTACACTTCTGAACTGGAGTGACACTATTTTCGGGTTTTTTTTTTTTTTGAAGAACATATTGGATTAAAAAAAAATTTCAACATTATTTAAAAGAGAAAATAAGTAAAACACTTATCATCTTGTAAGGTTTCATGTTTGATATAGTAAGTGGGTATTTGTTGATCGAAGGATTTTTAAGAAAGACAATTTTAGAGCATGTTGTAGTATGTCTTTCAATAGTTATGATGATAACATTTGATAAAGAAATACTGCGAAGGTGCAACAAACCTAATTCTGTGTATATTTCAATCAGCTGCATTGAATTTTAGCCTTCAAATACAACAGTTGGGTATTTTTTATTTGATTGAACTGCCTGGGTATACAAACACTTGACTGGTTACAATGGTTCAGATGACAAGATCAAACAGTTACTAAAGTTAGATTTCCTTTGGGGAAAGGGATGGGGGAGGTTAGATTTCTTTTGAGGATAGGGGTGGGAGAGGTTTAAAACAAGATCAGTCAAAAAATATTTTTGTAGCTCAGATTTAGTTGATAATCATTTATATTTCAGCGGGTTTTTTCAATTATTTTTTAAAATTCTTTTAAATTTAAATTGGATTGCCGTTGTTAGATTTATAATGGATTGAAGTGCTGTTTTTGTACCTGATTGTATGCTTCGGATACCAGCTCACCCTTTACATACAGCAACAAACTCGAATGGGTTAAGGTCAATGAAAATGAAATCTAAATTGTGATTAATGTGAAAAAATGTATTTATCCCCACAGTGCTTGGTTTGAACATTTAGCACCTTATTCAAAATATTAATTTTTTGTTATAAAAGATTTTGAATGATTTTGATTTGGAAGCTGTTATTGATTAGTGGATAGACCTTTATGAGGTTGAGTGACCTTGACCCTAAGGAGTATAATGTAGCTATAGGTTGTATCGGGGTTAGATTATTTAGGCTTTGTCTTTGACTTTTGACTGTTCTAATACCCTGCAGTCTGGTACTGGAAACGGTACCGCAGACAAAGAGCAAGCTATCTCCGATATTGAGCTTGGGGTAAGTTGTTGACCTTTGACCCGTTGGTATCATATCCTGCATGGGTCCACAGTGCTTGCTAGTTTTGCTTTTTATTTCCACCTATATTGTCCAACAATGGATTGGACAACAAGGTTGTTTCCAAATTGTTGGTGTTTGGTTGACAATATAGTTTACAAGTATTTTATTAATAGATATGGTGGTTGGCATATTTTTCCTTTGATCAGCATTGCCTGATAAGATTTTGTGACTTCAATATCAAATTTTTATAGGTGATACAAATTTGTTGAAATCTTAATAGAAAATACTTTAATAACTTTTATTTTTAAAAAGACAACTAATTATTTTTCCAACAGACACTACATATTAAGAAGATCATAGATGAAGTGGACAGTTTTTGTGTTAGTATTTAGATAAATATCTTTCTTAGTATGGTATATATGTACTTAAGTTTTTAAAGAGAAACATATCTTATGTACATAATGTGTAGAATATGATTGCTCCTTAAATAAGTTTTTTCCCTTTGAAGGCTGATGATGCTAGGCTGATTGCAATGTCAATGATATTTTATTACATTTGCTGTTTCGAGCTTAGTTATACATGATTACAAATATATTGATAAACAAAAATACTATGACGAGGTATCTACAAAGATGTCAAAAGTTATGCTTGGTTCAATTGATTATGAATGAGAGGTACATGTAATATCTAGATTTGGTGTTTTTCATTAATCAGTCTCTTGTTAATCTTGATATTTTTTCAGTTCTATCTGGCCATAAATGCTAGGATCTCCAATTATTTGTATTTTATTATGTTTGGTCAGAATTTAAAGTTCAAATTTATCTTTAATATGAAAGTTGATTTGCTGTAATTGGAGTGTTTAAGCATAGCATAGAATATTATATATATGTGATAAACATATAGGAAAGTAATGTTTGATTATGATTTCAGATGTTAAGGGTTTTCAATCACCCTTCCTTTTGGAGGGTTACATTTTATTAGCAAGATAGTTGACCATTAGTGTTTGAAAACACAGATTAAAAAGTCTTCAATATTAAACAAAATTCCTCAGAGTAACAAAAAAGTAGGTGTAAATATCACTCATGGTGTACTGTAATAAAAATTAAAAATAGTCTTTATCTTTTAATGATTTAATTACTTTCATACATAATTAGATATTATACGTCAGATAAGCACAGCTATATTTTAAGACCAAGTAACAAAATTAGAAAACTGCAAGCTAAAACCTGCATGATGCTCCTTCATCAAATATTCAAGAGAATCAGAAAACGTTTTACAGATTTATGTATACAATAACTCATATTGTAAAAATATGATCATATTTACATCACTTCATAATAATATCAGCATGTTGCACACAGCCAATAATTGGTTATGATATCCAGTCATAGTGGCATTTTTCCCAATTAGAGAAAAATCTTGATATGATTGATGAAATAAGGTAGGACTAAGTTAACAATAATGATAGGTTGATCAAATAAAAACATTTTTCATGCTGAGTTTGTCATAACTTTGTCTCCATGTGACAGATTTGTTAACTGTTATTTAATATTTTGTTGAACACTTGAAACATGCATAGATTATGATAAGATAACATTGGATTTTAACAATGATATATATATCAACTAGTAACATATAAATGCCATCTTATGTGTATACTTTGTATCATTCTGACTGTATATCTATACCCCTCATTGCTGTATTGTTGATCACGATTGGGGGCAGGGGGATTGGGGGGGGGGTTTACCCCTGTGCATCTACCCCATCCTAATTGGAATCAATATCATGTCTTGAGAAACTCTTGGCAGATTTAGTTCATTTTTTCCCCATAGTATCATACAACATCAAATTCCACACCTGATCAGCTGATTACGTTCATTTTTACCCTATTAAGATACCATATATATAAGACCAAGTTCTACACCTGATCAGCTGATTGCTTTCATTTTTACCCTATTAAGATACCATATATATAAGACCAAATTCTACACCTGATCAGCTGATTGCTTTCATTTTTACCCTATTAAGATACCATATATATAAGACCAAATTCTACACCTGATCAAATTTGATTTTCATCTGAGTAGTTTGATATACAATGTTACTTCTAAGTTGTTTGATCATGTCTTACAGACATTTTCTAGTTTAATATACACTGTTACTTCTAAGTTGTTGGATCAGAATTATTTCTGACCTTGTAATTTGTATTTTTACTACAGACATACAGGTACCCAGACTAAATAGGTTTGGTGCATGCTGTTTTTTCAGACTAGAAGCCAACTATTACAGGAAGAAGAAGAACCCACGATTGTATGTTCTAGATTACGTCACTACACAATAACTTATACTTCTCAACCTGTGTCTCTATGCCATGCTGTAACACTTTATGCTGAATATTTTAACTTTGCATCAAGTTTTGAAGTTATAATTTCATCTACAAGTTGCTATTGCAGCTATAGAAGTAATAACCAACAATCACTCTTTCATGGTTGTAATAAGCCCACCACCTGACTTCCACTTGGAAATGATGATTGGTCACCTCTTGTCTTATTTCAGGATAACATACAAGCTTTGAATTATGTCAGAAATTCACACACGACGAAAAGAAAGAAGAGAAAAAACATCTCAGAGTTGTTAATAACTAGAAATAAAATCTAGGAAAATGAATAACTACAATAATGATTACTTTGTAAAAAGTTTAAGCATCAGTAAATTACTGTGAACTTGGTAACAGTGAATCAGGTTAACAGCTTGTATTTAGACACAGGTTGGAGGTTTATGGATTACTAATGTGTCAGTTTGTCAGTCACTCAAGGTTGCTCACCTGTTGAGTGTGCAGACATGTTGATGAATCTGTGCTCAGCTGGGCCTGTTCATGTACAACTCAGTATCATTACAGTTTTCAATGGAATTAAAATTTAATCTTGGAAAAATTAATTTGTCTCTGCAAAAATATTTTACTTGACAAATGATACTTCATATCCTCAAAGTCAATTATCTTAATCAACTTAATGACATTTATTATCAACCTGAGCAGCATCATCTCTGAAATTGTAATTGTAATGGCAAAGAACACTTTGGAATACTTAAACATTGGAACACTGGAGTTGGAATTCTCACTGAGTCCCCAGCTGAGCATATTAACATATCCTGTATTAATTTACTTATCAACAAACAGCTTTTACTGACCATTGGCTTGAAAACTGACCACAGTTTGAGAACTGACCACAGCTTCAACTGGCACCTGTCGTGACTTGGAACCATTAATTGTCGAACTGGAACTCTAATTACTAATCATTTATTCTGTAAAGAAGTGTTCTATTACATGATGTTATTTAGATGAGCATGTTGTCCTGCAGACACCATGTCCTGTAGATACTGTACATGTCCTGTCTCTTTATCAGAATTTAAATTCTGATTTTGTTGCTTAATGTCTCTGTCTTACAAATCAGATTTACTATTAAAACATAAATTTTCCAGGGTGTTTAATTTTCATTAATTTGTCTGAACACTTAATCAACAAATTAATACTCTGCTTAAAATATTTTCATCGATTTTAGTATTCTATCATAAGCACTACTTTTTCCATTAATCAAGTACGTTGAAAAAAAATCACACCAAAATTGAACCCTTGAAAATATATGCTTTTATGGTAATTTGCTTATATCTGTGTCCTGTTTTGTACATGAGCCTCTCATTCAGAAATATCCAAAGCATTTTTTAGTAAACCTCAGGGTTTATGTTTTACACACACAGATACACCTTCCATCACACGACTTACAAGGCCAACCAAAAATTATGTACTGTATAATATTAGGTCCCATCCACCCAAGACACGTGGTGACAGTAACAATTTTTTGTAGATAATTTTATAGTTGATCGAGCATGAATTTGCATTATATAGGAAAAGGAACAAGACAAAAAAAACAAAAATAGTCTCGTAGCTAGACACTGTCAAATCTCAGTTTCATTCCAAAATAATATGGATATGATTATTATGGATATGATTTGAGTTTGAAGGATTGCTAGAGGCTTTGTAGCACACATTTGCCAGAGGAGACGACTTCATCTTTGCTGTCCAGAATTTTCTTTGATTTAGTCAGATTTAAATTGTCAGTGTTTTACAATAATACATTGTATATGTATATTTCCAAGGGAAAGTCATGTGATATATAGTATACTGCTTATACTTTGAATCATTCTGTATGTAATGCATATGCTTACAATGTGTTGATATGGAAACAAAAAAATACATTGTATATGTATATTTCCAAGGGAAAGTCATGTGATATATAGTATACTGCTTATACTTTGAATCATTCTGTATGTAATGCATATGCTTACAATGTGTTGATATGGAAACAAGAATTATGCAGCAAAAGCTAGTAACAATTTGGGATGAATTTGGGTATATACTGCCCACAAACAGTTTGAAGGTTTGACTGGTATTTAGGTGAAATGATAAGACAATGCTAATATTTAGAGAGGTTGTAGGTTTACGGTGTACAAAGTACTATATATTTCTACTTAATTTGCCATTAAAGTTTACTCATTTACATCTAAACAGCACCACATTGATCTACTTAGGCCTGTCACATCACAGCAGAAACTTGCTTAGTATGGCTCATAATTTGTTATGAAAAATAGCTCAGTCCTAGATCAGTTTCAAAGCATTTGTGGTTAAGTCAAGTCCAACAATATTGCAATGTACATGAAAAATTAAAATGAGATATGATTTTATCAGCCTGTTGTTAAACTTCTTATCACTTAATGAACTTGCCAGTGACCATTGTTTGGTTTTAGATAATACCTTTGTCAATCTATTTGTTAATCTTTTAGTTTCCGGATTTTTTTAAGGTTTTACAAACAGCAAATATGAGTGGAAAATTTTGAAGTTTTCTTTGTAATGTCAATCTCTTTCAGTCGATACATACTTACATTTAGTTTTGCTTTAATGGTTTTCAGCCAGTTTCATTCATGATGTTTTTAGTCAGTTATTCTATACTAATATATAAATAACTTATTAATTGGATATATACATGAGTGGGAAACTCTTTCACCTCTGAAAGTGGAAGTTCCTGGAATATGACCAGATTTTACCACTGCTTTACAGGTCAATGGCTTTTGACTTGGAGATGTTTATTTCCTTCCCACCATAAAACAGAAAGAATTGGTTCTTAATGTAATTCAACATGAGTTGTCACCCAAGGGGGGCATGTTCCTTAATTTCCTAAATTTGATACAACGTGACTCTGATGTGATACCTTATGTACAGGTACACTGTATCACCTTTTTGTTTCAAAACCTGGGCATCCAGTGATAAAGCCCAATCAAGGAACATGTCTGCCAAGCCTGTCATCTGACTAGCACTAGCTAGGTTTTCCCTAAAACAGTAAATCTACTGCAAAGATTATTTAAGTAGGCAGTGTCCGCTTACTCAATCTCAAAACCTCAGAAAAGACTGAGCAAAGTATTTATTTTTTGGTGATGGGTCTACCTTTTACATATAACCAGCTGACTTGATTTGAGTAGTGCAGACATATTGGTAAACATCTGGTATCCCCAGCATTTAGTGTTAATGTATTCAGCAATGTAAATACTTTAGAATAGAAAGCCTTAGTGGTTATGTAATGGTGTATATTTATAAAATGACATAGTAAACATTTAGTGTTGATACGTGTTTTGTTTGAAGATGGGTTCCAAAACTAAATACACAATAAGGGGTTAAAAGTTCCTAAAGTCAAGGTCAAGGACACTGTTTTTTAAAATAGATAAATCTGACAGTGGAGACTTCTTTGTGTTAGATTGATGATGGAAATCTAAGTTCTTAAGAATTCATAATGGAGGGTTATTATCTGAAAGTATATTTACTCTGATATACCTAAAAATTCTGGGATATGGTGTAGTATTATTGATACTTGCACTTCTTGATACTCTTCAAGTAGATCTGTTCCCATCTTCATACAAATAACAAAACCATTTACAGTAGTAGAATGAGAACTCTGCAGATGTTTTCTGAAATATAACTAAGTTACTCAGAACTGGGTTTTTTAAACACGTAAATATATGAAAAATTTTAAATGATCAAATATCTTGTTTATATTTTTGTCTTTCACAAAAAGAGAATATTTGTGATATTGTATTTTCGAATTCTTTCAATACAAAACAAATTACTAAAACATGTGGTTTAATGCCAACTGGACTGGTAAAATTCCATTGGAAATTTTACAGCTCTGAGAACCTTTTTATTCCAAGTAAATTTTAATGAGTATTACCGGTATTGTCCTCAGAACGTGCATTCATCCGAGGTGAAACTGAGCATCAACGGGGAAGGTGGGGAACATAACCAGGCGGAAATGGAGGACCAGGTAACCATAGCAACCGATCAGTTCTTGACTTCATAGACTTAATTATTACCAAATTATCATAGGTGATGAATTATGATGTTTTCTTGTTAAGATAGGTGAAATAAATCGTACATGTCTGATAACGGTACAAATTTAAACCTTAAACTAGATTTTACAGTGTATCCCAGTGTTGATATAAATTCTAGTGTGCCTGATAGCAGTTTCAAACTAAATCTTATGATACTCTGCCAAAACATCTCCCTCACTTACACAACCACTACAATAAATTCCTTACAAGCTATTATAGGGCACCACACATCATACACCACAATTATGTATGTAATCATATCATCAGTTTGTATTTCTGAGTTACACGCACTCATCCAGTTCAACTGAGACAGAAAGATGCCTGTGTATACAAAAAAGTACTCAAAATAAAAACAGTGTGAGATTTGAAATGCAGTTTATAACTTTACTTTTCCTGTTGCTTTTTGACTAAAAATCTCCAATGTAGATTGATTTTCACCATTAACATCAACTTTTGTACGCTATCTAACCGATGTAGACTGCCTTTATCATATCTGTATATTCTTTTATCAATCAATATTTGTCATGACGTATCCATGATCAATCATATGATTATAGCTTTCTTTGTCATATGTCACCATGATTTATGGATTGTAGCCAGATACAATGTGATAATAATAATATATAAATGTGTTTTAACACTCACTATTATATGAAGGGCTAAACTCACTTAATTGCCGTTTTTTGAAATTGGCGATGTAAGTATGACAAATCTCTTGGGTCACATTTTAACTCTTAAACTTTGTAGAATGTTAATAAAACTGATTTCAAATTTTCAGTATTGTAGCTTTTACTTTTATGTTAAGTAGATTATTATGTTGCTTAAAATTATCTTTTATTTTTCATGTTCATTGATAAATTTAGATAAATCTCCATGATACATCATTTTGTAAATGTTTTCTGAGCTCAACTTAAACTCAGTGTTTCATATTTAATTTAATGTTGTTACATCTTACATCTTTAACTGAAATTTCAAAGCAAAAATAACCTTCTGTTTTAATAATTGATATCTATTTAATTAATTCTTTTTCCAGGGTCCTAGTGATGTGAAAGTAGACGATGTAAGTTTGTTTTAATTTTTCACCAATTCCCATTTTACCAAGTTAAACTGTATTTATCAGTTGATGCTTGATCACAAGACCACTTGTATTTGTTATTGTTTTATTTTGATCTTGATATCAGAAATGTCAAGGTTGTTGTCTGCCGCAGCTGAAACAGTGCTGGGTTACTTCCGTTAGTAAATTACCTATAATTTGACTGCTATGTGTTACTTTGATTCTACAAGTATATCACCAGGTAAACTATTAAAGAACCATTCCATACCTTAAAGAAATAATAAACATTCAAGATAAACAGATGTCTTTCTTACTGAAAATGAATAATTGTGAAAGATGGTGAAAGTATTGAGTATCTCATAAAGGGCTTTGTTCTCTTTTCTCTTCAGTTTGACTTTAGTGAGATATTTATCAGCCAAGCGATCCATACTATTGAGTACTGTTTGGGCTGTATTTCTCACACAGCATCCTACCTCCGACTTTGGGCTCTCAGTCTTGCTCACTCACGTAAGTTCAAAACAATAGTAGGAATTATTTTGTATGTATTGACCACAATGCATCTTATTTCCAACTGTGGAGTTTCATTCACACATATCATTACAATGTATTGATAGAATAACAATATACATTCATATTTAGTATGTATCACCAACACCACATTCAACATCTCACTACAGGGCCTTTGTCTCACTGTCATCAATACACCACACCATGTACTGTCTGTCTCACACCCATAAATACACCATACCATGTACTGTCTGTCTCACTGTCATAAATACACCACACCATGTACTGTCTGTCTCACTGTCATAAATACACCACACCATGTACTGTCTGTCTCACTGTCATATATACACCACACCATGTACTGTCTGTCTCACTGTCATATATACACCACACCATGTACTGTCTGTCTCACTGTCATAAATACACCACACCATGTGCTGTCTGTCTCACTGTCATATATACACCACACCATGTGCTGTCTGTCTCACTGTCATAAATACACCACACCACTGTCTGTCTCACTGTCATCCACACCATACATAAAAACACACACCATGTACTGTCTGTCTCACTGTCATAAATACACCACACCATGTGCTGTCTGTCTCACTGTCATAAATACACCACACCATGTGCTGTCTGTCTCACTGTCATATATACACCACACCATGTGCTGTCTGTCTCACTGTCATAAATACACCACACCATGTGCTGTCTGTCTCACTGTCATATATACACCACACCATGTACTGTCTGTCTCACTGTCATAAATACTCCACACCATTTGCTGTCTGTCTCACTGTCATAAAAACACAACACACACCATGTCATATATACACCACACCTGTCTGTCTCACTGTCATAAATACACCACACCATGTGCTGTCTGTCTCACTGTCATAAATACACCACACCATGTGCTGTCTGTCTCACTGTCATAAATACACCACACCATGTACTGTCTGTCTCACTGTCATAAATACACCACACCATGTGCTGTCTGTCTCACTGTCATAAATACACCACACCATGTGCTGTCTGTCTCACTGTCATAAATACACCACACCATGTACTACTGTCTGTCTCACTGTCATCAATACACCACACCATGTCTACTCATAAATACACCACACCATGTACTGTCTGTCTCACTGTCATAAATACACCACACCATGTACTGTCTGTCTCACTGTCATAAATACACCACACCATGTGCTGTCTGTCTCACTGTCATAAATATACCACACCATGTGCTGTCTGTCTCACTGTCATAAATACACCACACCATGTGCTGTTTGTCACACTGGCATCAATACACCACACTATGTGTTGTCTGTCTCACTCCCATAAATACACCACACCATGTGCTGTCTGTCTCACTGTCATCAATACACCACACCATGTGCTGTCTGTCTCACTCCCATAAATACACCACACCATGTGCTGTCTGTCTCACTGTCATAAATACACCACACCATGTGCTGTCTGTCTCACTCCCATAAATACACCACACCATGTGCTGTCTGTCTCACTGTCATCAATACACCACACCATGTACTGTCTGTCTCACTCCCATAAATACACCACACCATGTGCTGTCTGTCTCACTGTCATCAATACACAACATCATGTGCTGTCTGTCTCCTATGACTGAATTATGTATACTTTCATGAGATTGGAATTGCTCAAGTAACCTTTCATGGTTTTTATTGTAGAGTTGTCCGAGGTCTTGTGGGGCATGCTGTTCCGTATCAGTCTGACGATGGATATAAAGTATGGAGGTTCTGTGATCATCTTTGCAGTTTTTGCAGTGTTTGCTGTTCTGACTGTTGGTGTCCTGTTGTTGATGGAGGGGCTGTCTGCTTTCCTCCATACCCTTCGTCTTCACTGGTACAAGACATTTATTAACAAGATTCCATATCATTAGCTTAGATTTTCAAAATTATTGGGTATATATGTTATTGTCAATCCATATCCTGATCCATAATTTCTATCATTTCTGGGTCAATCGTAGTGTTGAAGGTATCATATTAAAACCAAGGCACAGCAGTCTGTATTTTCAGCTTTGCAGAAATCTAGTTTTAGTCTCCAGTTGCTTTGACTCATAAGATCTGAAATGTTTGGTTACTTTCATCTGAATGAAAATTATTAGGCATCTCAAATAAAATTTTGTTCTGGGAGTCGTCAGATGGCTTTTTCAACTCTACTTACAAAAGTTACAACCTTACAGTCAGTCTAAGATATGTTAAAGCTGATTTAGAATTTTATGTTACTAATGAAACAATAAGTCTTTGTCTCAAAGTTAGGGGTGGGCTAATTACAGAATAATTAAATACCATTTGTAGTTCTGCTACTGAATGATAATTGACATGGGTTGGCTAATTACCCTGAAGGAAATCATTGCAAATTAAATTCAAATTGATGCAAATACCAGTAATCATTCACATGTATATTTTCATATTTTCCAGGGTCGAGTTTCAGAGCAAATTTTACCACGGGAATGGCTACAATTTTGATGCATTTAGCTTCAAACATCTCCAAAATGCTGATCTGGATGATTAAGGATTTGAAGCCTGGACTGTAAAGCTATAGAACATTACATATATGAAGATTGTGATAAACTCTTGCCAGAGGTCTATATATATTTACATATACACTGTAATCTATACATTTGATTCCAGGTGTCATGTGATTCATTTATAATTATCTATGATTAACAACGAATTTGTTAAAAATTTTAACTGAAGTTTCGTTGCTTTTAAAAGTATTGCATATAATGTGTGTCTGATCACATATTGACAAAAAGAACAATGCAGTTTAAATATAACAGATGAGTTAAGACAAAAGTCCAGATTGGACAGAGTCTGGTTTACACAGTGTTCACCATAAGTGTGTTTAGGTGACCTTGAGAAGATGAGACCAGTATGTCTTAAAAAAGTATTTTCTCTTTGTAATTTGCCAAAATAGGTTGCACTTTCATTTTGAGAATATTTAAGCAGAGTACAAAAAACTTACGATGTCAAAATTTTCCATCTAGCAGTAACTTCATATACTGGTATATGAAAACGATGGTCATTTGAATAAGTGTCTTTTGGAAGTGTCAAACACGCCTTTTCATTTTCAGAAATATGAAAATATATAATCAAGAAAAATGTGCATTTGAAGTAGTTTTTGTTACATTCCTGTTATTATTAGATAATATATTATTGTTTCTCTCAGAAGTGCTTTAGTTTGTAGTTACATAGAATGTACCAGTAGTTAACAGTAGTTATAGAAATGTTAGAATCATTCACTAGAAGTAATACAGATCCTTATCATTAACACAGAGAGTCAAAATGGGATCAATTGAACAGCTTTCCAATTATTTACTTGTAATTCTGAAGTTCAGTTTTTGAAATGTACATGAAATTTTTTAATGTTTACCTAAACAAGAATATAAAGCTCCAGATTAAAAAAAAATGAATATTTTTGTTGAAAGAACCTTGGCTTCAACCCAATTTCAGGACACTTACATTCAATTTATGCATTAACACTAAAAGGGATTGTCTACATGAACGTTTTACATGTATTAATTGGAATGAAATTTAAGTTGCAAATTGCACAATTCACATAATCTTTTAAGTCATTATGTGAGGATGTACCACTATTGCATTGCTATCAGGGGCCAGTTGTTGAAAGCCAGATTCTCAAAATTACACATTTGAAGTACAATGTACCACATCGCAGTTTATTTTCACAGGGATGATATTTTCACTGTTTTTTGGTGCATTTGTGAAATAATGAGACACTTGTGTGTTTGCTGTTCTCCCACATCTACATGGTGAATGTTTCATTTGTTAAAATGTAATTCATCTGTTTTATTACAAAATCTAAAAAAATTTCCTGTGAAGATTGCTAGTAATACTTCAGAAAATTTACAATTGATCATTTTCAGTCCAAACAAAATTCAAGCATGCTTTAATATTTTACAAAGAAATCATAGCAGAATTTGACCTAGCATATCCAGGTGATCAAAAGCTGTTTAATATCTGATTTTATAACAATAGATTAAATAATGTGTTATTGGCCATTGTATGTAACTTGCTTTTGTACCATTCAGCGAACCAGGGTATTTCTATATATTTGCACTAAATTTATTATATTGATATTCAGATTTGATTTCAGTAAATTTTGTAGTTTTCTTGTGGAGGGATGTCTTAATCATTCATAGCAGGAATTAAAAACAAAGTACTACGTATATTGTACAAAATCGACAGGATGTAATTTGCAGTGTTGAATGGTGAATTCAAACATTATTGAAGACTGCACATTTTTGATGCAGCAAAGTACTATATAAGGAGTACTTCTTGAGGTGATTACTTTTCAAATACTGCATTAAATACAAAATTAAACAGATTTTTTTTTTCATTCACCGATTCATCACCTGGTCATCATGTTATTGAAATTTGCTACCTACAAATAACGGTAATTTTCTTTGGACCGAAAAAAAAAAATTTGCCAAATCAATCTATTGTGATGTGTTTAATGTCCTCCATTTAAAGGACATATAAGCATTAATCCCAATTTGCGAAACTGTCTCAGGAAAAAAAAGATGACTTCCAAATATTTCCAATATCTAAGATAACAAAGTAACACTAGTTCTTTCAATGTATGTCACAGAACAGGGCTTTAATATTGGACGTATTTATTTGCTTTGCTAAATCAACACCTGAGTCCATGATTATCATAAATTACAGAAATTGTGTGGCCTTATTTATTGGTTAAATTGTTTCACTGAGGTCTGCAACCTCATGTCGTGAACATTTGCACAATATTTGTTACAGTAGATTTTGATAAGCAAGGTCAATTTTGGTTATGTTTTTATGATGGAGTCCAACTTTGTGCCTTGCTTATGTTCCATGTTTGCGATACAAAACACATTGAACTTTAAGAATGGCTTCCTGTTTACAAAATTGTAATTTTGTCTTCCACGAAAAGTGTCATACTGGTTATAAGTTTATGATATGATGAATATTTCAATTTGTAAAAGATTATTTTCTTAATTATTCAATATAGTTACCCATAGCAACTTTTGTCTTGTTATTATTTTATACACGTCAATTATTTGGCAAGATTTAACTTTCACTTGTGTTCATATGAAGGAATGAAGAAATCCATTGTCCTGACAGAAATCATCTTCTCTAATCAGACATTGACATAACAATATCCTGTTAATAGATCAGTCACTTTGCTTTGGAAAATCAATTTGTGGTATATGGTTGAATGCAGTAGCTGAAAAAAAGGTCAGGATTCGAATTACCTAACTTTCATTTCATCTAAGTTGATATTACTTCATATACCAGAATGTGAAAGCTAAATCCCTTTCTCTGGCCTGTTAAACGTTTATATAGAAGATTTTAACGCTTTATTCCTATGACCTTGAAAATGTTTTAAGATTAAACATGTTATTTGCCCTATACTGTTATTTTGCAGATGGTTAATTTCATCTCAATTGGCAAACTGTACACATGGGGGTTATTTTCGTGATCTATGGACTTTTCATATCTAATGTATATTTTGATATGTACATAATACATCACAATTTCATTCAGGTGGTGAAATTTATGCTGCCAAATACCTTCAGCGTATTTTGTAAAAAATAACCTTACATGTAAATTTCCAAGTTTACAGTAACCTGACTAGACTTCTGCTCATTTGTGTTGAGATGTTTAAGCATGGCCTTGAAATTTCACCAAGTGGCAAGTATAAGCATACTATTGGCCAAAAATCATGAGTTTAGACCTTTTGGTTATCAAGAGGAAATCACTTGAATGTTTGGCCACAATCACATTGAAAATTTGTTGAGATCACTTTCTGATAAACTTGATAGCTGTTATCCTTGCATTCTATCAACCAAATATTTTGAGCTGAAGTCTGTGACCTTCATAGCCCTTCATCTCTGCATTAAAACATTACATCAGACCTCTAGAGTATACAGAGGTTGTTAAAGAGTTAAACTAATTTTTACAAGTGTGTGACCTGAGAGTAGGTCTAGGTCATTTGACTGAGTTAACTTTATTCAATAGAGGTTGTTCAGAGGACTTAAAACTCATTACAAGATATTTCAATAAATTTGACAGACCTTTGTCCAAATAGACTGTTTTTGAAACATGAGATAAGTCAGGTCACCTGATTATTCAGAAGAAGGTTAAAGAAACATCAGGTTGACAAAATCCACAGACACAAGACGTCATTAATGATGCATGTATTGCCAAGGTTTTTTTAATTAGCTCACCTGTCTTTCTGGTGTTTGTTAGCAAAGTTACAGAAGTCACAGAAACTGACATTAAAAAAGTCCTACAAAAATAGTAATTGAGCTGAAGGGTGTTTATGAAGTAGACTGAATTCAGGTTGAAAAGGACAACATTTTACTAGTATCCTGGGGTAGTGTACCATTAGATCAATGCCACCTTTCATTATGTTATCTTTTACCACATGCGGAATTAATCCATACCATCAAATACATATTTGTTTTCCAAATTGGACTTCAGAAGAAATATTGAGTATAGCAAATATTTATGAGCAGTGTAGGTAATTTTTGACAGTTTTTCATTCATTTCCCTGTGCAGCAAAATATGCAAAAAGGATTTTACCACAATTATATTTGAAATTATTGATACAAGATAAATTATACAGAACTAATAATTACATTATCTCCCTTTTCCTAGTTTTATTGATTATTGAAAAATAATTTTTTACTCTTTTCCAATTTAGACTGAATTAATATGCTTATTAGACAATACCACAAATGCTTTTAGTTTCAAAAGAAAAAGAGCACAACATTGTAACATACAAACATCTCAAATCTCAACTGACTTAACCCCTGCTAGCTCCCTCAAATTTAACTTTTTCAAATATGAACATTGTAAGTTAGCTTCTTTCATTAACTACTTGACCAAGTATGCAGATTTATTAGTACCACTTCAGAAATAATTTCCCGATTATTTTTCTGAATTAAAATCCAGTGGGTTCTTTGGATTGCGTTTGGAGTTATTAGTAATGTTGAACAAAGCTCTGATAGTAATTTGAAAATTTAGAGACTTCGGCTTTTCTGAAACCTGCATAATCTGATTCATAAACTGCATTTTGATCACAAATATTCAAATGGGCTCTGTTTACCATAAGGAAGCTTCTTTTAACATATCTTTTGACAGACTGGTCAGATTTCGATTGAATTTGGTTGGTACACTTGTTACTGTTACCCCTTGCTCAAGTTCGATTAACAGGGAATTCCATGAGGCTACTGTGACCTGATTTCTTTAATCTCTCTATGGGAATGCTTTTTGCAAATTATTTTACAAAGGTATGATAAGATATTTAGGAAACTTGCGCTGTAGACTTTCGGCACTCAAACTTATCTTTCAGCACATTATCTTTTGAAGGAACAAATAACATATGATGAGACTTGCTTGGTAGACGTATTACCTTAACCCCTTGTTCAAGTTTGTTTATCAATAAATTCTGCACATATTTAATGAGGCTGCTATGATCTGATTGGCTGATTTCTTTAATCTTTCTATAGGAATACCTTTTTCACATTATTTTAAGAAGGTATGATAAGATTTTTAGGAAACTTGCGCCGTAGACGTTCGGCACTCAAACTTATCTTTCAGCACATTATCTTTTGAAGGAACAAATAACATATGATGAGACTTGCTTGGTAGACGAATTACCTTAACCCCTTGTTCAAGTTTGTTTATCAGTAAATTCTGCACATATTTGATGAGGCTGCTGTGATCTGATTGGCTAATATCTTTTATAATTTTACATTTGACCACTTTGACCTTGAAAGTGGATCAAAGTTAATCATATTAACAAACCTATTAGCCCTTTATCCTAACATGTTACTGGTGAAATATCAGTAACCTTGGCCATTTGGTAACTGGGAAGAAGTGTTTTGAAGTTTTAAACAAGCTCAACCCAATTTTGTTAATTTTCCCTTGACCAGCTTGACCTTTAAAAGTGAGTCAAGGTCAACCATATTAACAACTTTGTAGCCCTTCATACGGTGTCCATGCCAAATATCAGTAGCCATGGCCTTTTGTTATTGGGAAGAAGTCGTTTCAATTTTTAATACAAAAATTTTAAAAAGTTTCATGATGGTGTACTATGTTAATGGTAAATGTTAATGACACACTGAAGACTTCATTGGAATGGAATATCCTGTTGACTACAAAAAGAATTTTGTTAAATCGTTGTAAAATTTTTAAAAATTGAAAATTTGATAACCTTTGACCCTATAGTGAGCTTTTCAATTTGACTTTCTAGGTATTATATATCCATTATGAAATTTAACCCCAGACATTGTCAACTATGATTTCATTTCAGTTATGGCTGTTTTAAACTTTTGACATATGATGTCAAATTAAAGATGAGTGCACACCTTTAGACCATGTCTGAAAAGACATTTAAAAGACTATAAACATATCTCATACAGATTTGAAAATTTTAGACACCACGAAATCATTGAAAAAGAATAATTACAATAGGTTGTTTTCACCAGTTTTCACCAGGGTAAAAAGCCTTAATAAATTTATGATAGTGAATCTCCTAAAAGTTATATTGCACTATCACCAGCTATAATTTGTTTTACTGATAGTAACTTTCCTGCAATATTACATATCTGACTATTAGATGCTGTACTATATTTTATTAATGTGTACAAACCATTTCACTGTTTTGTCATTCTTGAAAGGTAATATAATCATTGATTGATCCAGTATCACTGAAATTAAGTAAGAAATATTCTGTCATTACCATTGGATAAAAGAAGGGAATATGAAGGTATGATAAGCTGATTTAATATTCACAGTATATTCTTCTAAATTGTTATTATATTGATCACCTTCAACCGAACTTTAAGCCGAATATAAACAATAGTTTCAATACTTGAGTTTTCCATGTTGTTCACTTTAAACGTATATATTTTGCAAATGAACATGGACGGGGATCTTGATGACTATGTCCTGGTACTTATTACAGACAAAAACTTTAACATTCAATACAGGAGAATTGCTGCCAGAAGCTTTGCACCTCCAATATGCAAACTTTCAACATAATTGTTCATGGTATTGAAAGTATTCTTTGCAGTTCAATGTATGTTAGTGAAACAAAATGGCAGTAGAGACTGGAATGGTCATCATGATACAATCAATGTATATATCATACCACTGTACTAATAACCCATCACTTAGCTCAATATGAGTTTGAAGAACCTCCCTCATCTATATTCGATTCCTAAACTTCACAAAAGTCATTTATTTCTGGCTCGTCTAGTTTTAACCAATCTGTGATGTTTGATCCATTCTACTGTCCATAAGAATTAGAAAAGAGATGGAGGTATGAAAGTTCAATCAGTTGGAGCGTTTGCCGACGTAACCTAATGTGACGATGCAAGATGTGCAGTGCAATACTCCCTAACCAGGGCGTTGTGTTTATCAGAAAGTTGTGGAACAGACTTGTCTCTGCCATCATGGTTGTATCCTCGGGCAAGACCCAAATTGTTCTGGACGACCTATGATGGGCCTCCCATATAATGTTCAAGAAGGTAGCCACAAATTATGAAAAGAATATGACGATAAACCCAACAAACAAAGGCAGCTATAAGTCTATTCCAAATCCACAAAGTTTGGGAAATCTTGTAAGATCCATTCTTGTCCACTCTACAAAGCTTAGGAACTCTGGTAAGGTATCCATTCTATAAGCCAGAGAGCTTAGAAACTGTGATAAAGTCCATTCTCTAGTCTACAAATCTTAGAATCTGTCTGAATAAGATCCATTCTATGGTTCAAAAGTCTTTGAAACTGTGATAAAACGAATTATCTATCTCACAAGTCATAGAAACTTATAAAATCCATTCTATAGGCCACAAGTCTTAGAAATGGTCTAAATAAGATCCGGAAGTCTAGGAAACTGTATGGATAAGGTGCACACAGCTTAAACATTGAGGTAAGATTATTCTATGGGCCACAAGTCTTAGAAACTGTGTGGATAAGGTGCACACAGCTTAAACATGGAGGAAAGATTATTCTATGGGCCACAAGTCTTAGAAACTGTGTGGATAAGGTGCACACAGCTTAAACATTGAGGTAAGATTATTCTATGGGCCACAAGTCTTAGAAACTGTGTGGATAAGGTGCACACAGCTTAAACATTGAGGTAAGATTATTCTATGGGCCACAAGTCTTAGAAACTGTATGGATAAGGTGCACACAGCTTAAACATTGAGGTAAGATTATTCTATGGGCCACAAGTCTTAGAAACTGTGTGGATAAGGTGCGCACAGCTTAAACATTGCGGTAAGATTATTCTATGGGCCACAAGTCTTAGAAACTGTATGGATAAGGTGCACACAGCTTAAACATTGAGGTAAGATTATTCTATGGGCCACAAGTCTTAGAAACTGTGTGGATAAGGTGCACACAGCTTAAACATTGAGGTAAGATTATTCTATGGGCCACAAGTCTTAGAAACTGTATGGATAAGGTGCACACAGCTTAAACATTGAGGTAAGATTATTCTATGGGCCACAAGTCTTAGAAACTGTATGGATAAGGTGCACACAGCTTAAACATGGAGGAAAGATTATTCTATGGGCCACAAGTCTTAGAAACTGTGTGGATAAGGTGCACACAGCTTAAACATGGAGGTAAGATTATTCTATGGGCCACAAGTCTTAGAAACTGTGTGGATAAGGTGCACACAGCTTAAACATGGAGGTAAGATTATTCTATGGGCCACAAGTATTAGAAACTGTATGGATAAGGTGCACACAGCTTAAACATGGAGGTAAGATTATTCTATGGGCCACAAGTCTTAGAAACTGTATGGATAAGGTGCACACAGCTTAAACATTGAGGTAAGATTATTCTATGGGCCACAAGTATTAGAAACTGTGATAAGATCTAATCTATAGTTCACAATGATTAGTAGACATGGAAATAAGATCAATTCTGTAGTCCACAAGTCTTAGGAGCTGTGATTAGGTCCATTCTTTGTCCCACATTGCCTCGTCATGGCGATAAGATCATTCTTTGACCTACAAGTCTTAGAAACATAAAAGATTACCTTAGTTGATGATAGGTAAGGGTTAGAAAGTGAAATTAGCACCACTGTGTTAAGACTCAAACTGTAATGGGTACCAGTCTTGTCCATAATGCTCAACAAGGGGTTCAGTGAGCTTTTTCACAAAAGTTTTAACTGGAAATTGGCATTCTTCCAAGTAATTTAATGTTAATTTTCATTTTTAGGCGACCATCATCAGCGGCCATCTTTTATTTTAACTTGGGAAGTTTATTATCACTACTTCTAGAGAATAAAAAGGTTCTTATCACTATTTCTTGAGAAACACAGCATAGATTTTTCGCAAATTCCATGTGTGTTTCCCTTGATCCCTAGTTGTGCTGGTTTGATTTTTGTACTGATCAGAAAAAGAAAATGGCAAATAGGCGTCCATCTTGGATTTTGATTTTAAAAGTTTGTTATCGCTACTTTGTGAGAAATACTGCATAAATTTTTCTCATATTGCATCTATAGGTTCCTCTTTTTACTAGTTCTGCCTGCTGGAGTTTAGGACTGACCAGAAAAACAATGGCCAACAGGCAGCCACCTTAGATTTCACCTAGTAAGGATTGCTATCCTTATTTTAAGAAGTACTAAATGGACCTCTCTCAAATTTCATACAGATGTTCCCTTTGGTCTCTACTTGTGCACATTCTAATCATGAAATCATGCTCATAAATGAACATTGTGTCCAGCTCATTCTTTTTATTTTTGTCTTTCAATGAAATCCTTACACACTTTGACAATAAGTAGTCTCCCTCATTTTCCTTAATAGTTTCTCAAAAATTTGACAAGAGGCCCATGTGCCTTAATGGTCACTTGAGGTCTTCAGGTCTTTGGACAGCTTTAGAACCTGTCCATCAGTCCCAGCATTGGGGCAGACAGAACAGAATTGATATATGCATACTTACAAATTTTGTTTGATTGTTTCTAGTTTGAAGGCTTTATTTCAATTAAACAGAACAGATAACACTGTCTGTTGTTGTAGTTAGTACATTTTAACCTTGTGACATTGAATGGAGGTCAAGGTCATTCATTTGAACAAACATGGCAGCCTTTCATGCCAGCAGGCTATTGGCTTAATATCATGACCCGGGACCTCTTGGTTATTGTGAAGAAGTTGTTTAAAAGATTTTAACACATTTGATCCCTGTGACCTTGAAGATAGGTCAAGGTCATTCATCCCAGCATGCTACATAACATGAGAATAGTTTCATGAATAAAAGAGTTATCAAAATATGAAACAAACAACTATGAAAATAATACTTCATTTATTTATAAACAGATTTATTATTGAAGACTTTACCAAGATGCTGTAAGAATGTGTAGATCCAAATAAGTACAACATGAGCAATCCATCCTCATTCAGGATGAAATGGCTGCTGACATGACAGTGATGCACTTTTTGGCAGTGTTATACAACATTACACCCAAGCTGAAGCTCTGAAAAATCACATTTTGCAGACTATCTTTGATAAATATTTGTTACTTCAACACAACAGGAAACAGATCAGACTTATTTTAATGGGATTCACAGAAATCATTCTCTGAATTTACCACCAACGTTTTCTCATTATGACCTGGTCGTCGAAAGATATCTAACAACCTTTATGATAAGTCCTAGCGCCTCAAGATACCTATCCTGATGGTTGTGAACTAATGAATTACTTGTTAATATCCACTGGAATTTTATAACAGAAAATTCAGCTGGTATCAGCCATGTTGAACTGTAAATACCCTGAAACAGTGCTGTAAACCATGTGATAAGGGAACTTCTGACAGATAAACATGTAATTTGAATATAAAGAAGTTTTAACTGCTTTTATGAACTCCTCAATCATCTACAACCATGCTGGCAATAACATCTTGAAATTTCCACATTACAATCTATTATATAAAGAATACATGGGAAAAAAGAAAATAACTATTATTTAGTCAATATTTTGCTATTTCTTGCTATAAAGTTGCATGGGGAATATTGAACTGACAAAGATTAAATGCGATAACACATAAATTATGAACCCTTTGTTTCTATGTCTCAATGGCAAAACAATGGCATGGCTTAAATTAGATCAATCAAAACAGAAAAATCATTTCAGCTACATTAATTACATGTTTGATTTCTAATCTATCAAAGTGCAATAAGAGATCTGCTTTAGACTAAATTGATATGACATTTGTCAGTATTTTTGGACTGAATAACTTCAGGAAGTGAATTAAGAGTGAGCTTAAGTAAAATTGTCAAACAGTTTAAATGAAATCAGAATATGTATATTTTCACATATTTTGTGTGTTGTAAATACACAAATTCTCACAAATCTGTGTTTCTCAAAACATTTAAGTCTCTAGTAGCTGTCTCCTGCCATTTATATAATAGTAACAATTTTTCCAAGACTTAGCAATAGGTTCACAAACATCTTTGCTAAGGAATAGAGTGAACCTTCACAGGTTTAAAACCAGTACTATTGTTCTAAATTTTACACTGAAACATGTTTGTTTTGCAAAAGTTGTATATCAGTAAGCCTTTAGAACTGTTAACATAGCTAGTATTATAACCAGAACAATAAATATTGCCTTTCTAAATTCTGAATTAGCCTAGAGAAAATGCAGGCACCTTGTTACTAACAGATGCTATTTCCAATATGAAAGAAACAGTCCCTAGTCTTCAATACCTTGCTCCTTACTTATGCTGTGATACTGAACATTTTTCAGTCGATATACCATACCTATTAACTTACTGCTTTAACATTTAAATGTAAGCAACATTGAATTGACATGTTTCAAGCAATTAAAAAAAACAGTCTAAAGTTAACTTGAAATTTCGAGAAATGTGAATACTCATTCAAATGCATTAACCTATATTTCCTGCTCGTATATGGTGTGTGGAGATTTAAATGGGTAACAGGAATAAAAATGAGCATCTACTATCAAGGTCTAATCTGCGGGTTATTAACATTCAATATATATCACATTTACCATGGTAATTATTTTTCACATCTTTTTCATCCAGCCAAATTAATATGGTGTAGGTTAACAATTTTTTCATCCAGTAATTTTGATTAAATAGGTTTACAAATTTTCCATCCAGTCAAACTTTTTCATTTTTCATTAGGTAATATCTTTATATGTCAGGTTTTAATCATAAGGCCTGGTATCAAGATTGTCTAGTACACATCTAACTGTACACTACAATTACAATGGTAGCATATACCAGTAAATGCATTGAGCTATTCATCAAACACATCAGCAGTACTGATAATCTACCACAAGGAACCAGGAAAAATATATCCAACATCATTATTCCTCTTTATATACATAAGGTTCTAATCTAAGTTACTTGAATCAACATGCAATCTATATTGTCATGATAACTGCTTAATATTAATTCTTTTTCTTTAACTCTATATTTCTTTCTTTCTTGAAAGATCTTGCACTCATGATCCTAATAAAAAGTATTTAAAGATATTTTTTAAAACCTTTGTAATCACATAAATATTTGTGAGAATTATTCTGTGTAACAAAAAAGATATAATTTTGCTAATTCAATCATTCCTTGTATTTGAATGCATCACCATTTTGCCTGTGATAGTATCATTAGTTAGTCGGTAGCTTGAGACACCTAATATACTAATCTTTGGCACCAAATTCACTGACAGGACCAATTATAATTAGATCTTAAAAGTTTAAACTTGTACAAAGTAGTGGTAGAAAATTATATAAAAAGCATGGTTGAACCTCTTCCTAATTTTTTATCAATCAATAATTAGTCATTATATGTTTAATATGGATTTGTTTTTCATTCAGCTGACAAAATGTTCTCCTGATCTGCTTTGCCTTAAAGTGTAATTTCAACTGTAAAAGCAAAATAATTTATCCCTGAAAAATATTTTTCAGTCTTTACTTATTTCAGCTCCAGTTGATAGGATTGCGTTGACAAATGAGGGATTTCTCTCAAGTTATTAAATGGAAAAAAAAAGAATGAAAAGATTAGTCTGATCTTGTGTCATATGACTGTTTTAGCATATTGGTTTTAGGACTATACTTTACGAGAATGAGTTTTTACCTAGAAATTAGTAAAAGGATTGGATCATAAATATCAAAGACAAAAAAACATCAATCATTGACAATTGATTAATTGGATCATCACTTTTAAATGCAGGGTACAAGAAACACTTTTCTGTCCCATGTGAGGTGAAAACGGCATAATAAATAACAGAGGTGAGGGTATAGCACAATATCACTGGAAATTGTAAAGCATCCTACAAGTAATAATGATATTTCTCTGATTCTTGTAACATTCTGCAAATAAAGACAAAATATTCCAGCAAAAACTTGATATTTTCAATATCAAAGCACTTGTTCCACATACTGACACATCTGCGATCACATTCGTTCATTAAAAAATATTGAATCTTTTAGGTAATATAAAATCACAGAGTAAAGCCAGCATGTACATTTTTACGCAAATATAATCTCACTTTCCATACATTTCAATCAATCTACATACAATAAGCATATGGAGAGTAAATGGTGGTTTCAGTATACTTGCATAAAATAAAGACATACTGCTCGCATAGCATACTGTCACTCACCGTTCCTCATTCAACTACAAATCAGGGTAAATAGCACTTAGATGTCTGTAGAGCAATACTCTACCACAAAATTCCACCAATAATTCACTTGTTCATAGAATTCACCTACACTTTAACTGTTGGGTCTAAATCTAGGCCCAGATCAGAAATAGGTCGTCTGACCCCTGTCCACAGAAATATCCATATTCTCCCCGAGTATGGCCTGTAATGATAAATGAATGTCCAATCAGGACTTTCCACTTTGTCTGCAGTTTTTTTTTCAGATATTTTGATATCTAGAATTATCATCGCTGAAAATCACAATAACATCACCAGTGATTTTTCACAAAATTTAGAATTGGTTGCAATGGTGGGGTTTGAATTTTAAATTCTGAAGAAATTTTGTATCACATTATCAACAGACTGTTCAACAAGTAAACATATATCACAAAACTGTCCTGTGGAAAGGTAACAGCACAGAATGAGTGTCCTTATCTCCAAGACTCCTGGATAAGTGGCTGTGTGGTTTTACTATGTATTCTCTTTGCTGCTGAATGCGGATATAAAGACCTGGCTAGGACTACACTTTCACCGATCGCATACTATAACTGGATCCTTGTATCACAGTTGCTGGAAGTCTCTCAAGGTGTATAGTATGCAGGCACCATACTAGACACACACTCTGTCACCAGAGGTCAGTTCCTCACTGATGAAGCTGTTCCTGGTGCAATGGACATTTCCCCTCCCTGACCTCCATCTCTTGGCGGTCCCTGTTGACAGAGTGCATACCATAAGGTGAGCTTTCTCAACCAAGTTTTTTAAGAATTTTCAACAATATTTATGTACAGAAGAAAAAATTATAGAAATAATCTTCAACCAATGGGTTTATCATGTTTCCCTTTCTTCTTCATCAAGCAGCAATCCTAGTAAGAAGTCAACCTTTATCTACATGTAGTCATGTTTATTAGAATTACCAACAAATATTATTTCATTGTCGTTCAGTATATCAAGTTCATTCCTTAAGTTTGAGTCAGAGATGATGTGTTAGTCGCCTGTGCTTTTTGCCAAATACAGTAGATATTGTAATGACAGGTTGACTATCATATTGCAGTTTTTACTACCAGGCTGCTTGGAATTGGAGGTGTATAAATCCAATTAAAAGTACATATTTAGACTAAATAATAATAAATATTTCATACATCTGGAAATGAGGTCAACTTAACCATGTAGGTTACACTCTTCACAGTATCTTAATTTGTGAACTCGTAAATATGTTAAATGAGGTCAATCAATATAATTTTTTAAGTATTTCAATCCAATTTTACTTTTGTTGACTTACCTTGACATGAATCTGGTTTTTCAAAATCGCAGACCTCAATATAAGAGCCTATTAAAACAAAATGGTTGAATTTAAACAATTTTCAAAAGGTTGCCTTTATAGAGGCCAATTTCTATAAAATAATTGACATATGGTCTCTTATAATTACATCACTGTACACTGAATAGAGTACAAAACAAATAAAACCTTGATACTACAGGTTGATAACATCGTCATTACCCTTGTTCGCCTTTGGTATTCCTTGCCCATGGAAAGTGACTTTTCAAATGTTGTACTTCTTTGATCTGTATCTTTTGCATATAAAATCTGAAAATACAGAAAGATGGATTTCTTTTATTAAATATAACTCTGATGAACCTACTTTCTAAATTCTGCTACATTTTCTTCATCTTCTGACATATAAATTATGTTGTAAAAGACTTATTTTTTCATGAATTATTTTGCTCTTTTTCTTTTCCCTTTTTCTATAGGCAGCAACGAGTTATGAAGTAATCTTATGTAATTTTATTAGTGTTGAAAGGAACAAAGAAGAGAATATCACCCCCACTTAAGCTTAGTATTATATGTTTAATTCCTTACATCATAAGATTTGAGGGAAGAAGTGATCGAAGAATACATAATCTTTCACTAAAAGTCAAAAGGTAGGTTCTGATTTTAGATTGATATTCAATGTATATACAAACAGTTTGAAAGTGAGGCTCACTTCAAGACCATTTTATACATACTTTGTTGTGAGAATCTATTCTAGCATTAATCTGCCCCTCCAAAATAAGCTGCATGAGCTCATCCTCCAGACCAGTAACTGACGTGTTGAAGGCCTCAGCCATTTTCCTCATGTCTGCTGACAGGTAAGGGCTGAAGTACTGCAGAAACACAGAAAAAAAACCAAAAACATGAAAATGAGATCATTTTTCAAGGCAATTTGAACTGCCCACTACCTAATGATAGTAGGTTAATAACTATGACTAAATTCAAAAATGAAAAACATGTGTGAGTTTCAGGTAACTCTTACCTTTCAACAATATTGCTATACTACATTTTAAAGTTTTCATCATGAATTGAGCATTCTAATGGAGAATGAAGTAAATAAATAATTTCACCTCAATGAAATTTTTTCACGTTAGATTATGCGTGTATAATGACTTGCTTATATGTTAAACATCTTACCTGACAAAGTGCTCTGTTGCGAATTTGAGAGTACAATACATTAACATGGGGAGCTAAATACATATCCAGTAACAGGTTGTCCTGCAAAAACAAAGTCAGTTGGACTAGTACTAGAAATTAGATACAATCTCTCAGTCAATTGCATATCATAACAGAAAAAAATTGGTCAGGGTCATCCTTACATCAAACTTTTTGTTTGCCCCCAATGTTAAATTTGCCTTAAAATATATAACTAGTGGTACATAGGGTCTGTATCACTCACTGTGTTTGGTTTGGTAGTGATCATAACTACTAAAGCATAAGGATTTTTTTAATTTTCTAATATAAGGACCCATCCCTTTGCCCCAGAATCACTAGGCTTGAATCGTTTAGCTAGTTTGGTGCTGATGAAATTGCTTGATAAAAAACTGTAATGGGAAAGAATTTTAAAGTTTTTTATTTCCCATATTGGGGCCCATCTTTCTACCCTTGAGAATGTCAGACACAACATTTTTATACAAAAGTAAGTAACCTCCACTCAAGGATGCTTCAGACCAAATTTTGACCACATCCTGTTATTACTACAGAAGGATTTAAAAGAAATTGCTAAATTTTCCCAACTTGGGCACACCCTTAGGCCTGTTTTTCATCTTTAAACAATGAAAACAGCCAATCACTATATAAAATAGAATTCAATTGGCAACAGTCCTTTTCATCATATGGAATCACCTTTGCTTTGTATGATTTTCTTCCAAGCACATTTGATCCTCTGAAGTGTAGAATTATTAATGTTGTAATTATTGTGCTAGATTAATTACCAATAGTGACTGCTGGATACAGAGGCTAGTTCATCGAAAGTGACTGTTGGGTACAGCATCACTGTTGATTGCTGGGTACAGAAGCCAAGTCATCAACTGTGACTGCTAGGTACCATAGTCAGGTCATCAATGGTGACATCTGGGTACAGTAGCCTGACATCACTATTGACTGCATGGTACAATTGCCAGATCATTAATAGTGAATGATTGGTACAAAAGCCAAATCATCACTGGTGACTACTGGGTACAGTAGCCAAATCATTACTATGTATGCTATGAACTCACCTTGATTTCTCCTAGAAGCCTTAAACATGATGCATATTTTGACTCATAAAATTTGTGAAGAATGTCTCGTAACTGTGGTTCCAATTCCAAGAACAATTTAAAAGAACTGAAACATAAAAAATATATGTTTTTAAGAGAAATTTCAACCAAAATTGAACAAATGAACTTTAAATTATGTGCCACTGAATATTGTCTTCCTAAACAAAAGATTCCATGATCAAAGAATACAAATCTACTTTTGTATTAATCAACATTTACAGTCACTAGAATAGACATACCGGGTAATTACAGTAAACACTGATAGTCTGCACTGAAAACATACAACCAATCACAGCCAAGGACACTTAACGTTACGTTTTGATATATTCATTTAGAGGAGGAATTTATAGCTTTCTCTGCAATAAATATAACTATAACAAGAGGCTCGAGGGTCTTAATGGTCACCTGAGTCACAATGCTTCTTGTAACATGCCATAGAAATGATTTTGTTAAAAAAGTTAGATTACTATAACTACATTGTACACATCATGCGAATGTAAATTGTGTTTAACATTAACTACTGTTCCATACTAAGACTTCTTACCAAGTTTGAATGTGTTTGACACATTTTTTACCACACCCCTCTGACCCTGGGGGTCAGCTGTGGTCAGTATGTGCATCTCTTCAAACTGTCAACTAATACTAATAATTCTAACCACTATTTCCAATAGAAAATAAACAAATAATTTTAACAAACGTAATTTTCCTATATATAAACTATAGTAAACTTTACCCCCTCCCCACGGGGAAAAGCGAGACCCTGGGTCATGAAATTTACAATTTTGGTAAAGCACCTGTAGGCCTTTCCATCAATGAAGACTATCTGATTCTACCCTACCTGGAATTTGAGAAGAAGATTTTTGAAATTTCAATCAATTTGACCCTTTTTGGTCGAAAATGTTAACAGTTTAAAATGCAGAATGCTGGACAAAAGGGGATCACAATAGGTCACCCTGAGACTTTGTCTCAGGTGAACTAAAAAAGACTATTTATATAAAAGTATTTAGCCAGTCCATATTAAGCTTTGGCAAAGTGCCTTGTACCACAGAAAACCTGAATTCTTATTTTTATTTCTCACCTACACTACAATCAACAGTATTAAGGTCTCATTTATCTTTTTGTTTTCAAGTATAACCAAACCACATCATTGTGCTAAAATAAAATGCTGTTACAGTTATAATTTGCTTTTAATTTCTCATTATAGGTGGCATTTCACAGTTTTTATGTACCTGCTAGATATAACATTTTTCTGTAACTCCTGCCTGTCAAATGAAGCCAAAGCACAAAAAACACCATAGGTGGCCACGTTACTAGCAGACAGCAACTGAAATATGAAAATAGAAATTATTGAATCAAATAAATAAATTATTGTTCATTCTATTTTACATTTGATGGCCAAGTACTCCACAGAATGATACAGGTGTAAGGTTTCAAATATACACATCATGTCGTTTTTGTAAACTATGCGAAAAACAAGAGTTATTATTAAGAAACCATTTCCTGTATTTATCCTTTTATAAACCCAGAGGTCAACAAGTCAACTCTGACTTGAAGTAGGAGCCAGATTTATCACCTGACAATCAAATAGTATTTCCTTTTAAATTCCATCCTAACAGTAATAGACAATGGGAAGGTTTACATTCAGGTATGAGCTGAATAAATATGGGTACAATAATAAAGTAAAATCTTATACAGGTAAAATAATACAGTTTAATTTTCTACCTCAAGAAATATGTTTTCGCACACACCTAAAGAAACAAGAAGCATAATCACATACAAACATCTGTAACTTATCATCAACATTTTTATGTATATTTTAACATAATAATAATAACCATGCTTACCTCAGGAAAGTCACAAAAGTCAAAATTTGCTTGCAAGAAGTATTTGGCAGCAGATTTGTATTTCTTTGTGGCAAGGTCTGCTAAACCTGCAGCACATTTCAATTTGGTTAAAACTGCTTGTCCCCCATCTTTTCCATGCTGAAATTATATTGCATAAGGATCAGGTAAATGCATTCTGATAATTTTCACTAGACAGAAAACAATCTAGTGACAAAAACAAGACAATGATTTAATGAATATGAGCTAGATCTGTTGGAAAGATCCATGAGATATATGGTGCACTAGCTTTCTGCTATGGACTGAAACATTCATTGCTAGCTATTTTCATCCCTTCTTATATTAAACAGGGTTGTAAGCAAAAAAATATTTCACAATGTCACTTTAGCTTTTTAATGTCTAAGCAAGTCACCCAGAGATTAATTTAAATTGAAACAGTAAATATTAAAACTCTGATACATCTATATCCTACAAAGTAAACTTTTTGATAATCTATCCATCACACAAAGTTTTGAAGGTTTCTTATTTCTCTTAAACAGAAAATCTGACTTCTGTCTTATTCCAGGTACTTACCTCAGCCATCTCTGGTGTGCTCTCTGCTTTATTTACATAACTTTGTACATGGGACCAGTTTTGTAGATACACACTAACCTGTACAGCAACAGAAAATAAACTTTTAAAAACACATCAACAACCTTAGGGTAAAAAACAAGGGAATTTTTAAATATACATCTTGGCACATGTCTTTTGACTTTTACTTCACATGAAATATAAACAGTGAAAATTCTTACTTAAACAAAAACACTTATAGCTTCAAACATAGTGACATATTGCAAAAAATCCCTAGGGAGTAGCATGGTGGTATATTCCTATAAAAAACAATAGTGGCCTCGATGTTGACCTATGATATTTGAAGTCAAGATCTTACCAGACCACCTGACCAATAAGGCTTACCTTGATAACATTTAGACACATATTGACTACATGTTTAGAGATTGTGCAATAATCTCTAGCCCTGGAATAACACTTAAGTGCATTGCTTAAATCTCCGCAGTCCAAATGGTGATCACCAAGATCGTCATGGCCTCGTCTGAAAATGTCATAATAGAAATTTCTGTTATAGTGTTATCTACAGTTTTGATACACACAAATAATAAATATATACTCATGTTAACTTGTATTTAAATGAATATGCAGTCAGTTGATTTCCAATTGACACAATTTATATATCATCTGTCTGAATAATCTTTACCATCTTTATTAAGTAGTTATATGCTATAAATCAAATTCAGTGCTCAGTTTAATTCTCACCTTATACTTTCTTTGATAGAATTACTTTTATAGTTTTTCAGATCTGTATCTAGCTTCTCTAACTTCAGCGCTGCTTTCTTTGCCGTTGTTTCTATCCATTGCGTATCTAGAGCTGGCATATTGTGAACAACTCCAGCAACAGCATCCGGTAAACTTGATGAACTGTTTTCAGAATCAATAATAAATAACATATACTGATATGTTAGTGTTATATTTCAAAAGAATTCCAAAGAAGTTTTATTCACAAACGTTATCATGCATGCAGAAATATGTTATGACTTTTTACTTATAAAATTAGTACATGTATTAAGGTAAACGGAAGTATCAAACTAGGACATTTATTTTATTGATTTTAAAAAACATTAAAATGTAAAATAAATATCTCATACCAGAATGTAATAACTTGTCTTGCCTGCCCTGATTTGTTAGTATTGTCATTTTGCAGCAAAGTGCATAATACAATGTACCTATGTCTTACATTAAAATTCATGTCTTATCATCCCAAATACCAAATTTTCAAAGGTAATTTTAGTTACTTAGATGTAAGCATCATCGATATGTTGTTGTCCTGTTGAAATATTAATGCAATGCAAGCCAGGAAGTGGCAATTTACCAAACTGTTCAATTCTTTAAATTCACTCAGGTACAATATCTTTAACCCCAAAACATCACTCTTCCTTGGGAGGAAAGGAAAACATTCCAAATGCTGTTGCTGTCAATAAATTGATATTCAATATACAACTATAAAAGATGACCAACTTACGAAGCCACAGCTTCCTGAAGCTTTCTGTGGATTTCTTGGTACAAGTTTGTGTTGTATGTTGTCATTACATAGGAAAGAGCCATTCGTAGTGCTTCAACACGGAGACTGGGACAGTGTTCGGCAATAAACAGCTGTCTCTTTAACCGGGCCAATCCCGTGTACTGACTTGCATACTGCTCCAAATCCTGTAAAAAAGAAACACAATAGGAACTTTCAAGATTCACTTTTTGTCAAGGATAGAAATACAATACAAAACACTGAACTTATGAGGAAGTGCTGTAAGTTGCAAAAAGCGATTTGTTACTGCGATAAACATTTAGTTTTGAAAGTAAAGGGAATTGTTTCACTTACTAATGATGTATTTTCAACTTGGTACTGGTTATCCTCCACATTGTCATTCTCTTCTGGTTGAGCATCCACCTGCATGGGCTCAACAGCACCCTGTTGACAGCAAAATCATATTGAAACTTTTTTTCTTGATATTAAATCCAGAGACTGGAAATACAATTTGTTACCAATATCTACATCACTGCATGACACAAAGTGCAAAAGATACAGACATTGAAAGTTGACAGATTAATACAGCATTGTTGCTACCTGTTACATGATAAATCCAGTTACCTGAATAAAACCATTTAGCATTTAATAAACACTGAACATTTAAGATACTTTATGAATGTTAAACCATAAAAGAATAAGATTATTTAACTTGTAACAATTAACGGCTCCTTTGAAAACTTGTTGCTAGCATTGTCTTCCATAACTATTTCAAAACTGCATATAATATTCTCAAATGTATCTTGTTAGTGACAGTACTCAAACATACAAATACATTGAAACTGATGGTACTCCTAACCGATAACATACCATTAGTAATGGGAAAACATCACTTTGGTAATGTCCATGCAAGAAATGCACACAAAGCAACATTTGAAGCTGTTTGTGCAGACATATTTATGGGACACATCTATGTTAAGTTTACTTTCAAACATCACAATCTAGGTTTCATCTTTGAACAACAAAGACAAACTAGACATAATAAGGTACATCATAAACAACCTTTGTATTTTCAAATAAGGCCACTTAGTCTGTCCTGATTACAACAATACACAAAAATGGCACCAATTTCTTTTAGTGGTCTGGCCTTTTTAATGGTAATCAATGTCAAAATGATTGATCATGTTATATGCAGCAGTGACACAGCAGTAAGTGGCAAACTAATCAACTAATTAGCAGAAAGTGGCGATACTATGTCACTGAATTAGATATTTGTCTACAAATTTAAATAGCTGTACCATACCATATAGATGCATTAGTTACATAATTAAAATACAAAGTTAAGTTTCAATTTCTACATACTGAATTATATTTTTCTCTAATTTCAAGTCAATTTACTTCTTAAAATAAAAAGACATTGATTCTATAATTGGTTTGTTGTTCGGTGTTGTGAAAGTTCAGTCAGTATACACAGAGAATCTGACTTTACAAAAAGATCTCAAGTAAATCATTCGATGACCCCTACTCAATGTGATAAGTGTTTCTATGGAATCGGAGATGAACTCTCTTGTGTGTAGTTTTGTCCTTTGAAAGACATTTTGCAAAAGTTGTTTTGGATGGCATTGTGACAGGCCTCCAATATGCTGTTCAGTGAGGTGGTCACCAGCTACTTCAATTCAATGCAAGGACACCATGTTTGAAAATGACCCTTGCTGTTGACAGGTCAATAGACCTAATAAACCTCGCAAACGGCAAACTTTTACACAATTATATTATTAGTGATTTTTTTTGGACCTGTATTACACCCAAAATGAAGCAATCCCAAGAATACATTCCATTTTCTTTTTAAACCATTCAGCTATATTTTCCAAATTTACAAAGGTAAAGGCTTGTATAATCATCGGAGAAAAAACACTGATTGTTATCATCATGGGAAAATGGTTGAACTGCTTTGAACCTCCAAGGGTGCTTTTGAATTCTGCTTATTAAATCAAATGTAGCATTTCCTCTTATGCACACTTTAAACATTTTATCTCTGTTGGTATTTTTCTATTGGAGAAGTGAAAATGTCCATTAACACAACACCTGACTGTTTGGTAAGGTTTGATTTGGTTTCTGTATTGCTTAACTAAAACCAAACCAATTCTTTCCGAACATGGTCATAATTTACAGAAATCTTGTAGTCTACGATGAGAATAATTTCAGTGTTTTAAAGAATTTAATCAGTTGCTAAAGAGCACTATCTGACTTCAAAAGAGAGGAACATTTCTTTCAAGGTCATATTCCCATTTCGTATCTTACTTTATTTTTCACAAGGCCCTTAAGAGTCCTAAAGAGTACGGTTAACTTAATCTCTTCCTAGACGACATCGTCTGAAGGGAAGCATATTGCTATCAGCTTGGGACACCTGACTGACAAAATGAACACGAAAGAGAGACATGAAATATACAAAAATAGACGGTTCAAAAAACAAATAGGATAATTGTCAGTAAAGCATGTAAACATGTGGTAAGGATCCAATCAAACCTATCTTTGGAAATATGACAGTTATGGCAAGACCAAATCTCCGCCATGTTTGTTACTCATATGTAAGAAGCAGCATGTTTGACCTTTCAACAAGCATCACTCGGTAGTGCAAACTTGCTGACCGTCAGACATCCTATTAAATGAATCAACTATTTGCCATTAAAGGCATTAAAAGAGGTGGAATACCTGAAATAATCCCGGATGGATTGGAAGCGGCATCTTTCCGGAAGCTTCTCTTACATCTTCCGGATATAAAATTGCGCAGGTGCAACGATCTCCGTCTCACAAATGTTTCAATGAAAACATTTTAAGCGCGAAAATGTTTAAATACAGATTGGTTAAATGGCTGATTAATTTATTTAATTTGGTTAAACATATGCCGGTGTACATTTTTATTGGTCATTATCGTCGATTGGTGCGATCTTGGGATATTGTTATTCTGGATGATATTTGGAAATGCGCAAATAGCTACTTAACACGCTGATTTTGTGTTACTTTCTAAGATCGAATTTTTCAGTCTAGTGCTATGACGAAGTTTCCATATTTACTTCAATCTGTACTGCAATCCATTTGATAACTTTAAAGAGTGATGTTTGTTTGTTCAAATTGTCCGTGAACAATCACGACAATTTTTGGGCGGAGCCCCCTTGGTATTTTTTGTCAATTATGTGATGAGATGTTCATATTTCAGACTGGCATATGATCATCGTCAAAAGAGTACAATTTATTATTATTTCAAATTTTAAAAAAAATATCGTAGTCTTATGGTAGTTTTACCACGGATTTGAAAAAAAAACACTTCAGAATAGGCCTTGTGTGTCAATATATTCTCTGTACGGAAATTCGAACTTGACTTGTCATTTTAGTTCTGCATTCCTGATACAGTTTTATTATTGTATGTGTCGTTAAAATCTTTAACCCCTTGTCTTATTTTAACCAGAAATGTTTAATACAGAGGGATAAGAAACTTGATTGAGCGGTGACTGCTCTGGCATTAGCTTTGGTGCTTGTGCACTGGGGCGTAAAATCCCCTACACTCCATGCTGTTACCTAACTTTATCAACCTATGCCCGATTGCAGTTTTTCAATATTCATTTATTTTATCTGAAATAACCTCCGAGTACAGTTATTGCACAAGTTAACAACAATACAGAAGTATGCGTGTCTTGTCTCTGTCAAACAACATTTCTTTTAATCATTGTAGACCAGGGGAAGTAACCCCTACAACTAAAAATCATGAACACGCGATTCAATGACGTTTTGTACAAAATAAAGCGTCATCACATTGTGGGCACGCACAAGGTAGCGGTTTCAGCGCATCTGTGAAGCAATTTGCTGCATTCTACGGTAATTTGCATAGATTTCAAGAAAGTTTATTATCTATTTGTTTCCATATGTATATGCAAGTAGTATTCTATCTTTGCAAATGCTTTCTTAGTATAGCAAATAGTGTTCAGTATACATGTTCGATTGTAAACAGATTCAGTCACTGTGCACCGATTTACTGCTGTTTTGCAGGGCTCCACCGGGGTACATTTTCTATTGGGTTTTGACATAAATGTTTATATGTTACTTGGTCTGTACTTGCAGAAGATGCATATATCTGTAGCAACATGGATGTCGTATTTTCGATTTTTATTGCAAATGTACTTTTATTTATTTTATGCTTAAAGTGCACATCAGAAAAAAGTCAAATTGAGCCCCTAAACATGGCGAGTGCCCCTAACCTATTTCCGTCCTGCCAATGTCTCAATGAATCTTTGCATAATGATTATTGAGTTGTCAGACAAAGGTAAACAATCTTGTAACATAGATGTTTGCAGCTCAAGCAAATTTAACCTAGCAATATTGATACAACAGCATTAAGATTTTTTTAATCCGTAAATAATGCATTATTTTGAGACAATATTGGAAATGAGTCCTTTAAACCACAGGCATTGTGCTGCATCCATTCCAATATATATTTTACACTACTATACTTATACCAAGTGTCCACATGACTGTAAGGAAACTATTACCACTTGCTAAATTCTCATTATAAATTGATGATATAGATATTTTTTTCATTTTGTACACATATCATCAGTGTTTGCATCAAATTATTTTCTTGGTTTAGATAGTACTGATGCATAAAAAAGGATATGAACGGTTTTTCAGCATTGTGTGTCCCATGTTATATCTATTTTATGAGATATCTGCTATCACAAGTTAAAGACATTAGAATCATAAAAAATTGGATTTAAATATGCTTGACCAAAATTGCTTGTGTAAGCATTTTTTACTACATTGAATAAATGAATTAAATGATAGCGAGCAAACTTTAAGCATACTACCAGGTATGTACAGGTATATCTTATTTCAACATTACAGTGTCAGGCTGTCAACTGATTCCTATATATCCTATATTTTCCTATATTTTATAGAAAATTGGTCACCAATAAATGTAGAGATTGTAAATATTTCTTTGATACTGCTTTTGGCTTCTTTATTTTTCAAGATAGAGAATTCTTAAGTATTTAACAGCATCACCAGCCACCAGAAAATAATTCATTGCATCTCTTCATTGCCTGTATGGGCACCTTGCAAGACAGTACAACAGGATGTTGGCCTTTTAGGTGCCCATTCAGATGATGATGACAAGCTATGCAACAGCTCTCTGCCTGGATTGTGATACTGTTGAAGTAAATGGTTACTTTAAGGTAGTTATGAATGAATGATTAATATAGAAACAGTAAGTGAAGATAAGAATTGTTAGTATAAATGCCTTTGAATGAAACGATTTTCGTTTGGAAAGCTCTTATATTGTGCCTTCAAACTAGCAAGAAACTCCAATATTTGTTGAAACAATATTCCTATATTCCTCTTATATTTTGAAGTAGACTTGGTTGACAGCCTGCAGTGTGAAAACCTTGCACAATGCCCGCCATTAAGCTAAAGAAGGCGACACAAGAGTATCTGGCAGAAAAAGAAAGAGAAAAAGAGGCAAAGGCTGCAGCCAGTCTAGCTGCTGCAGCACCACCACCAGCTGAGGAACCACCTGCAGCATCCAAAGCAGTTAAACCTAAGGCCAAGTTCCTTGAGGCAGAAGTTCTGTTTGAAAAACGTAAACGTACCATACCACCAGCAGAGCTTCGGGCTGGAACATGGTGGGTTTAGGATCAATTTCACACTTTTTCTTCCATGTTTGCCAACAGATTGATTATATAACCTCTTTTTACATACCCAATTTTAAAATGAGCTAGATTTTTCATAGGTTTACCATCCATAGCCATTTCTGTTGTCTACTTATTCTTTTTGTATGTGTACTACCAGGCTAGACGACAATCTAGAGGTGAAAGAGGGAATGAATGTTTCCCTGGTGGCTCTTTATGATTACTATACTGAGACTTGTGTATTGGAGGAAGGCAAAGTGGTGGATGTCCCAGTATTTAACCGGGTAGGTATATTACAATATCGAAGGAGGACAAAGATTAAGTTGTCCCAATGTTTAACTGGGTAGCATATTACAGTACTGGTGGAGAGCAAGGTAGTGAATGTCCAAGTGTTTTCCTGGGGAGGTATATTACACAATTGGGGAGGGCAAGGTGATGGGTGTCACAGTGTTTACCTGGGTTGATATGTTACAGTACCAGAAAAAGACAATATGGCAGATGTCCCTGTCATTAACTCGGTAGGTATATTACAGTACTGGAAGAGGGCAAGGTGGTGGATGTCCCTGTCTTTAACTCGGTAGGTATATTACAGTACTGGAATAGGGCAAGGTGGTGGATGTCCCTGTCATTAACTGGGTAGGTATATTACAGTACTGGAAGAGGGCAAGGTGGTGGATGTCCCTGTCTTTAACTCGGTAGGTATATTACAGTACTGGAAGAGGGCAAGGTGGTGGATGTCCCTGTCTTTAACTCGGTAGGTATATTACAGTACTGGAAGAGGGCAAGGTGGTGGATGTCCCTGTCCTTATCTTGGTAGGTATATTACAGTACTGGAAGAGGGCAAGGTGGTGGATGTCCCTGTCTTTAACTCAGTAGGTATATTACAGCACTGGGAGAGGGCAAGTTGATGGATATCCCCCTGTTTAATTTGGTAGGTATATTACAGTACTGGAGAAGAGCAAGGTAGTGGATGTTACAGTATTTTACCGAATAGGTATTTTATAATACATTACAGTACTGGAAGAGAGCAAGTTGTTAGGTATCCCAGTGTTTAAACAGGCAGGTACTTCTAAGAGTGATTCAGAAACTGATGAACTCTGATATATGCAAGTTGCTTGAGGTAATATTCTGTCAGTAAAGTAATGGGCATTAATATAGTAAAATATAAGCCTAATGCCTATTGGGCATTAAAACCTTAAAAGGAATCCTGTATGTTTATGTTTATGGTATAACACATTAAACACAATATATCAGGTACTTCAGATATTAGAATTAGATTTCATCAAAACATGGTAAATCATGGTTTTGCTTTTTGATATATGGAAAACAATTAGAGTCAAATTGTGAATTGATTTTTTTATATGTGTTGTGAGGTTGTTGAAAGTTCTGGGGCCAAGTTTGGTGATAACATTGAATAGCCCTGTATGTGCAGGCATAAAGACTAGTCCTAGATGTTTGGCATATGGAATTCCACATCTCTTGTTTTTTTTTCATTTTATTGTTACATGTTCTGATTCAGTAATATTCTGTATGTATGTATTCAATTTTCAGTTGGTTAAAGATAAATTTGGAAAAGACTATGGCTTGAAAGAAGATTCTGCTTTAAAAGGACTAGTTAAAGAACGTAAACATTCTGATAAAAAACCTAAAGTGCAAGCTGAATCTCTCAACCTAAAGATGAAGGACATTTTGGAGGAAATCATCAACGAAGCTAAGAATCCTGTATCCTTTCAAAACTTTCCTGAAGAAGTAGTGATTTCTGCTTAAAGCAAGTCAAGGTTAGGAACTTTATATATAAGTCAGAAAGGAACTGTAACATGATTGAAAGTGGACAATATCACCCCACCTAAAAAAGGTTTGGGTAAATTGCTAAAAATAAGTGTCGAGATTAAAACGACTGAAATTTTACTTATTTCTTTCTAGCTTCATGATGGTGAAATGATATTCACAATGTAAATCTTTTTCAGTAAGCAATGGGAGGACTCCCAAGAATATCAAATATCTGGGTTTTTTTTTTTTTTGTTCATTTGAGTTCTTTCAAGTAATAGAGTGGGATAAGTTATATGAGACTGAAAGAATCTGTAGACAATGTCATCAGTGTCTATCAGTTTGAATTTCATTCTAATTGAAGCATTTCCTTAACCTATCAAAGAATAAAGGCTTACGGTTTCAAACATTAAAGAAGAACATTAGTGTGAAGTATCCAGCCCTGCAGCTGGACATCAAACCACAGAAGTTACTTTCTGCTCTAAACAGAGGCCTCATGTATGGCCACCTGGAACTGGTAAGATCTGTGTTTCAAATATCATTCAGTATTCTCAAATAGATTAATCACTTTTAATGTGTGGTTCACATCATAGACATAACATGTTCATATACTTTAATGGGAAAATGATAGAAAGGCTTAATGTAAATTGTAGATATTATTAATGTTTCTGGGATATATATTCTCTGGTAATATAAAAATATATACATTAATACTCATTTGTGTCCAACACGCTTGAGTCAAATTAAATTGGATAAGTCAAATTGTTTGGGTTGTTTTTCTCCTAGCTACGGGTCTGAATGACTGAGTGTAACTGGTCAGCCATATCTTTGTTAATGAGCCCTGTTGTAATTTTCAATCAGACATTAATCTCTGCATTTCCAAAGGTGCACAGGTGAAGGTTAGAATTTATCAGAATTAGGCAACCAAACTTACAAGAAAATATACTGTAGTATGTTAACCATAAATCAACTGTGTTTGTTTACTTTTTACTATAATATAGCCATCATGCTTCATCCTTTGTCACATGCAACCCATAGTGCATCGTGCATAAACATTTTTCCAGAAATGACCCCTAGGGACTTCAGGGTCTGAAAAGGGGAAATAAGTCAATATTTGCTTCAAAACGCTATACTTTATTATTGCTAGGTTGGATTTCAGCCAAATTTGGTCTGAAAAATCATCGAGGATTGGGAATCATATCTTAAATTCAGAAATTTGTTTGACCACAAGGGACTTGCAGCATTTTTCTTTAATCTGCTACTCCTTCTTAATGCCTTGGTAGATTTAAAACAAAGGAGGAGTGCCAATTTGGGCCTTCTGGCGGCCATTAATTAGTTATGGGGGGGTAAAGTGGGGGGTAAAATTCATAAACAGCTCCATTATGACAAACCTACATTATATTTTTGGATTTTTTCTTCTTAATTTTCATGTAATAATCCATATCAAAACATTCATTAGTAAAATTGATTGAAAAAAATATTCCATTGTTGAAAAGTAGGTCATGGTAATTAAGCTCATTAATTGCTAATTATATTAAAGATGAACTTAATTTTCTGCCTTAATGTACATAAAAACAATACCTTTATCATGTGTCATGCTTTAGTAAGATTTATTTTTGAATACTTTATAGAAAATGGAGAATTAATTAATGGGAGGGGGCGGGTTCACACTTTTGACAACTTTTGGTTGATATCAGAGTTGTCTTATGTAATTATATTAGATAATAAATATCTAATAAATAAATGTTAAATTGTACTGCATTAAGAACTGTTTAAAATAAATTGCTTGATAAATGTAGAGATATTTAAACCAGTTTGGTACGGCTGGTTGAGCTTTAAGCTAAAATGGCGGGATATAATGCCATCCCCTGACATATACCTTGTTAAGGATCTTTGTGTCTACCGGTGAGTATACATGTGCACCTTGTCTCAGACAGTTCATATACCCTTATATATACAATTAATACGTGGCAACTACACTTCACAACCTCAGCGATTTTAGTATACTTTCTTGGTTTGACTGTCACTGATATTGTACATATAATTTAGACATATAATTGTAATTCAACTGTTGTTCATAATTTTGTTCATCCAAATTAAGGTTTTAATAAGGAGTGTTTTCTAAGTTTATGCCCTGTTTTCTTTTCTTTTATCAATATGCCAGTGCACAGGCAGTGCGCTTGTTGTAAAGCACAATATAAAGTAAGGCTCTGTTGTCTGAATAAAACGGACATTCTGTCTTACTTGAAAGCAAATATTAATGATGCCTTAAGGTTTGGTGACCCCGTATGTAAAAAATGCAGGGGAAGATACTACAATCACCATTCATCTACTGAACATCCTAGTAGCGATGTAGAGCACCAGCTTGAGTCACCTGAAAACAAAAAAAAATCAAACTTGACATTCCACGGGCTACATTAGGTGAATCTCGATGTTTCATTTGTAAAATGTTAAGAGAGGAATGTAAAAGTAAAATGGTAATGCTCTCAACAGAAATGCGAGTAAAGATTTTTATTAAGACAGGTATCCTTGTCCCAAACACCTGCAGATGTTGTTCTTCCCACATAGTGAATGGTGATTTCCCATCTGATAGTCTATCTTCACTCGCATATTCCAGCAAAGACACTGAACTGGATTCTTCTGAAATATCAGAGATCCTTTTGACACTTAGGGCAGCTGCTTCAAAGAAAAGTTGTTTAGACTTTGATTCCTCAGATGGATTAACTGATCAAGATTACTACCGTCTCACAGGTCTGTATAAAAATCAATTTTCTGACCTTTTACGATCAGTTAATCCCTCTCTTTACTCTACACTGAACAGAAGCGCAAGGACTGCATTAGCTATCCTGCTTGTAAAGTTGAGGACTGGCATGTCTTTATCAATATTAGCTTCTCTGTTCAACATGACAAAGAGAATATGTGGAAAATGTATTCATTCAGCTCGCCAAGCATTGATGACCCACTTCGTTCCTTCACACCTTGGCCTGCAACACATCACTAGAGAACAAGTAATTCAAAACCATACAACGGTATTTGCAAGGAAGATGTTTGCCTCTGGTGAAGATGTCGCTATAGCTGTTGCTGATGGCACATATATTTATGTTGAAAAGTCCAGCAACTATACTTTCCAATGACGCTCTTTTTCGATGCACAAAGGACGCCCTCTCCTGAAACCAATGCTTCTTGTGGCCTCAGATGGCTATATACTGTCTGTCCTAGGCCCATATTTAGCAGACGGTCGAAATAATGACGCCAACATTACAAAACACATGTTGAAAACTAACACTGAGAACATCAAGGATTGGTTTCAAGATGATGATATTCTTGTCGTTGACAGAGGCTTCAGAGATGTGACAGAACTGTTGAATGATGCTGGCATCAAAACAGAAATGCCATTTTTCTTGCCAAAGGGGCAGAAACAACCCCCCCCCCCCCCACTTGCCTCTGATTCTCCCAATGACCTCATCATTGCTGAGCGAATGTTGGCTCTGTCAAAATGTCCCAATAAATTGCAAATTCAAGTTGAAAAAGAAGGTTTGGCTAGGAAAAGAGCCATATGGGTCAAGCTTGATGAGGCCAGTTTGCCTGACTTTCCTCAGCTGACAGAACCGGAGTTGAGAGATCTTACCATGGGAGTATATCAGTTGAAGCAGGCAAAGTCATATACCATGGAGCACTTGTCTGAAGATGGCCAGTATTAATTAATGGCATGCAGGGAAAAGCCTGGCTTAATTAAAGTTCAGATTCGTTCCAGACATGTTGCTTCGAAACTGTACAACCTGTGGATCAACAGTATTCCCCTGGTTTGACTCCTATATCTGGTTGGTATTGGCAGTGTAAGGTTGGTGCCAGGGTAGTGGGCTGCTGTGCCCATATTGCATCTGTTCTCTGGTACCTTTCTTATGAGCGACACCAGCCTAGGATAGCACACCCAACTGCCTCATCAAGCTACCTCAGCTGTGCTGATGACGCAATGATGATTGAGGACTGGTCTGAGTCTGACAGTGACAATGAGTAACTAACTATGTGTACGACCATTGTATGTATAGTGGAGTGAAATGCAACACTAGAGGTTAAGAATGATATCTTTCATTAGCCATTTCTGTGTAAATACTTCGGTAAAACCACTAGATACAGACATATGGTCAAAGTTGTCGAACTAAAATTCAAAGCACCGCCTCTTCTTTGTTTTCTTTAAAGTATGCAAAAATATTTCTTATTAAAACATGGTACATGATAAAGGTGTTGTTTTTATGTACATTAAGGCAGAAAATTAAGTTCATCTTTAATATAATTAGCAATTAATGAGCTTAATTACCATGACCTACTTTTCAACAATGGAATATTTTTTTCAATCAATTTTACTAATGAATGTTTTGATATGGATTATTACATGAAAATTAAGAAGAAAAAATCCAAAAATATAATGTAGGTTTGTCATAATGGAGCTGTTTATGAATTTTAACCCCCACTTTACCCCCCCCATAGCTAATGAATGGCTCAGATCTGACCTTAATTTTATGTCATATCATGACCGCCTAACCCCAAGGAATTCCTACACAAGAAATAAAAAATATCGGTCATGGCCGCCAGAAGGCCCAAATTGGCACTCCTCCTTTGGCCTGAAACATTATCAGGGAGTGGCAATATCATACATGCATGAAGTGATCTTGAGATTGTCTTGACCAAATTATATTTTTATGCTTTTGTCTTGTCAAAAACCCAACATAACTCATCTAGAACAAATACCAGTCGTCTGAACTTCTCATGTTTCAGTCACACTAATGAGAAAAATATTTGGAGTTTGATTTTTTTTAAAGAAAGAAAGAGAAGATTTGTTGTTACTTTTCAGTCTGATCAAAACTTCAACATGGTAACCACAAGAGTTATTTTGTAACATGGTTATGCAACTGTTTTTCATGCACAGAACGTACCATTTATGAGTTTCTAATACTTTAAAAGAATGTTCAGAATTTGACTTTAGCAGATTTGTCAGACCACCATCAGCGAATTCTGTGGTTTGTCCATCCAATTGTTAGATAACCGTTGATGGCCATGGCCCTCTTGTTTATGTTGTTAAATTCGTTATGTCATGAAATGTAAATATGTCGTGTGTAATTGGTTTTTGATGACTTCTCAAGTTTTATGTATCACTTGTTTTCTCTAAGGTGAGAGGTACAGGTAAATGTGGATTCTACAGGCTACCAGGTGAAAGTACTGCAGAGGAAGATCTAAAAAAAGAAACAAAGGAGAAGGAAAAAAAGAAGAAAAAGGACAAAAGTGACAAAGAAAATGATGACACAGCAGTAAGTACATACATGTAATACATATTTGTATTTTTCACTTGTGTTTAATACTGCCTACCAGTGATTGCCACCTTGCCACCTATCAGTGATGTATTGTTTTTGGTTGTTACTTTTAAACAAGTTTCAAACACTCCAGTTTTCCTGCATCATGCGAGTATAAGGAATACATAAAGGTGTGGATGGAAAAGAAAAATATTCAGCAACAGGGTATAGATTATCTTTCCTTTCAATATTACCTTCATAGATAGTGTGTTGGAAGGAATCATTTTGTCAGGTTTTCAATTCAGTGACTGTCACATTTGAATTGAGAACTTTCATTTAAAAAATGCTAAATCTTATAAACTCATGCACAGACATACATCTAAGAGAAACCATTCAAGTAGTACATTTTTTATCAGATATTTAAAGTGTGATTCAATGACCTTTTCACCTTTGTCACTGTTTGTTCTTAAAACCTTTTTATTGTGGTATGTTTTATTACTGGCGATAACAAACATATCCTTTTTCCAAGGCCGAAGGCGAAGGGGGAGAAGGGGATGAAGGTGAAGAGAAGGAACAAAAGTCCAAGAAAGGCAAGAAGAGGAAGAGGAAATCTGATGAATCTGAAAAGAATGAAGAAACTAAAGAAGGAGAGGATGACGAGGAACCCAAGAAAAAGGCAAAGAAATCAAAGAAAAATAAAAACAAGAAAAAACGTGCAAGTAAGTTATAATAAGGATATCTGAATCATTGTTGTCAGGTTTTGTTTGTTATAATCATACATTTTATCTTTAAGGAGGAGTGAAAGTAGCAATGAAGCATTTTGTCTTCAAGAAGGAGTGAAAGTAGCAATGTTGGTTGATGATGAAGATCTGTACTTGTCATAAAAAGTGAATGCAATTGAATTTTGTGTGAAGATTTATATGTTTTATTTTATTTTCTTAATTCATGTGTTCCTCCTTCTTTTAAAGCTGTTTTCCACATCTATTTTCTCATTTCAAGTTGTCTGTTTTTCTTACTCATTTGTGCAGGAAAGCCATGGTCAGGAAGTGGATCTATTCACAGTGACCCTCAATCTGTGTCTGATACATTCTCCCTTGCCATTACCTATATGAGTGATCCCAAGGATGCCTCTGTCACAAAGATAAAAAAGTATATTGGAGATCATTATCCGAGTGCTGATACAGATACCAGGTTTGTAACATTTTGTATTGGCTAGGAAGCAGCGAAAGTGTATATCTAATATCATAATGGTTATCCAGTAATATATTTACTCATAGAACCAAAGTGCTGCTGTTTGTATAGTAGTGTTATTGAGGAAGACCTTGTGCAGTCCAACCTTGGCTTAGCCAAGTATTGATTGTGTACCTCATTGCAAAGAGTGTACAAACTTGTCAGATCATGACAAAAATCAACAGACTTTTTTTAGAAATCTATACAAAGAGCTTAAACTGGTTTAGGGTAAAAAATCTAGTCACAAGGATAAATTTTGGGGGTTTTGTGGGTTTTTTTTTTTTTTTTTGTCATTTTAAGTTATTCCAATACTAATTGCACTTATTCATGCAAATTAGACTGTATTGCATCATAACAAATATCATGTATGATATTAAGAACTTTATTAGTCAAGTGTTGCATGTTAAGTTCATGACTTAAAACTAAGTTATGTGTCATTACCTAACATGTCTTGTGTACAAATACACAGTGCTTATGTCATACTGTCATGTACTCTCTTGTATTATAGATTAAAGAAGGCTTTGGAAAAGGGAGTGGAAAAAGGACTGTGGGAACAGGTGTCAGGTACAGGTAGTACAGGAAAGTTCAGGTTATTGGCAGAGGACTTCAATCCAAGTGATGGTAAGTCTGTAACAAACAGTGGAAAGATTTGTAGCCTCCCTTGTTGCACTTGTGAAAGATCTCATGTTTTTTAGGAGATTGATATTAAATGTTTTGCATAAAGTACAACAATTCTGTTATGGTCATTTTTTTATTGAATTTTTTAAAAAGAATGAAAAATGATTTACAGTTGATATTTCTTTCGAATTTTGGTTGAAGAATAAATTTTCACATGTTTCCAATAATTGGAATCTGTTACTTTTCTGTGCAGCTAAATCTATGGAGGACATGGTATGTCAAGCAATTGTAGCATGTCATGAACCCAAGCAGGCATCAGCTGGCTTGATTAAAAAATACATCATGGAATACCATCCAGAATTTGGCATTGACAATAAACCACATTTGTACAAGGGAGCCCTGAAAAGAGCCTGTTTAACCAACAAGATCAGGTGAGTTTTAAAAGATAATTTATCTTTGTAATCGATATTTAACTTTTGTCAGATCACTCTTTCTAGCAGATGTAAATTTGATTTAATTTAGCTAAAATGTATGACATTTTCTTTTCAACCATTCTCAAGATACTCTACTCTATTTATGACTAAGCCATTGAAAAAATATTTGATCCTAGGACTCCAAAATAAATCTCTTCTATCCGTGCCAAATATAGATATCTGTGTACGAAAATAAATTTGTTTTGTCAACTTTAGGTGAAGATACAGACCTGAAAGTTTGTTGTAGCTATGAAGCTACCATAGATTTATGAAGCTGCTTTAGTTAATTTGCCTGTGTATATATTAACTATCCATAGTCCTTTGAAAATTGGAGACTTGATAATTTGTGGTCACAGTAACCAGGTGTAATCATTGTAATCTTAATCCATCAATTTCTTATGCTAATTAAGTAATAAATTTATTTTATTGATGAGTGAGGTAATTAATTTTGCAGATATATTTTGAAATCAAACTTAAATTTCAGGCAGCTGTCTGGAATCGGAGCATCTGGATCATTTCAGCTGGTAGGTTCATTTTATCCTTCACCAGCCATCTTAGCTGGTGATGCTGAAGCGGAAGCTGAAGAGGCAGCAGCATTAGAGGATGATGACACCGAAGAGACTTACCAGGAAACCTATATCGTCCGTAAAACCAAGTCGGGGCGTGGAGGCATTCCAGTAACAGTTTTAACAAAGCAGAGAAAACGCTGACATCTTCATTTATCAGGATGGGATTCCCATTTTACTCATTGCTGTCATTCTTTCCAGATTTTAAAGTTGTCATACCATTATATAAAACTCATATGAGATATTGGACAATTGGTTCATTCACACATGAAAAGATATGAAAGCATTATTATTTCAATTTCCTATGAATTTCTTAAAGTATTGTTATATTCATATATCATATATTAAGTGTAGCATTGAACTTTGTTTTTGTTTTGTATACCTTGCTTATTGAAAATGCCAAACTTTTTAATGTTATATGCAAAAATTTTTTTTAAAAAGAACTCTCTTTCAAATTAGATAATGACACCTTTCTTGATGTCGCCAATGATTATTTTTTAACATTAGTTAAGTGTCATGATTTTTAGAATGAAATTTTACAGTATTACTCTCTAAATAAAATCATAAATATTTTTGAACATATTGTAAATAGTCTTGAAAAATAAAACCGATTTTAATAGAAAGCTAGGGTATCTATACATACTTAAATACTAATATGATGAATAATATGAAATATGTTTCTTTTGATTATTTTCTTATTGTTTATCGATGCTAGTTAAATTGATGTGAATCTTAAAAGATTAATTTTATTCCAGTTTAAGCACAGTATGATAGATGATAATGTATTATAATGCTGAAAGTTGTTGCTCTGTCCCTGATATTTAATACATTAATTTGATCATATGAATTAAAACATAACCAGTTCTTTACCAGTCATGCTTCTTTAGTGTCTTTCTTTGTTGAAGTTACTACAGTGTATCACATTTTCAGATAAGGATTTTTTTCTTTATATATTGTGTCTTGTGGGCTCCTTAATTTCCATTTTGTGGTGCAAAACAAATACTGTTAAAGGTTTACATAAATGAATCGCAGGCATTTAATTTTCACTGCACTATACATTTTATAAACATATACCAATTTAAAAAAAATTCTTTATGAAGCAGTATACAGAAGTTTAATCCAAACAAAGCAAAATATGGCGTTCTAGGGGGTTGGCATCATAGAAAAAGTGTTCCTGTATGTTGCCATTGAATTACTGTCCCAAATATATGATGGTTAGTATTTATGGTATGATCACCTATTTGTTACCATTAAATGTGTCTAGTTGCATCAGACACACTACAAATTCCTGAAAGATGTACACCTGAAATGTGTTTTTTTAAGAGAACCTGTTTTGAACCCAGTCAGTGGGCAATACATTACAGAATTTATGTCCTAATATTGACATTTCAGTATTGATTCAGGAAGTAAAAAATTGTTGTGTTTTCATCAATCTTACAATAGATTAAGCGAGTACAAAAAAACCTTAGGTAATATTTCTAGTTGTCATTGTACAGAGAAAAGAAAAAAATAATACAAAAAAAAAATTTGACCTTGATTTGAAATTGTAAAAGAGTGAGTGCTGATAATTTGAATAACAACATGCTATCTTCCTGTTGTTAAATATTCACTTATATTGATGCTGACGGAAGAATTTTTTACTTTTGGCTGTTTGATGCTGGTCATCATTTGTATTTTTTGTTATCATTATACATGGCTATCCATTTGTACACCATTTTGTTGTCATTGCTTATATGTCAGATGTAAAGCTCACAATTTTGTTTATGCATTTTCAACATCTCAGTTGTATTCAGTTCTTGAACCATGGATCAACTGTTCATAAATTAAGAACAAGATCAATCATGCCAAGTTGTCAAAGTTAGTACTTGTTGTTCAATCAAGTGTATTCTTACGTACCATTATCATAAAAGTCACAGGGGCCAGGCATAGCAAAGTGATGTTTGGAGGTGTTATCCTATTATGTATAAACCTTCCCACAATCATTATATTGAAGTGTGTAGTCCCTGTGATCCCAAGACTGTATAGAGGGAGCTATACGATAAAAACGGAAAGGCAGCAGCAGAGATATATAAGAATTGTGTTCATTATACATCATACCTATTCTCTAGTGTCAATAGATGTTGTTTGTTGTGGCATTAGATAAAATTTCAACCATTTTTGTAGAAGAGACACAAGAAATATCAATATGTATTCTGAATGTTAAGAGACGAGGGAATTTTTTTTTTTTTTGTGAGGAGAGGGTAGTTTTTGTTTTGAATGACTCATTTTCAGAACTGATATTATTACCTTTTTTGTTTCAGGTAAGAAATACCAACTTTCAGTGAAATATTGTTATGATGTTATAAAACACAATTTCTAATTTTTTCCTACCTTTATACGGAATTGAGTAAGATTTCATTCATAGCATATATACCAATGTTACTAAGTTTTTTGTCCATGTGGATGAAAATGTGACCCAAACACCATCCTTTATTTTCCAAGATATATATTTACATGTCTTTATCAGAAAAGCAAATTCTTCCGGGTAGAAGTAAATCAAACATGTAGGTCACATGTTTTTGTGATTGATTAGTTTACTGGAAACATGCCCTCAATTGATTTTCTTGAGTGTGACTGAAGCTAGTCACATTATGATGAAAATATGTGTACAAATCATGCATGCTGAGGACTTATAAATTCTGTGTGAGCTTTTATTAATTGTGTTTTGTTGATGTCTTACCTACATTTGATGTTAGTGGATTGATTAGCAGTCATTACATTTGTACACAGCCATTTTAACTATATAGGTCTGGCTGGTTAGTATAAATATGTCATAGTTAACAGCAATAAAATAACATGACATTCACCAATATTTTTACTTGTCTTTATGTTTGTACAATCATTATAAAGTAATTATGGTGTCCATTGGTCTGTTCATCCAACTAACTCTTTCACATTCAGAGATATTTTAGAGATTTAATGTTGAAAATTTCTGAAATTTCACACGGTTTGACTTGTTGTTTATATGTAGAAGAGCGATGAAGAATATTCCAAAGAGTCATTGCAACTGAAATGTGCATTGATATCTTAATATACTGGTCTAATATAGGATGTTACAAGTAGATTTTTTCCTATTTCAAAGCAGTGATTTTCATTTACCTTTAGCAATGATAATTCTACAGATGTTAAGCCTTAGGAAGATTCCGATTAAATGTTTTTCTTTTCGTGCACTTTTTAACAACTTTTTTAAAAATTTCATGCAGAGTAAGGAATACATCAAAGTCAAGCAAGCTATTTTTCAAGGAAGATAAGTCTTAATAAAGTATGTGCTTAAAGTAGTATTTCAAGTTAGTATACCATAAGGCCAAATTTCCTTGGATTAAGTGAAGCTACTTCACAGAACATCATACAGAAGTACCGTACCTTCCACAAAACAATTTGGCTATTACTGGCCCAATAACAAAACCACATCAGTACAGACTAGTCCAATTCTCAGAAAAATAAACTGCCACAGGAAGGGAGCTTTAAACCATATATCTCTCATCTTCATCTGAAGGTTTTGTAGACCGTCAAAAACATCTCACTCCTTTGGATTTGGGGTGTTTTGTGATGCAGTAGATGAAAAAAATGACAAACACTTTAATTATTGTCTTTTTCCTTTTTTATTTTTTTCAAGTTTCAATATATTATTTAGCAAATTTGTACAATATTGCTTATAAAGTAAAACAAATTATATTTCATTATCATTAAATAATCATATGTCATTCACTAATAGATCTGGATGTAAATATTCATCTATTTATGAAACTGTTTCTGTTTCAATTTAAAAGAAAATTATCTTTCACGGCAAGTAATTGTATGTTTGTAGATGCAGTTACTACTCCCTGCCACATTAAATACTGAAGACTTATCAATGCAATAATGAAAGTTTCAACATCTAATGTACATATACAAGTAAAGTGGAAATTAAAAAGAAATCTCAAACAGGAAGGGGAATCAATCTTGAATTTGATCTAACTCCAAGAGTGATTTCTCCAGGATGTGTGATCATAATGAATTCAACTGAAAGAAGGATTTCATTAGGGATTTTGATCTTGTCTTTAATTCAAGGAATAAATTCATCTAGCAGCATGATCTGGCCCGTATTCATGAAACCGTCCTCATGCTCAAACATGAATTTTGTGCTCAAGCCTTATGTCATGTTTAAGTTAAAAATTTAAAAATAAGACTGATTTAGTCAAAGATTTAAAGAAAAATTTGAAAGGACTTCAAGTCAAAGTTATATTCAATGTTTATATTAGACATATGTATTATTTTATATGATTTAGGCAAATTATAAAAAAAAGTCTGCTTGAGCATGAGAATGGTTTCATGAATACGGGCCCTGGAGTTGAAATCAACTGAAGGAATGAATTTATCATTGATGTGATCCAGAGGCAAAATAAATAAGACATGCATTGAAACAAGTCACTTCTTCAGGAACGTGAGCTTCAAGTGAATTCAACAGAAGGTGACGTCAACAGCAAAGTGAATTCAACTGAAAGGTTAATTCATCAGTCAACAGGGAAACAAATTTATTTAACAGATGAAATAAACGTTACAATTGGAACATACTTTTTCATATTGTTACACAGGGGATATATACTAACACTACCCAACATCCTATTCCCTACAAGTGTGACCATGTGCATGACTACTTTATTCTCACAAACATTGAATTTGGCATCAGCAATGATGAGTATCAAATATAGCCCCGTAAGACTTGTTCATGAGATCACATTTCAAACCTCAGTTTACAACACATTGGGGTCAGTGATTGTAATCATAACTGGGCTAGCCCATCAGGATCACAGTCTGATAACTAAATCATAATTTTATATATTGAAATCTACTTAATTTTATTTTTATAAAAATCATTGTATTATATACTATTTAAAATTATGATATTGGCACATTACTGACCATTATTTTTCATTGATGTGAAAACAATCAGTTGATTGTGACACCAATGAAATTTAATGTCATGTGTACACATAAAGTTAGAACAACAACATTGTATAATTACAGCATGATTACAGCAGTTTATGAATAAACAACACCAAGGGATTCCATGCATCTATTAATAAGCCCATTCAAGTCTAAACCAATACAGTAATAATATCAAGCAATGCCTAATCTCTGATCTGTGACAATCTCACCTCCCTATATTGAGTCAGAGATCATGTGTTACCCCTGGATTTATTGTAGAATAATTCATATGCTTATACAGTAAAGTTCTTCCTCAGGTAATATCTGATTGCTTATCCCTCCAATGTTAAACCGGGTATTTCATGTAAATAACATACTTAGAGTACATCTCCATATTGTCTGCTAAAGAGTAGACATGGATAATTTCTAAAACTCTTTACTTACTTTAGGAAGACTTAGAAAAATACATATATAACAAAATACAACTTTAAAAGTTGTCATTCTCAAGGAACTCTTTTTTTGGCTTCTTTCTAGGAGGAATAAAATATAATGAAAAAACTAGATAAATTGAAACCAATATTCATAACGCGAACAATTAATGCAGGTGATACAAATTCCATTATGGTTAAAAAATTGACTTTAGAACAATGAAAAGATAGCCAATTGTCTTAATTCTTAACAAAATCCTGCAAGGAATGAAGCCAATACAGAGTGCTGACAAGGATTTTCTGAAAAAGTAATTGTGACCTTGACAGTGCCACCCTGTAACTCAAACTAGACTGTGATATTAACATCCTTTATACGAATGTGAAGTTTGATTGAAATCTCTCCAGGGATGAGGCCATCTGATCGCTTGTGAGTATAAGAGTTATACACATAGAGGAACATTCCTTTATCGCCTTAACAACATTTGTTGTAGGGGGATAATGAACTCAAGACATCCTTGTAACATCAAGCTTTTTGTAAAACCGAGGAAATTGTTGAACCATCAAAAAAATACTTTTACAGAATAACACTGAAATTACCCTGTGAATAAGGCGACGCTTTTCTGACCAATGTGACAGTTTCTGAATGACATGTTTCTTCAACAAAAACAAAACAACAATATACATAAATAAACACATTTCAAAATAACTACAGCTAGGACATGACATATGTGATGGATATTGTAACGATGCATTACCCAGTAAATATCGCAAAAATGGTATCGAGTCCTTTTGCTGGAATGGAGACTTGAACAAGCTTTTAAGCTTTACATAAGACTTACAATACACATATATACTAGTTCACTTGTTACTAGAGACAGGACATTCCAGTTTCAGTGCATTTTTTCCTTTCAAAATAATATACTCTATTCATTGCAGCAAATTGAAAACAAATATATACACACATGATCTTAGGTTGTTGCATATAGTTTTCATCTAAAAACCCACTCACATACAATCTTTTAAGCTTTCTTCATTCAATGCAAACAATCTTCTTAAACCAATGTCATGCTCACCACAAGCAGTCCAAGAAGAAATCTTACATCTGCCTACAAGAGGAACACAACAGGAAACCTTTGATGTACTTGCAGGCAGACAGCCACATCATTTACAGTTACAATATTCATTTTGCAAAAAATTCCCGCAAGTTCAATTCATAAAAACTTCAATTTTGATGTGGAAAATTTCACCAAAACATTGAGAGCAATTCTTTTGGGAGAACAACATTTTTGAAAAAACTTCAAAAACATGAATGGGCCATCTTGAAAATTGATACCAAAACAGTTTCCTCAAAAATAAAAAAATGATAGCAGACCATTAATTCATATATTTACAAGAAAAGATGAAATATTGTCATGAAACGATTCTGTCTATCTTGTTAAAATCTGTTGTAAATGTGAAATCCTTATAGTCAACTAATCACTAGGGTGTGACTGTCATAAAAAAACTTGGCACTATAACTTATTTTGTTGTTTGTTCATTTTAACAACTACAAATCATTATTACGAATGAACCGGTTGCCTTCAGAATGTCTTCCATAATATACGTATTTACTTCTTCCATATGAACCTGAAGAAACAAACAAAAGGCAATCAGTCAGATACTGAGGCATTTCAAATAACGGCATATCTTTTCAATGCTGAGTGTTTGGACAATCTTTAATTTTACAGGAAATGTGCACATTGTACATGATAATTTTCACTAATTATCTCACTTTGACCATTTCTTAGACAAGGAAATTTACCCAAATGCTTTGTTCAAGAACACATTTAAGAATTGATAAATATGTGCTATGTGTGTCTTTTGTTTCAATCTTTGTTTTTCACAACTTATAAATGTCATTATGGGGTGTGTTTAAAAGTGATTGAGAGTAAGCAATGTATTTACATATTACTTTGTCACTACACTAATAACTTTCTTGGAATGATACCTAATCTGGAATATTGGTGAGGGAATTTATAACTGAAATCTGTCTCCTATTTCCATCACATTTTCTTTACTAACTGTCAATAAAACAAATTCATTGTAGTTATTATTATAAAAGTATTGGGAAACCTATTCATAACAATAAACAAATTCTGCTTTGTTATAGTGCTTTGTTTGTACAGGTAACATTGGACACAGGTAATTTTCAGCTTGTAAAGGTTACACTTAGCACGGGTTCCTATAATGTTCCCTTTGTAACATGTTATTGTCAACAATTCCCTCTGAGTCACATACCTTTGTGGTCATCCACTTTCCTCTGAGATTCAGGAAGGGGTGTGTACCCAGTAGGATCTTCCTCTTCTTTTCCACCTTCAATCAATGTCTCAGCAGTACCCTTGATAATCTGCATAAATGGTCCAACACGCTTGGCTTCAGCCAATTCTTCAAGTTTTACAGGTGAAGAATCCAGGAATTTCAAATTGTTTAAATGAAACAGAACATAAAATCTGTAAACAAAAGTTTGAATTTTTAATTAATAAAAAACACTTAGCATTACAGTCAATAGGGAACATAGAAGAATATTTTTCCTGTAAATTATGTCATTATCATACAAGTTTCATTAATCTATGTTAAAAAAAATTAAAGGAAAATCCTGTTTGTTCACACAACCAAAAGTTTTTTCATATATAACAGAAATCATGCCTTTCCATGTGCTTACTGCTGTATAAATAAATGTTCATTAGCATTCCTGATGGTTCCATTGCTGTTAACCTTGTGACATTACTGACTTTGGTTGACCAAGATTTACCTGGTGGATTGATGAAACAGAAAATACTTCTTCTCCAGGAACACCTGGTCTTGTTCTCCTTGTACTTTTTCAGGAGTCTCTGTGTAAATCTTTCTAATGTTCATATCTTGCCATAGTTTTTTTCTAATTTGAGTTTGAATTATGAATTTGTTGACATGTTGCTATTTTCTTCATTGTTTATTCAAACAGTAATTACCTGTATCTTCTGTAGTCTTCTTCATCCTTCTCATGGTCAGATAACTGGTTTGGACACGCAACATTGCCAAGCATGCTAAGGTATCTCAGTCCAGGAAGGTTGGAGGCAAGATTTTGCACTATATTGCTTAAATTGGTAATCTAGTAAAAATCTTAAGGAAATTATTTCCTAGAACACTAGTTATCAGGATAAGTTTGTTCCATTTATTGACACTTAAACCTGTGATGATTTTTAACATATTATTGTTCACATTCAGGTTTATGATACTTTCAACCAATATCTCATCCATTTACCTTTCTTTCATAAAACTTATATTTATCATTTATATCTTCAAGCACTTGATATTTTCAAAACATGTTTAAGGAAATGAAATTTGTAATACTGACTAGAAATGAATGGGATTTCTGATAAAGAACGTAGGCTATGTTTACTATTTCTTTTAAAAGGATACTTTATTTTTATTCACTGTAAGTGTGTGTAAGCTTTCCATCTTTGGAAATTTTAAATTTTCATCAAAACAATTATTATCAAGTATCAATTCTTCTAGATTGACAAATTGATCTAATCCATTCAGAGACCTAGACAAAATGAAAAAAAGCATTTAAATAAAACTTTGCAGAAAGCAATTTACAATCTTTCCAGCTTTACATTCACATTTTAAAACATATGCAAATTACATATATTTTCCAGACAGATTATTTAACTCATGCCATGACTGGAAATAAGCCCAGCCATATCTACTTTTGTTCAATAGAATTAACAATCATCACAACACTATTTTAAAGCTCTTGAAAACATGCTATAAGGAATCCCTTGACTTTGAGGAATATGTCTGCTGCCTTTTCCAAGGTTAAGTACAGTACCAGTCACAAAATTGATCACAGGTTATATATGGTCATAAGAGAAAAAAATTATGAGCATTCCATGTCTAAAAAAAGACAAACTAGATTTCAAATATAAGAATAGGTAATTTGCTAGATATATGTACATGCATTTAAGTTATGTTTATACAGTTTTTCTCATAATATTACAACATAATAAACAATATTCCAATATTGCATGTAAATTATAACTACAGTTGTGATATACATCAATCTATAAAGTCAAAAGCTGCAGATGCTTTGTATATTGTAAATTCTAATTTGATTATTCATAGGGAAGTAAGATCAATACTTCTCGTCAGCATGATATGAATTGCAAAACAGTGATCTTACTGTAGTTGGTTGAAGCTCAGATCTAGTCTGCGAGTGATGCTAGCATAGTCAGTAATTAACTTCTCAGGAATTTCCGCAGCATCGTGTCCTATATATGAAAGCTGAAATATAAGTTGTATGATGCATTTTGAATAATTGAAAAAATTTAGTTCTTTGCATTACATTTACATTACATTACAACTGGCCTGACAAAAAAATTAAGTAACAGTAATGGAAAATTGGTTTATTTTGAGCAATGTGAAGTGCTTCAACCAGCTTAAAAATGTTGGCATTTATGTGTTTAATTTGCCAGAAAAAACTGTTATTAAAATACACTTCACACATTTTTCAAAATGTATGGATGTAACAAGGACTTTCCAGAGAAATATGGACAATTACTATCATAGGTCTCTGTATATTGTCTCTAGCGGTATCAAGCTACCATGTCCAGGACATGACATTTTCGTGAATCGGTTCTACAAAAACGTCTGTCAGTTGCCAGCTGGCCATCATCCATATGGACAGTCTTCGAACTGATTACCCAGGCTGTTGCAGGGATGCTAAACCCTAAACAGTAAGTATATCTAATATCTACTCCTGTTGTGAAAGTATTTTGAAGTGACTACCCAGTCATGCAATGTAGTATTGCACAGTACAAAGGACGGGGCTATAAAAGAAAATGAACAGAGGTTATTTCCAAATGTATCTCTATTGAACAGGTTTTACTTTAGCATTTGAATAGCTGTGTGTTTTACTGTTTGATGGCCCTGGTAAGTTTTTATGTGTTTTCGGGCTGTTAAGAATGTCATAATAATAATAACTTTAGCAGCAAAATGGTGTAAATGTTAGCTATCTCATGGCTGTCCCTATAGACCTACAACTCATCACAGTGGATTATTTAACAACCATGAATTGTTGGTAAAAAGAATATCATTTCTTTTATGCATCTTAAATTCTTTTAAGAAATAAATGTATAAACAACGTACATCTGTTTTTATGTCACCTGACATTTGAATAACGGAAGTATTTTGCTAACTCATCTCATCGCATATGGCTAGTTTTAAATTTGGCGTTCAACATTCGTGTTTTCCAAAGATAGATCTAGTTATCTTATTTTGGAGTCATCCATGTAAAATGCTATAAGTTTTTAATCAAAACAAGTTTTTTATTCAAGTCATATAACACACTGATAAAGCTCTGATGTTGATACGTATTAACGAGGACAATGCACTATTATACCTAGTAGTTACAGATCTGATACAAACAGAAAGTTGACAAGTCTTCATAGGGTATGTGACAGAGCCCATTCAACAAAAGTTATTTCCCACTTGATCAAAGCCAAGATGAGCTCTTCCCCTCGAACAATTACCTGACCATCAACAAAGGTTATATCATCTTCCTGTGTGCCATTTTCCTCTGATTCTTCAGACCCATTGGGTTGTTTATCATCCGCTTCGTCCGCCATGTTTTCAATCACGTGATAAAAATTGTCGAGCACTGTCACGTGTCTATGATTAAAAGGGAGGTCATATTTAGGACGAATTAACATGTTGAATTTTCACAAGCTAGTGGTTACGCTATCTGTTACCAAGTTTTGAGCAATTTGGGCCTGTTGACCAAAAATTTAACGTTGTACTGGTGATAACTTTTTATGATATAAGGATAATGACGGAAAATAAGAAAATGGTATATATATATTTTTTTCATTTGCTGGATTAAAACCGCATTGCCACCAAAATTGTTCAATTTGAAAAGAAAATGTTTAAATCCTATATTCCTATATATGATTTTGTTCTGAAATCCAAATTTAAAAAGAATTTTGTGCATCATATTTGCAAGCTTTCACTTGCAAATCGTAAGGATTCAGGAAACGTGCTAAAAAGAGGTACCATAGTAACAGGGAAAACGTTAAAATTATTTACGCTAAAACCCGTATCACGACGTCAACAACGCCGTCACAAAGCACATTTATGTCTATATCAGGGTCTACATTCTATATGAAGACGGTTTCCTTGAAACAGTTTGGATATTCCACAGAGCTTAGTCGGAGTTATAACAGGGAAACTTTATAGGATAATAGTATATCATGTGTTTTTATTGTTGTTTTAGGAACTTACTTGTACCACTCTGATTAAGGGGAGTACTGTGTTGTGTATATTAAGATATTAAAACACTATGATTTACATGTACGTTTGTCATTTCTATGCACAACCAATAAATCATTTGATAATATAAACAACGAATAAGAAATCAATTTTACAACCAACGCTGTTAAATGATGATCAGTCACCAATCGGAGGTCTATTTTGTAGTCATAGACAGTTGACAGGTCATAGTTGACAAGGGATATCTATACACAGAAACTTAGACTCTCTGAAAATGGAAAATCTGCAAGTAGACACAAATTAAACCATACTTTGAAATGCCACTGTTTCAATAAATAAAGCAATACATTTTAAGTCAAATTAATTTATTTTCCGATTTCGGAGATCAATGTAACCGTCATTGTAGATGCACGACCTTTTTATTTTGACAAATGCTGTAATTGTTATTTTGTTTTGGGAAGGGACTTAATTATGTTGTAATAATTACCTGTATTATTAGTCTATCATTGATTATTATGACAGTAAAGCATGTTTAAGTCAGGTCTGAAGAGTGGTTGAGTGGCGTGGCAGGTGACCGGTTTCGAGTTCCGGATAAGATGTGATGTGAAAAACGTATTCAATCACTTGCCCGACATCGTAGGTTTTCTCTAGACACTAGTTACCTAGTAATTTAAGTTAAGTCGTAGACAGGAGAGTCGTTTTTATGCTGTGTATGTAAACCTTGGACTTTAGGAAGACTGCACATCATCGTAAGTAGTTTAATTTTGTAATCTGAATTACTTGTACATTGAAACAAATTAAACAGCTGATACAACTTCACCAGCATGATTTTATCCCTTCATAAGATGAAAGGATTTAGTACAATGCAGATAAACGCAAGATGTATAATTTTGAAAGACAAAATGGGAAGGTACAAGCTGTAAAAATGTTTTGCTGCAGAGTAAATTATCTTCCTTGCCAAAAACCCAACAAAACTAGAGTGATGTGCATATATATTGGTATCCGGAACGACAATAAATTTGATGACGCAATAATGACTGATGACGTCATAATAAATCACACGTGATTTGCCCATCGCAACCACAAATATTAGCAGCGCGCTAATGATTTCTCTATAATTTTACTCCAAAAATGTCACTGATGCCCCTCTCTATGCCAGGGAAGGACAGATTGGCCAAAAGAGGTCGAATACCCGATGTAGGACAGCAACATTCTTTAGACAGATTCGGTCCTGAAAGGGACATGAGAAAACCAGGAGGTCTGAGTCAGTTGTCTACAACGGCAGACGGAAGTATCACGCGCAGAAAAGCATTGGCACCACTCAACAGCGCGGAGAACGTTACGGTCCCAACCCGAGATCCATTTAAAAAGACCGACAAGATTCCAGGGATATCTGGAAGTAATCGTTCAAAGACCAAGAGGCATGACTACGATGTGCCGAACAGTGCCTTAGACATTGAACTTCCGAAAAGGGACCCGTTCACCAAAGCCGCAAAGATACCGGGAATATCAGGAAACGAGCTAGGTAAGACCAAACGGCATGACCACGGTGAAATGAAGAATGTCTTCTTAGACACCGGGTTTCCAACAAAGGATCCTTTCACTAAAGCAGCGAAGATTCCGGAAATATTGGGAAGCGAGTTTAGCACAACCAAAAGACATGATCATGACGAAGTGAAAAGTGTTATGGATACCGGACTCCCAACAAAGGATCCTTTCACAAAAGCGGCAAAGATTCCGGCAATACTGGGAAGCGAATTTAGCACAACCAAAAGACATGATCACGAGGAAGTGAAAAGTGTTATGGATACCGGACTCCCAACAAAGGATCCTTTCACAAAAGCGGCAAAGATTCCGGCAATATTGGGAAGCGAGTTTAGCACAACCAAAAGACATGATCATGACAAAGTAAAAAATGCTATGGATACCGAACTCCCAACAAAGGATCCTTTCAGAAAAGCGGCAAAGATTCCGGCAATATTGGGAAGCGAGTTTAGCACAACCAAAAGACATGATCACGAAGAAGTGAAAAGTGTTATGGATACCGGACTGCCAACAAAGGATCCCTTCTCGAAGGCGGCGAAGATTCCTGGGATAACAGGAAGTGAAAACAGCAAGACAAAACGGCATGATCATGAAGAAACAAAAAGCGGATTGAATCAAAAGAACCATTCATTCAAAGTGGATCAAACGCCTCTCCAGCCAACTGGCAGCCTGAGTAAACTATCCACTGGAACAGACGCCACTCTCCGGCGTCGGAAATCCTTGGCACCTATTGGCAGTGAAACTGACAAAGATGCCGGAGAAACGTTCCTGAAAGGTGTCAAAAGTGCAGTTGGAGACATAGCAGATCGTAACATAAAACATACACAAGGGAAAGAAATCCACAAAGAACTCGATAGTCGTGCCAGCGATAACAGTACTGTGTTACGAAGTGGTGACTCTGAGGCACTAAGCACTGACGAAGAAGAGTTTTATAGGCAGCATATACTGGCTCAAGATAAAATTCGGAAACAAAGCAATCAACAACAAAAGATAAAGGAGTTACAGAGCCAGGATGTACATACCGCGGTTAGTAAGGAAACTGTCGGAAAATCCAGTAAAAAGAATAAGAAAAAGGAAAAGAAAAAAGACAAAAAGGAAACAGAAAAAAAGAAAGTCGCATCAGGGGTATGGCCGAACATGTCAAGAGGACATAAGTTTGAGGATTTGCCTTACTTCCGCCAAATCAGAATGAGGTACCCAGAGTACCCTTACAACGGATTGCCTCACTGGGCAAAGTACTTTCCAACACCACCAGGATTCGAGAAAATGCCTATTCCAGAAATGTACCGAGATGGGACCATGCCATACGACATGGCTGGATACGAGGGAATGTATGGGGAAGGAGGACCGCCCTATGGAGGCCTAGAGGGGATGTATGGTTCAGGAGGATTACCATACGGAGGTGATGAGGGAATGCAATATGGCGGTAATGCAGGTTTCAAGCACCAGGGAATGTAAGGCAAATAAGAGAGAAAAACGGGGACCAAGGGTGAGTTGATTAATTATTCCCAATTTGCAAACAAACTGTCATACTCGATGTAAGATACTATATATCTTTTATTATTTCAATTATGCTAACACAATCAGGTCCAATCGAAAACATATAAAATAAATCGTGTTGGCTACTACATATTGTTATGGAAATCCTCACGGTTATCATGTGTTATTAGATTTTGTGGGAAAGACATTTGTTAGTTATACAATTCAATGACAGAATTAATGACAAATATAAATCTAAAACTCTGACAGCTTAATTCAGCTTTTATAAACTTATTTTTAATTTATCAATACTTGGTTTGTTTGTATGAACTAGACTTTAGAGCATCAGCTCAACAAACAAGAATGGCTCGTGAGAAAGACTACAGTCCTGAGATATCGCCATCGTCCGTATACACAGAATTAAAGCTGCCATATCTGCTTGGAGCCCGCTTACAAAACCGATGTCCCACTTCTCACCAACGTATGTTCGGACTCCCGCTTGCCCCTTATAGCGCATCTATCCGTGCTTGTCGGTCGAGACCCGAAGGTGTTAGATAAACGCTGAATAACGGAACTTTTGAAGACAATTTTCAACGTAAAAAGAACATAAGTTTGATAAAATTGAATTCAGCATGAAGACTTATGAGAAGAGCTTAATAAACTAAATATGAAAAATGCGAGCTATGTCACGAATAATGAACGTTATTAGCGAATAACCTTATTGTAGTCCTATGAGCCTTATTTGAAATATAGAAAGAAGAAAATTTGAAAACGCATAAGCTCAATTAAAATAGAAATGACAATGTAATTTCATGTTAGAGATAAGATATTTGATGAGAGAACATACGTACATTTGCATATAATTGTAGAAATCAGCAGTTAATGGATCATGCTTACTTTGTTGATATCAAGCAGTAGGATGGGTTCTTGATAATGTATAGTGGTAGGGTGGGTTCTTGATGATGTATAGTGGTAGGGTGGGTTCTTGATGATGTATAGTGGTAGGGTGGGTCCTTGATGATGTATAGTGGTAGGGTGGGTTCTTGATAATGTATAGTGGTAGGGTGGGTCCTTGATAATGTATAGGGGTAGGGTGGGTTCTTGATGATGTGTAGTGGTAGGGTGGGTCCTTGATAATGTATAGTGGTAGGGTGGGTTCTTGATGATGTATAGTGGTAGGGTGGGTCCTTGATAATGTATAGGGGTAGGGTGGGTTCTTGATGATGTGTAGTGGTAGGGTGGGTCCTTGATGATGTATAGTGGTAGGGTGGGTTCTTGATAATGTATAGTGGTAGGGTGGGTCCTTGATAATGTATAGTGGTAGGGTGGGTCCTTG